CGTGATATCTTGCAGACGTGTCACTCCCACCAGCGCTGCTGAAATTCTCGTTACCATCCGCCGAAGTTCTCACAAGTTCTTGAATAGGCTCCCCCTTGCGCTTTGGCGGGAAACTGCTGTGCGTCCGTAGAAGTTCCAGATCGACGGTGCAGAAGCATACCAGCAAAACTGGTTCACGACCAGACCCGTGTGACATTTGATGTGTGCGATTCCAGAAGTATAATCTGCCCTTTAGGCTACGTTTTTAAATGAAAACCTGTTGATAATATAGCAAAAATTCATTAGCCGCCATCGCTAATGTGTCACATCTTATGTTTAGGGTTATCGGGTGTTACTCCCATCAGTTTAGAAATGTCTCTGCTTGTTTTGCAAAACGTCATCTTATGAAACAGGAAAACTGCAACCTGAAGCTCCTGTTTCGTCACTTCTCTAACCTGCTTGTGTTTAAGAGAAAGGATCTGTGATGAGATGGGTAACTTCAAAGTGATCATATTTAACCAAAAGGGATCTAGTAAAAATTGGTTTCCCAGATCTATGTAAAAATATTCATACCTCTTAAAATTAGAAGGAGAAGGGATGGGATTAAATTGGTGTTTTATTGTTATTTTGGGGGGATTATTTAGCTTCTTTTTTGTTCTTTCAAATGTTTGTTAGCTAAAAGGCCTTTGAGTTGAAACTGCAGTGAAAAGACTCAGAGAGGCTGAATATAAAGGCCTGCCATGCAAATTTACTTTTTAAAGGTATACTATGCAACCGGTGTTGATTTTCCAGCGAGGCTCCCCCCAGAGGGCGGAAGTAAAAGTGCACTGTCCTAAATATGCATAGCTGTTCTCCTGGTTTCTCCGTCAAGCCAGGCGCGGTTGTTTTGAGCTTAGCAGACAGGAGAACGCAACAAATCACCATGTCTACTGCGGTAGAGAGCCCGTTTCCTCTTTCTTGCCTTCTCCGACATGGGCTTCGCTGTTTTCTCGCTGGTTCCGCAATGATAACTGCACAAATATCGCCACTGCGCTAGCAACGAGCATGCCTTTCACTGGGGGCGTGTAGCAAGACCGAAAAGCAAGACCGACTCTCGCGATGCACTTCTGAGCCTGTGGATGCGGGCCGAGGGCTCCTGCAATTGCAAGTAGGGTATTTCCTCTACAGACCACCAGGATGACCGAGAAAACCTTTGTTTGACCTCAAATGACTCATTTAATCATCCAAAACGTTATGGAACACATTAATTAACTGAAAAATGTTGCATAGTATGCCTTTAACCCACTTAGGATTTTCATATTCTTTACCTCTGCTTCGATTTGTTTGGTCTAGCTCCAAAAAAAATTCGGACTTTTATGAGCTGACACGTGAAAATGGTAAACAGGTGTTTACCTTCATGAACCCACCCTGAATAATTAGTGTCCAGCAGACGAATTGAAGGTGTGCTAACTTCATGAATTTGGCACTCATAGTTATTAATACAATCAGTAAAATGACCCAGCTGCATTTTGATGTGGATTCTGTAAACCCACATGATAGTTTATAGATAGAGTTGTTAAACCTCAGAACAAACGACTGAAGAAACTGTGGTAAAGGTCTGGTGAAACACTGAATATAAATATAAACTCGTTCAAAGAACATCTGTGGTTTAATTTAGCTGATGAAGAAAAAAAAGATCTGCATAAAATGTGTTGAAACTAGCCAATATTCCTGCTTTCACTTTGGATTAAATAATCCAATAAACTGATTAATTCATTTATTTTCCTTTTGGATTGGGATTAATTCACCATGGCTGCACTGTTTGCTCATTAAGTGAAATGAAGTGCTTCAGACCAACCATGAATGTGAAAGCTTGTGATCATCACACTGCTGTCTGCATCCTCATCTTCATCATTGGAATTTTACACATTCTTCCATTTATATTTTCTACAATTTCCTGTTATTTTTTTAAAGATGAAGTTGAAGTTCTTGTAGTTGTGGCTCTAACCGCATGACTTTTTCACATCTGCATTCGTCGTTCCGCCCTGTAGTTTTAGCCCGGCTCGTACCGATCACCGACTTGTTCCACTCGACTGGCTGAAGTGTTGAATAATTCATCTCTCTTGTTCTAGGTTGAGTCAGACCTTTGAACCGTTGCTGTGCCACAGCGTTTTATTCCACCCACAGACACGTTATTAAGTCGGTCCCTGCTTTGAAAAACAAAATAAATGACTTTCAGAGCAGCAGAGAGGGAAGAGGAAGATGTTTGGGTGATACTTTAGGCCACACATGCTGTAATAAGAGATGAGGTTTGTTTTTGCAGGTGAATGTGTCTGTGGGTTAGCTTGCGAGCTTGCAGATTTGCCCAGTTTTAGAGGAAATGTGGAGCGTTAGGGGCTCCTCATGACGCTCATCACCCAGACGTCAAATTAGATCAATAGGAATCTCTGATGGGAAGAGAGTAAAAAATAAAAATAAATTCTTACATAAGCAGCATCACCGCTCCTTTTCTGCCACTGCCAAGTTTGCTTCAATCTAGCCAATTATCCAGAGAGCTGCAGAGTTTGTACCGCCGTGGATGACTCAGCTATAGGACTCCCATGACCAGTTCTCCCATGATCTCCAGGCAGGGCACGGCTCCTGAATTCAAGCCATTTGGAAACCAGAGGTTTCAGATTGCAAACACACATGTCTTTCATGCAGATGGAGTAAATTTGTTCCGTTTTTTCTTTCCATAAAATGGCCAAAAACAAGTTCTGTTTTTTTCATTTTAGATTCTGTTTGTGATTTCAACTTATCTGGAACATCTAGAAAAATAGGAAAATTTTAGAAACTTCACTCCAAATGTGTCTTTCTAGTCTTCCTGCTGCGAAAGGTCAGTTGTTGTTGTTGTTTTTTTCTTTTTATGTTGTTGGTCTCCATAGCTTCTCACTACTATGGCATCAAACTGCCTTTTCAAACCATCCTGTCAGGACTCTGCCTTTAAAGAATGGCACAGAAAGGGGATTGTACGTTTCAAAGATATGCTCATAGACAATAATTTGGCAGCATTTGAGCAGCTTAGTGGAAAAGTTCAAGCTCCCTAAGTCTAATTTTTTCAGGTATCTTCAGGCAAGACATTTTATCCTTTCTCAGACGACCACAACAGCAGCTGAACTGAGCATTGTTGACATTGTCCACTCTATACACCCACTTAAAAAAGGACTAATTTTGGCACTGTATGGCAAACTTTTGGATCTTAGGAGTACCCCTACATATAAGCTCAAGGAGGAGGACTTGGGTTTTCCTATGTCAGAGGATACTAGGTTCTATACTCAAATTGATTATTCAACCTCCTTCTGTGCACGTCACTGTTTAATTCAGTTTAAAGTGGTACATAGAGCCCATATTTTTAAATCAACACTGTCCTCCATATACCCAAGAGTAAGTCCACATTGCGTGAAATGTAATTATGTGGAGGCCTCTCTCATTCACATGTACTGGTCCTACTCAGCCCTTAAGAAATACTGGACAGAGTTTTTTCATACTCTCTTGGGTGTTAAACATCAAATTAGACCCAAACCCATTGACAGCTCTGTTTGGGGCCATGGAGGGAAGAAAATTTTAACTATAGCGAAACAACGCACTTTATCCTTTGTGTCCCTTCTGGCTCGACGGGTGATCCTGCTCAGGGGGGAGAATGCTTTCTCTCCCACCCATGCTCAATGGCTGAAGGATTTCATGTCCTGTCTAAAATGGGAGAAAATTCGATATTCACTGAAGCATTCAAATAAGAGTTTTCAGAAGGCGTGGGGCCCCTTTTTAAAAGAATTCCAGACCCTTTAAAGGTTTGGCCCTTGAACGCAGCTCAACCTGCTGCGCATTTATTACACACTCTGAGGTTTTGGTCTAACAGTGATTTTAAAATATGAATAGTAATCTGGTTTATTGTGAGCAGAGTTGATGTCACACTGTGTGACAGAGCAGTCACTGTAAACTGTAAAGAAAAGATAAAAAAAAAAATACTACGAGGTTACAAATATTAAGCCATCCTCAGCATCATATTCATAATTTGGCCTGGGTGGCATTACTAAACAGCCATTTTCATGTCATATAGCCAGGAGATGAAGCCCTTTCTCAGCATTTTCAAACCCAGCATGTTTAATCAGGTGGTTTAAAAACATAAAAAAAAAAAAAATGTATAAACTACATCCGTCCGTCACTTTAAATTCTTATCATGTCTCTCGATCTCACCAGCTGAATAAAACACAGACATGTCGAAGAAAATACTTTTTTTTTGTATAGTTGTTTTCACTTCTTATCCTCTGCACTGATGCTCTAAATGTCAAACTTGAATTCTTCTTTCCTTCTTCTTTCCTCAGTAACAACTTCAACACTAAAGTCTGTTATTAGCATCTTCTGATGCGTTTGCTGCAACAGTTAAGAAAACCTTATTTGGAGTGAAGGTCAAACGCTGAGCTCTTTAAACACATTTTTCATCTCGAGCTGAATTTACTGGCATTGGCTGATTATCAAATTAAACTGGCTGCTTAGTGTTTAGGTCATTCCAATATTGGATTAGAGCCCCAAAGGGGGAAAAAACAATCCTGTTGCCTGGGAATTATCTCAAACCGTTTGGTTTTCCTTTCCTTTTTGAGGGCTGAAAAAACATGGGTTTGCTGTTAACGCAGGGACAAACGGATCCATTTAGCTTCTAATTTTCAGGAGCTGTATTTAATAGCCTAGGTTTGCTTCAGGGCTTATTCTACGAAACAACAACAGACCAGGCAGCCTTGCAGCTTTGATTTCTTCTCCCCTGTTTTAAAAATCTGCTTCTCATCTGTTGCATTTGTTTCTGTCACCACTGTTATCATGTCAGCTTTTATGTTTTACCCCCTGTCCTCTCCAGTCTCTCATCGTTTCCTTTCTTTCTCCTCCTGTTTTTTTGTCTCCTGCGTATGGCTTTGTTCAACCCCCCCCCCTGACGTCCTGTGACCCACATCCACCCACATACCCACCTGCCCACCAATCACCATCAATGCATTGGTTGGGTTTTGACTCAGCTGTTGAAGTGTCACCCTTCCTGACCCCGGTGAGTGTGCTCCATTCTGCACCTTCCTTCTGCAGGTTATAAGATAATAAAAAAAAAAAAACTTTTTTCTTTTTGTAAATGTACCTTCCAGATTAAACACTGAACAAAGATTATGAATCTAAAAGCTTTTACACAGAGGAATTCATTTGCTTCTGGATTCAAGCTTATATGTGACAAAACTGAGCTGATTATTAGTAAAATAGATTTCCATATCCAAAATTGAAACCTGCTTAAAATACAGCATTGGACAAAACTTTTTTAAGGGCATCTGAGCATAACTCCAAAAGCTCCAGAAGATTTGGATTTCAAAATGCAGACCCTGCACTCTTGCATTAACGCCGAACTCAAGAAGGAAAGTCTCCACCTCTAATTCATATCAGAGTAAAAATGGGTTCCCATAAATGTTGTCCAAGAGACAGTTAACTGCATCTCTCTACTACTTCCATACAGGTTCTGTTGAAAAATACTGCCAAAATGACAGTTGCATGCTAGTGGATGCGCACGTGTGTGCCTTTTTTTAGAACAGCTCTGTAATGCTTCACATTTACACCAGCTGTGTTTAACAAAGCAGCAGTGAATGGGATCAGCTGAGAGTGTTTCTTCTCTTTATTTGGTGTCTATTCTACTCTTGAGGGTTTAATTATACCACAGTACTTTATGGGGAGTGATGGCCTAGTGGTTTAGCAGTGCGCTTGTGCTCTGAGAAGGTTGCAAGTACCTGGTTTAATCCCCACAGCCTGCACTCTGGGTCTCTGAGCAAGACCATTAACCCCATACTGCTCCCCGGACGCCGCACGATGGAGGCCCACCGCTCCCCAATGGGATGGGTTAAATTCAGAGGTAAATTTCTCCAGTGTGAGAAGTTCAATTATTATTATATAAATCATATTTTGACTAGGGCTGAAACAATTAATGATATTAATAGTAATTAGTCGATTATTTAAAGAATTGTCAATTAATATAGTAATTGATTAATCATTAACATGCCCTTAGCTGACAAAGCAAACCAATTATAGCAGTAATTGTAAAATAATTAAATACATTTTTGCATTTAACATAGAAAAATACATTTTCATCTATAAATATGTTCTACCCAGAACTCCTCAAAATGTTTAGTTTCACCTGGTTTACTTCTGTAAATAACCTTCTTTGAGAAACCTTTTGCTATCCCATTATTAATCAGTTATTCTACAGATTAACTGATTAACAAAATAGTCATTAGTTGCAGCCCTTATTTTGACATTAACGTTTTTCTCAGCTGATATCAGTCATTTTTAAAAGTTCGGTGTTGTTCTTTGACCATATCAATGCCTTTTTTTTGCACCATGTTTTTTTCTACCACAAAGTTAAGTTTGATCACTGCTGCACTTTAAGAAATGGAAATATCATGAAAACAAAATTTATTTTTTTATATACTGTGTATACAAAATGACAATAAAATTTTTGTCTAGGTCTTTAAAGTAAAACTTGGCTAAAGTTATTAAAATCCTTATTTATTTCCATGTTTCTTGTGCTTAAGTTTCATGATGGGAGAGGAATTATTCTTGTTATTTTTGCTTTATTTATTTAAGCATGGTTTGCTGGGTTGTGGTTGCTTTTGGCTGAAGCGGAAAAAAAGGATGTGGTCAATTTTTTTCAGCGAAAGGGTAGGGAAAAATATCTATTACTGATATGTATCATACGGACAATATTAATTTTGTTGATATCTGTGCATCTCTGGTGTTCGCTCAAAATGTTATCCCAAGGCTCTCCATCTTGTCTCTCGCACCCTATAATCTTTAGTTGGTTCTGACTTAATGCTGTTTGGTTAAAAAAAGGGAAAAGTATCATGAATAAAAAGAAGAAGCCGTCCTATTGACCTCTTAGTTTTCTCCATCTGCCACTTTTCTTGCATAACATTCTTATGAAAACTCCCTTTAATGCTGCCTGTCTTATGATAATCCTCTACTTTTTAACACAGAACTAATAGGAAGGGGGGGGGGGGGGGGATTATTTTGCTCTGCAAAACTGTAGTGTTTCTTTACTTAGTTACGGCAAGTCCATAAATATTTATTTCTGGTAGTTGCCCCAGTGAAGTATTCTTTTGGTTGATAATCAAAAAAGAATGATTTGACTTTGCCTGTATGCTCTGAAATTAAGGCAAAATTTAATATTTGAATGTGTTATCGACTTTTTTTTTTAGCCTATTTTGACAAAAATAATTGGATAAAGGAAAGGCACGTTTGTTTATCCTGCACAATTCAGTACGGAGACATTTCAAAGTGCTATACAAGAATTAAATGGTAAAATAAAAGGAAAATAAACAAGTAAAGATTAATACATAGTAAAAGCAGGTAGTCGAGCAAACAAAACTACAAGGTTAAACTAATAATACCTCAGTTAACAGTTTAACAGTCATTTAGAAATTGTGTGTGTGTATATATATATATATATAACAGATTCTGCAGGGTGGGAGAATAGAGATAGAATGATGAAAAGGGGTCCCTATGTCCTCCAGCACTCTAAGCCTATAGCAGCATAACTATAGAGATTGCTCAGGATAAGCCACTGAGCCACTCTAACTATAAGTTGTATCAAAAAGGAAGGTTTTAAGCCTAGCCTTAAAAGTAGACAGGGTGTTTGAATCACAGACTAAAACTGGTAGTTTGTTCCACAGGAGAGGAGCCTCCCATTCTACTTTTACAAATTCTAGGAACCACTAGTAAACCTGCAGATTGAGAGCAAAGTGCTCTGTTAGGAACATAAGGAACAATCATATCTCTGATATAAGATGGAGCTTGGAAATTTAAGGCTTTATATGTGAGAAGGAGGATTTTAAATTCTATTCTGCATTTAACAGGAAGCCAACGAAGAGAAGCCAGGATAGGAGAGATATAATATATATGATATAACAATATTTTTTAAAACTTTAAATCTTGTCTTAATCAAAAGTCTAATTCAAACAATTTTGAAATGAACTTCTTCAATGTAAATACCAGTTCTGAAAAAGGCAATCTAATCATGTGACTTCTAAATAGTTCGGTGTGTTTTAATTAGTTATTTTGACAAATACTAACTATTCCCCCCCGCCTTAGTGTTGATTTTAAAGAAAATAAATATTATTGTCCAAATTTACTGTTCTGTTGCAAGATAAAAAAAAAAAAAGTAGTTTTGCATCCAGTGAACATATTTAAGCACTCCTTCTTCCTTAAGGAACAACTTCTGCTATTGGTAAACAAATGAAAGTGAAAGTGAGTTCTGAATCCTCTTTCTGGAGAATACAGGGCAATTAAAGGCAGAATCGCACAACAAGGTTACAGACATATCAGTTTATCAACTACTTTACAAAGCATCTCATCTAGTTTTATTAATGCTTAGTAATTATTTAGGCTTTTCTATTCTGAAAATAATGTATTATTCATTTTTATGAAAAAGATTTTTGTGGATTTCCCTTCTACTTAAAGTACATCACATATTTTGGATGGAAGACAGGAAGAATGTATAAACAAACAGTGGCATACTCACTAAAAGTCTTTTTTTTTTTTTTTTTTTTTCCTTTTTGGTGCTTTTTTAAAAAGTTGTTTTGTAAGTTTGTCCTCTTTCAGAGCTGTTAGAGTCAACATTAAAGCCTGCAAGTTGCAGTTATGCTAAATCTGTTCAACTCTTCATTATCATGTCAGAATACAGCAGTGAGTCTGTGATGTAAGTGCAGTAATTTTTAAAATATCTTTTTATTAGCAGCCTGATACAGGAATGCCTAAAGCAGTGCATGATGCAAACATTTTTTATTTTACTCATCTTTTATGCAATCGAAGGTACTAGTTAGGATAAATTAATTTATCTTGTACCTTTGATTTTAAGGGTAGAAATTGGTGCAAACACGGTACCATTTTCTTTTTGTTTGTACATTACAGTTTAGATCGTTTTAATAACTGTAATGGTTTTCGTTAAATTGTTCCTATTTTTTTTGGTATGGTGCTTTAACAGTTGTCTCAAAGCTGTTTTTGTGTTTTTATTGCACCGGCACCATCTTACCAAATGGTTGTAAAGCTGTGTGGATTCTTCTCAGGCTTCCACCCAGACAGTCAGAGCAGCACATCAGTCAGGGATCAGCATCGCCTGAATGAATCCCATCAGCGGTGTCAGATTAGGAGAAGCCTAAAGAATACTCCTGTGTGTGTGAGTGTGTGTGTGAGTGTGGGGGGGGGTGATGTGAGGGACAGCAGCACGCTGGCTTAGTGGCTCGCACGGAGCCAGGCAGGTTTAACACACCACCCTCTGGAACCAGTAATGCTGTTAAATGGGGTCAGATGGCTCATCTCACCATTAATAAAGTCCCGGGTTCCTGCCAGCTGTGGTGAAAGGTTACTACTGCCTTGTTTTGACTTCAGAGCTCAGGCTGATTGCATCTAATGTAAAGCTTCTCAGTAGTATGAATTTTTGACTTTCACTTTGTGGAAGGATAGTGCATAATATTTAACAGTCTAATTCACTGTTTGTCAACCTGAGAAAAGGAAATGTTCATTGGAGCACATCTCAGTTCCCCTTCGTCTTCGTATAACTACCGATTCGCATTGTTTATCTTATTTCTCGTTTGTGTGTCGATTCTCAGATCAGCCTTCAGAGTCTGGAGAATTTCCTCTGTCTCTTCCACTACGTGCAGCACCACCCCGATAGCGGCACCAAAGATGCACTAAAATTCTGGTAAGATCTCCTCACTATTTTGTCTTTTTAATTTGAAATATCCCAGGTGGTGATTGGTAATTTGAAGCTGATTTACAGTAGGTCTAACGTCACAGTGAAAAAAAACCTTGATATCATTTAGCAAAAGTAGTTAGCAGATAGTTTAGCTAATAAAAATTTATGCTTGACAATATATTAAATGGAAATTCAATTTATGCCATATTTCAAAAGGCTTGCATTACCTTTTGATGGCTCTCTCTCAACACACACACATATCAATAAATAAAAATCAAGTGGAAAAACAAGGGTTTTATATATTGCCCCTTACAAGAAATTCAATGAGGTACATCTGCTGGTGAAGATCTCAGTCATCCAGCTCATAGTCCTTTCAAAGAAGTAAAAAAACAATCCAATGGACTTTGTTTCCAAGTTTAAAGATGTTTCACTTCCCATCCAGGAAGCTTTTTAAATTCAAAATGGATGGGAAGCACAAAACCTCCAAACTTGGAAACCAAGTCCAGTGGATGTTTTTTTTTTTACTTTTTTGGGATCAGTTGGTTACACTTCAGCAGTAGTTTGTTATAAAAGGTTAGTAAACGGACATCATTCTAAAGACGACAAGCTTTAACAGGTAAATTATAGGAAGGATAAAACATGAAATAATATTCCAAGCTGTGGACCTGTCGTTAAGAAGTGTCCACTGCCTCAACTTAAAATGGACGTATTATCTTAGAACAGCAAACTTACCAAGACATGACAACCCTCCTAAACAGACACCCCAAGCAGGCAGAGCATTAATTAGAGAAAACTGTAGAGGAAGTGCAGAAATCGGCAGCGGTGGGAGAATCACTCTAGTACACAAGAAGGAAGCCTTGTTTTTAGTTCGACCTGTCAAGAAGTGTGGAAGAATATGCTTTGTTCAGATTAAATTCCAGAAATAAAGCTGCTGTCTACATGCAAATCGCTGCATAACCTAGATAAGAGCCAGCAGATGCAGACAAGCCTGAAAGAAAAGTGGTTAGAGGCTCCAATAGACCTGAGATTTACCTTCCAATGTGATAACAAACTGCAACCGGAGCTACTGATTTAGAGCTTAGATTGAGCATGTTTACGCTTTAAATGGCCCAGTCAAAGACCAAGCCTAAATCCAGTTGAGAATCTGTGGAAAGTTTATAAAACTAATGTACTGAACAGATAGACGGTATAAATGAATAGTGATGCATCCACAGCGAGGCAGCATTGCATCAGATGGGGATTTCACTCTGTGTTTACAGACTCTAGTATTGTTTGCTCTAGAGCCAGATATACTGATTCTGTGAATAAACCTTGTTGTGACTGTAGCACTGCAGTCTCTGTTGACGGTGCATTGTTCACAGGAGTCCTCCCTCTGCTAACCCGGCCTCTAAAGCAAAGAATAACAGATGAATGCAGCCTCTGATGGAAATTACTGGCCTGGAGATAAGAAGCTCAAAACAAGTGGTTGGAGGGAAAAACACTAAACATGAATTCTGCAGCTGTGTGGAAACAATTATCTCTTTACTTGGTTCTAATCGGTTTCTTGTGGCAGTGATGACAGGACTAACAAGCCAGAGCTGGAGAAGCAATCAGAAAGAATAGTGATTGTTATTCTGGTTCAACCCAAACTCTCTAATTTGGGAAAGAAAAATTTCCTTCCACAGCTGAGATTTAAAGCTAACATCTATAGAAAATACAGTAAACTAGTTTATTTGCGCTTACCCTATTTTTATGAATGACTGTTTTATGGTTGTTTTTCCACTTCGGTACTTTTCAGAGATAGCATACATGAGGCAGATATGTGAACCATGCGTCTGATCTGGTCATGCTTTTGTAACCGGCCTCCGCGTTGTGTAATAATGCACCGTTCAATCACTCCAAGTCAGCCAATAAATGGCGTGTTTATTCTGAAAAGAGTGAAACAAAACTGTTCAGCAGCAAATTAAAAACATTCAGCCGACATCAAGCCACCTTCCTCCATTGCAGTAATGAGCAGTGTGTGCATCATTACATATTTAACATCAGATATTATTCAAAATAACCTCATTAAATACTTTAAATGAGGACGAAAGAGATAAAAAAATTACAAAACACATCACGAACAAACCTCCACAACGAATATCCAACATGGATAAAAATGTGTTCATTGTGAAAACAAAAATAAATATATATATATATATATATATATATATATATATATATATATATATATATATATATATATATATATATATAACAAAACATAAAAAAAAAAAAAGTCAACTGATTTTAAATTTTATTTCAGTTTAACATGGGGAGAATTCATGGGAGAATTCTCAGAATTCTGACTTTAATCTCAGAATTCTGACTTTAATCTCAGAATTCTGACTTTTTTTTCAGAATTCTGACTTTAATCTCAGAATTTTGACTTTTTTTCTCAGAATTCTGACTTTTTTTCTCAGAATTCTGATTATAATCCCAGAATTCTGACTTTTTTCTCAGAATTCTGACTTTTTTCTCAGAATTCTGACTTTTTTCTCAGAATTCTGACTTTTTTCTCAGAATTCTGACTTTTTTCTCAGAATTCTGACTTTTTTCTCAGAATTCTGACTTTTTTCTCAGAATTCTGACTTTAATCTCAGAATTTTGACTTTTTTTCTCAGAATTCTGACTTTAATCTCAGAATTCTGACTTTTTTTTTTTAGAATTCAGTCAGAATTCTGAGAAAGTCAGAATTCTGAGAAAAAAGTCAGAATTCTGAGATTAAAGTCAGAATTCTGATTTTTTTCCCATACTAAACTGAAATAAAATGTAAAAATCGGTTAACTTTTTTTTTTTTTCCCCCCACTGGCCCTAATCCTCTTCCGTAACAGACCAAAAAAGTTAAGTCAATAATAAAAAAAAATTAAAAAGAAATAAGAACATACCTGAAAAGAGTGAAACAAAACTGTTCAGCAGCAAATAAAAACATCCAGCCGACATCAAGCCACCTGCCCATGACAAAAGGAGCACATAAAAAAAATAGCATTGTGTGGATAAAACAGTCGGCTTGTTCACAGAAATGCTGCCACAGTAAACCCTTTCACTCGATATAAATCATTCCATGTTTAACTGAACAACTCACGAACACGTTAGCTTAAACACAGCTAAACATTTTTCCTTTTACATAAATTAAACAAAAAAAAAATTAACAAGACATCCATGAAAACTCACCTTCCTCCATTGCAGTAATGAACAGTGTGGGGAAGGAGGAAGTGATGTCACAGGTTATACCCGCAAAACTAAAACTAAACTTTCCCCAAAACTATTATACAGATTATTGTTCTTTAAAGTAATAATTTCAAGGTAAAACCGAAATTGAATACATTAATAAAAATATAAGATGAAGGAATTTTGGTGGAATGAATTTTTTTCTTCCATGTTACACTTTGAGTAGGAAGTTGCTCACATTTGTGGAGATGACATGTGACTCTCACTGATGCTGAGTTTTGATAGTGAGCAGGAATTTATCCAGACGTCTGTTCGTGTCACTGAAGCTTAGGGCCATTAAATTGATCAATACTGATAGAGTTATGCTGATTGTCTTTCATATAATGTAGTTTAGGTAAAAGTTTGGATTCTTTTTTATTGACAAATATTGTTTCATCTATAACATTAAAGAGCAGATCTATCAAAATAAAATCAGACTAGATTTTATTTTGATAGAGCTCCAAGTTGTTGTAGCTAATTTCCAACATGCATTTCAAATGGCTTTGTTTAAATCTTTGATCAAATCTGTATATTAAAGTCATTCAAATCGATCCCCTCTATGGAAGTCATGCTCAGCTCTGAGGCCTCCCTGAAGTTTCCTTCTTCACAGTTATTATAGGCTTAATTTTGCTCCTGATCTCATAAATCCTTTGCTTTCCCTTACTAGGCTGTTTGTTTGTTTTCTCCACATTAACTTTTTTTCTTAATTGCATGTAATGAAGCATCAGAATCGGTTTTATTTGGTAAACAGACGATTACAACAAGGAATCTGGCTTTGCTTCCGCTTTCCTCACAATGAAGAATTTTCTGGTTCAATATACAGAGAAGGAAAATAGAAATGTTTATCTTGATGCAAATTAGCTTGGTGCAAATAAGCATGGTATCCATATGAGATCTTTGACTTAAGTTCATCACACGGACAGACGCAGGGAAGTTAATAAAACTCTGTAGGGCAAACCTTGAGTAAAATTTGAACCAGGTGAGTCCAGGATCTGTGGGGTCTGCAGAAATGTTTGCTGCCCTCTTCCTGATCCCAGACCTGAACAAGTCCTGAATGGAGGGAAGGTCAGCCCTGATGAGTACAGTTTATATTGGAGTACTTGATAATAAGAACATTTATTGTTGTAATGACTTGTAACGTAACACTCCGAGGCATAGTTAAAAAAATAATAATAGAGAATTTATTTCCACATCAATTTGAACAATGAAGGTTTAAATTCCAAATAGGGTGTTCACAACAAATGTGAGAGATTTACATTTTTATTTAAAAGAAAAAAAAGATGTAAATCCCTTTATTTATGGGGAAATCCCTCTCTGCATTTGACCCATCCTCTGGCACTCGGGGAGCAGCGTGGGGTTAAGAGTTTTGCTCAGGAACCTCGAGGGGAGGCTGTAGGGATCGAACCGGGTTCTTGCAACATGTTATCCCTACGTAGAGGTGCATTCAGGAGCAAACAAAGCACATCTTCTGGTGATGAAACAGCGTAATTAGTAGGGGTGTAAATAATAATCGTTTTGTATCGATGCATCGACACGTCCGCAAGAGTATCGATTCCTGTTTTTGTTTTTTTCCCTCCGGTCTATTTTTATCCATTTGCTCCTGGGCGTAATTCTCACTCCCGTGCTGCGGTGGCGCTAAACCCATTTTGCCCTCCTATCTCGCTTCCTTAAAGGGCTGGTCATACTCCTGCAGCAGTGTGTCGCAGTGAGCTGGACACAGACATTTTTGATTTATGCCCAATATTGAAGCGTGGTCTGCGCTATACGCTGTGGGTCTAGATACGGCCGAGGCGGCGAGGAAGTGGGGGTAAGTAGTGCGACAACTGAGGGACATGAGGACCAAAAAAAGTGGAGATCCAGGTGGAAAAAGGGTCCTAGCATTCTCGCGCACCTCGCTCTTCTAGCTGGTCCAACTTCACGAGTTGTTATCCGCAATTTCGGTCATAAAAAAACAAACAAGCCGGCCTCCTGTCTGCGGCACTGTTTGCAGTCAGTTACAATTTGGGAGAGGTGCAGCGGAGCGTCTGCGGAGGGGGCGGGGACGTCGACACTCCAGAGCCGAGGTATTGCATTGCACTCATTGCACTGATTTTGTGCAGTATTTTTGATGCAAAGTCTTTCCGAATTATTATTTTTCAGTGAATGAGGTTTTAATAGGAATAGGTGGAGTACAACTTTTCTAATTCTGTTATTTGCTGTTGTGTCTCAAATAAAATGCATAACGATATTACAGCTTTCATTGATTTATTTCAATTTTGAAACATTGCCTAGCCTGTTAGATAAAAGGAAAAAAAAATGAACCAATTAGTCGAATCGTATTGTGGTGTATTCTTGAGTATCGAAAATAATCGAATCGTTGGGTCAGGAAATCGATACTGAATCGAATCGCCATGATGGATGTGATTTAAACCCCTAGTAATTAGGGCAAAGTGAAAACCATGGTTGACAGGAAGCAAATTCACTGGAGTTCAACAATCTTGACTTCACTGTCAATTTGCATCACATCAACCAAGAGGGAACTGAATGCTGGCTGATGTAGGGTGATGGGAGCACAGAGGAGGGCGAAGCAAAGCTCTATTTCTATCAAAATGGAAGATGAGGAAGAAAATGTTTTGAAATAATTGGGAATGAAGTAAGAAATGCTCTTAAAAGGTAAAAAGAGCAGTTGGTTAAATCCAGGATTGGTGAAATCCAGGTCAGCCGGTATGGTTTGAAACCGACAAGCAGGTAAACGCTCCTCCTATTCGATGAAGCTCCGATGCGACTGGCGTGTTAACCGTGTTGGCCATGAGAATTATTGATGAGATGAAGCAATGAACTGTATGAGAATAATGCAGAAAACTTGGCGGGACTGGTGTTCAGTAGGAACACGGCGTAATGTTTGGCTGATGATTAAACAGTTTATCTGTCAAAAAAACACAACTCCAAAACCAAGGATTGTAACTTAAATGTTTGAACTGGTGGCTCTAAATCACCTATGTATATTCATGCAAAGCTGACTCATAGAGTTTAGAGTAAGTGTTTTGTTGATTATATTCTAAGAGCATAAACCCAAGTTTTGCACGGATGTAGATGCTGACTTAAAGTTGTAAAAGATGTACATCTTTTATCAGCTAAGTGTGTGAGATGATATAAAAAATGCCTCAGCTATATATTTTTTAAAGAAATGTTTCAGTTATTAGTCCAATAATGGGTTCTTATGAATTATATTCTCTTAATATTCTATATTTGACGCTCCCAGTTGCTGCAGTGGAAAATAGAAAAGACCAAATCTATAAGTCAGAGATCCGACAGAGATCTTACACAGTGCGATGGGTGCCTGTCAATATCACCAAGACCAATCCCCTCGCCATGTGACATCACATGCTTTCATGTGATACGCTGATCTGCTGCGAATCTGGAAGGCCTCCATTTGAAATTCCAATTTAATGGAATTTGTGCAGCGGAACAGAGAATTCAGTCAGCAGTCATGTGAGGAAGTGTGCAGATCCAGCTAGCAGGACTGAGTCAAGTTGGGAGAATATATACAAGATGTGTGAAAGGAAACCCTTTGGCCCTGTAAAGTTTGGTAAGATCTTGCAATTTATATATGTGGACCTCGGCTTATTGATGCTTTTATTATTACAATCCTCTGGGTATTATTCTTGTCTTTTATGCCAAAAACGGTCTTAAAAAAAGGCGGGATTATTGCCGTTATGTTCTTTGGTTTGTAATTGTTGCCCCATCGTCAGCCCCTGTGTTTGTCGACTTTGAAAGGGATTTGTGTGTATTTTGTTGAAAAGAGAACCTATTTAGAGGGACACGTGTTTGTTGCACACATGTCCAGCAGCTTAGGGCCGCTCTGAACAACACGCTCAGGGGTAAATAAGTTGCCTTGTTTTCCTATATTTAAAAAAATATTTTCAGATTAATGTTTGACAGCATGAAGGACAGTTTGATTGACAGTTTGTTTTAGTATTTTTTTTTTGTGTGTGCAAATTTTCATTTTAGAAAATCTCTTTGTCTTAAAAGAGACCTTAAAATTAGAGTTGGGCTGCAGTCTTTTTAAGCTGTGTTTTTTTTTTTTTTTTCTTGCAGCTCAGACATGAGTGGAGCCAGTAACACACTGGCCAGGGAATTTCTGACTGATGTTCACCAGCTATGCAGTGCAGTGGCCCAGAGAGCTGAGGCACGGGATGAAGATGAGGAGGAGAGTCACATGGTGGCGCTGGGCGAGTACCTGGTCAGGGGACGGGGCTTCTTGTTGCTTAGCACCCTGGATGCTATCATTGATCAGGTAAGAAAAGGCTAAAAATAAGAATCTTTTAATGTCAAATAAACTTAATTATTGTAACAGAACTTACAAAATTCAGTTTAATAATTTTCCAAGTCTGAGCAAGTATGGAATAAATAAAAATAAAGTATCTATCTATCTATCTATCTATCTATCTATCTATCTATCTATCTATCTATCTATCTATCTATCTATCTATCTATCTATCTATCTATCTATCTATCTATCTATCTATCTATCTATCTATCTATCTATCTATCTATCTCTCTATCTCTCTATCTATCTCTCTATCTATCTCTCTATCTCTCTATCTATCTCTCTATCTATCTCTCTATCTATCTCTCTATCTCTCTATCTATCTCTCTATCTATCTCTCTATCTATCTCTCTATCTATCTCTCTATCTATCTCTCTATCTATCTCTCTATCTATCTCTCTTATATTTATCTTATCTTTCTAGTTCAACATATTCTGTGATATTAAAAAAATACAAAACAAAAAAAGGCTTAAAACAATAACAAAGGAGAGTATACAGATTCCTAACCTTCTGGTGCATCTTTTCCTTTTTTGTAGTTGCATTTTTCTTTAAACACTATAAGAGCATATTGTTTTACTCCTTTGTTGGTGTAGGAAACTATAAATCTATCATGATCTAATATATAAATTATTGAAAAATGCTGTTATTTGTCTGAAGCACCACATGATTTTTTCCCCTCAAGTTTTTACTATGTCAATATTTAAAATTCTGGTAAAATGTAGAAATCTAGAGTCTTGAAAAGGGAATAATGTTAAAACTAAAAGGATGTCTGCACAGCTTGTCTAAGATATGACCATCTATTCTTTTTTTGTTGTTGTTATTTTAGCTTTTATCAGTCGGCCTCAGCAGATGGCCACTCACACTGAGCCTGGTTCTGCTGGAAGTTTCTTCCTGTTAAAAGGAAGTTTTTCCTCTCCACTGTCGCTACAAGCATGCTTAGTGTAAGGGATTGCTTTCAGGTCAATGAGTCGATGCAATCAGCTGGATTTCCTTAGATAAAAAAACTTTGAACCACTCTGACTGTATGATCTGGTGAACTGTAACGTGTCTTGAGATGACGTGTTGTGAATTGGCAATATATAAATAAACTGAATTGAATAATTTTCGTTCCATTAGCACTGAATGTTAGCTGCTTGCAGTGTCAGGTTTTGTTTTGCATGTTTAAGTAATAAAATGTAATACAAGTACGGAAAAACATGGCAAAATGCAAGTTTCTACCAATGGTTTCTCCCAGAAAAGGAAATACAATAAGAATCTTGAAAGCACCAAACATGCATAGGTAAAGGATTAAAACAGGTGTTGACAACATGAAAATAAAACAATAAAAGCACCAAACAGTTGCAATGTTTGATGCTGTAAACTTTTATGAACAAACACATTCTTCCTGTAGAGTAGATCGTGGGTTTTCACAAGAGCAAATGCTTAAACTTCACTGACTGAACCTGAAGTTTTAAACTCCCTTCACTTACCTGCTGTACCTGCAGTCAGATTGTTTCTATCTCACGTTAAACTACCGGTAAAATGTATAGCAAGGATATTATTCGTTTGTTTAAAGGTCGAACCTATATGTTTGTGAACCGTTCACGCAGCAGAGGGCAGGACATGTTTTCTTTGTGTAAAACGATGGGAAATGCCTCACAGAAGGAGTTATTGTTTGTGCCATCAATTAGCACCAGGCTCAGGCAGCCCCTTGTTTTGTCTGTTAAAATCATTGCTGTCTGTACGCTTCACTACGAGTGTTCTGGGAAAGATTTTGAATCGTAGTCAGAACCTTTAAATTTGTTTTTATTGTCTTTGAGGGCATTGGGCTTCTTCATAGAGTTTTAAATAATGGGACCCATGAGCCTTACTATGGTGTTCACTTTGTTGAAAGCGTTTCCAGCTGCTGAGCCCAGATGGCATCTATAAAACCTGATGTTTATACAATATCATTTATTTCTTAGAACAGCAGCTCCAGAGAAACTACAGAACTGATATAAAGGGACATCCAGATTAAACAGCAACTGAGTTGAGGTAACATAAGAACAGTAGAGTGATGATATATCAAACCTAAAGATATCCTGCAGGATAATGTAAAGCAAATAATATGATGTTACCCTCTATTAGTTTTACAAAAGCCGTCATTTCATTCAGAGACGTCTATTTAAATGAAACGTGTGGCGGCAAGTTCTGATAACCTCATGAATCTGGGCCTGTGTGGCATTTTCCCTGTCTTACACTCGATCATCGTAGTTCTTGCATTTAGTCAACACATTTAAGGCATGCATGTGCAAATTGTCATCACAAGCTTTGGCTGTGTGCGTCAGCTGCATCCTGCATGAGACCAAGCCTCACAAAGCAATCAGGGTCACTTTGTAATAAAGATGTGTGGCTAATACTTGGATTCAAAGAAAATGTTTCATGAGTTTTATTTGTTCTTCTGCAGTGCTTATAGCCTTCATTATGGATCTCTTGTAGTAGATCAGATACTTTGTATTGTAAAGGTGACACGGCTGCCTGTTGAGGTCATATTCAAAGTCATGTGTCAAGTGTTTTATTGCAGTTAAAAATCCGTAAAATTTGCAGATGACTAATTAGAGCCAGCAATGTATAACGTTACAGGATTCAAATCTGTTTTTAATTGCTTTGTCACACAAGGAAAAAACTAAAAAAATAAGATGAAAACTGATTTTTCAGGGAAGCACGAATCAAGGAAGCAATGTTATTAGACGTCACACTTGAGCCAAACAAGCTGCGACCAACAAGAAATAAACACTGAAGAAATAATCAATAATCAGATCCAAATGAGGAGCAGAGAGGAAACTTTAATTAAATGCTTCCTATGGAGTCATCAAATTGACAACCATTAATAATAACATAGTTTATCTGATCCGTTGGCTGGTGGCTTTTATTGAGGATAAAATTGAAAATAAGCACTGCTCTGGTATCTGGTTATTTTCATGTCGGCTTTGAGATTTTCTAACTTTTTGTCTCCCCATGTTTTAACAATATTGTTCAACATGGATAGCGATGAGCAACAAAGATTGACTTGGAGAAAAAAAAGCTTTAACATGCCTGTAATTTCATTATGAAGCCATTTTCTTTTATGTGTTTTTTGTCTGTTGGTCTTGGCCAACGATAGCCATGATATTCGCTTCCCTCACAGTAAATCAGGGTTCCCGCGGGTCCTTAAAAAGTCTTAAAAGGCATTGAATTCTTCAAAATAAAACTAAGGCCTTAATTGGTATTAAAATGTCTTAAATCAGTCTTTTGTAGGTCTTAATTTAAAAACATCATAAATAGGATTATTTTCATTATGATTTATTTTTGTAATCTAAATAAAACATTAAAATTGACCTTTTATTTAATAAAAAAAATAACGGCTCGCCATTATTGGTTCCATCCCGATAGCGGAACCAATAAAAGCGTTGTTGCGGCCGGGACATTTGGGAGATGCGCCTTTTACTTTTGTCTGGAAAATATGAGCGTAAGTGTAAATGTAACCAAAATTGGCTCCAGCCAAGAGTTTCCTCCATGGCTAAAACCACGGAACATACATGAGGCACAGTGGATTTTGTTCAAGAAGCGATTCAAGCTCGGAACGATGGGAATTAAGGCAGTGGAGTCGCACATGTGAAGCACGAAACACAAAGCATCAAAATCGAGTTACCGAGAAACAGCCGATATTTCTAAGTTTTGTTCCACCCTGTTCTCTGCAACGCCTCCACTTATCACCAAATCAAACATACTAAGAAAACGATACAAAGAAAAATAGCTTCAAAAAAGACTTAGCACTGGTGATATTGTGGCTTTAAAACTGATTTGTTTTATTCCCTGCTAAAACAAAGTTTGTGAATTCATTTAAATAATTGTTAAAATATATCTGTCATTTGTGTGTTTTTAGCTTTCTTCCTGTATGGGAAGCTTTTCAAAATTTGAAACATTAGTGCAGTGGTTTATGTTAAAATAAATCTTTGGGTAAAGTTGTCGCAGGCAGGTTTTTCTTGTGTTTCTTGTGAATTTGGTCTTAAATTTTTATTTCAAGTGGCATTAAAAAGTCTTGAATTTAACTTGCCTTATGCTGTAGGAACCCTGGCAAATGCATTGCTTCTAGAGGTTGGTGATGAACCATTGGAAAGTGGTTCAGTGTTGCATTTAAGAGCATAGGAAAAACAAAGCGCCAACAGATAAAATGCAGATGGGAAATGTTACCTCAGTAATTCCAGTTAGATGCTCAGAATATTGTCGTTTTATAGGATACATTCAATATATCATTAGTTTTAATTAAGTTCAAGTAAGAAAAGTCTTGTATCAAACAGACACTGTCGATGAACTCAGCAGATTTTCTTTTTTATTTCAAGGACATTTATACAGTAAATAAAATTAACTTCTTTTTCTGTCCCTGCTTATGCATTTGCTCCATCAGTGTGTGACGTGCACTGCTAAATCAAATATTCTCACTCAAGCATATATCCCAGCTTGGTTTTTGGTGTGTATAATTACTTTTGCTTGTCTGACTCTCTGTTCTGGTTCTTTGGTTGAATAGAAGTGTTACATCAACTGCAACGCTTTTAATTCCTGGATTGCTTTATGGTTTCAGGAGGTCTGGAAATGTTTATCTAATTATCATTATCAAAATGTTAGTCAAATATTAGTCTGGATAGTTATGGAAAAGGAGAAATTATTAAAATATTTGTATTTTCAAACTTTTTCTCTCTTTTTAAATGCTGCCCTCAGCACCAAAGTTATAGGTGCTTTTGCTTGCAGTGGCATAGGTCAATACTGGTATGCAGTTGCTGATCCATTAGTAAGTTCAGAAGCTATGCCTTGAAATAATGTGAACCTCATGAATTTCTGCTCCCTTATTTTGCCATCTATAGTTTTTTTTTTTCATTTGATAATAACTTTCTTTTCATTTGTTGTCATGTTTTTATTTTTTAAATGATCTCTATCTCCATACATTCCTTTTATTCCTTCGTCCTCCATTGTTCTTGCCTTCTGTTCTTAATGCAGTTCTTCTTAAACTTTATTAGTCATTTTTTGGAGTTAGAAATCCATCAACAAAAGTATAAAACAAGTAGTAATTGGCGAACCAAGAGTGACAGCATTGGATGTATAAAAGCAGCAGCTTTTCAACTTTAAGGCAGGCACCAATATTTTAATATATCTAGTTTCAGACCCAGCCAAGTCCACCATAGCTGCAAATGACCAACAGTGACAATGATCTAAATAAAAAAATAATAATGCTGAAATTCTTGAAGATGCAATATATGACCATAAATGTTACTTATTAATCGCTTAAAAATAGTGGCAGAACAGTAACAGACTTTTAGCAGCAGCTAAAAGTCTCCCCTATTCTCTCACTGTCCCTTCATGCTTTTGTTTCTTTATTGATTTGATGTTCTTTGAAAACCTTTCAGCCAAGTTTAACTGGACTTTTTATCAACGGTACAGAAGATCACAAACTGGCTCTGCTATTAGGCTAAAATAAAGTCCTTCACTTATTTAACAAATCCAAGAATTGGATGGGGAAAAAACAGATAGAAAAGAAGATTTCAGTGCAAATTAGATTTTAAATATATAAATATTAGTTGGTTCTCATTATTTGTAAATGCTATAAAAAAAAAACTCAAGAAAACATGTTTAAATTTAAGTTTAACAATAGGTGGAATTTTGAAATGAAACAGTTAAAGCTGTTTATCAAGTTAAATGTATATAAACTTGGACTGCATAGCCAAAATTCATTTATATTTGGTAATGAAATTATTGTCTTTATTTCAAAATAAGTGGGTAGCACTGCTGCCTTGCAGCAAGAAGGATCTGGGTTCAGTTCCCAGCCCGGGGTCTTTCTGCATGGGGTTTGCATGTTCTCCCTGAGCATGTGTGGGTTCTCTCCGGGTACTCCGGCTTCCTCCCACAGTCCAAAAACATGAATGTTAGGTTAATTGGCTTCTCTAAATTATCCTTAGGTGTGAGTGTGTGTGTGAATGGTTGCATGTCCTGTTTGTCTCTGTGTTGCCCTGCGATGGACTGGCGACCTGTCCATGGTGTACCCCGCCTCTCGCCCATTGTCAGCTGGAGATAGGCACCAGCAGCCCTCACGACACCAGTTGGAACAAGCAAGTCAGATAATGGATGGAATGGATTTCAAAATCCTTTAATATGTTCCTTTTTGGTTGGCATATTTAGGTATGAAATCTGCCTGTCTTCTTGTGGTAAATTGATGAAATATTAATTAAAAAAAAGCATAAAATTAACTTCTCTTTGTCATGTTTACAATGTGAAAGAGTTTATTCTGTTCCTGTAGATGCTGTCTTGTCAGAACATGTGTTTTAAGCCTCCTGCTTTACCTTTTATGTAAGACGAATGACCAAAGTAGATATTTAATTAACACCTGACAGAGGAATACCTCAGTAGACTTTGGATTCAAAATTCCTCGAAGTTAGCCTGTCGGGTAGCTGCTGCATTACTCACTGTCTGACTTCTACCTAGATCAATGGAGAAGTAGCATTTAGTTCCTATGCTCCACTTATCTGGAACAAACTTCCAGAAAACTGTAAAAATGCAGAAAGCCTGAGTTCCTTTAAATCAAGACTAAAAACACATTTGTTTAGGATTGCTTTCGACTATTCTAGTTAAACAGTTCAACAAAAACATGTTTTCTTTAATCCAACTGTTTTTAATATTCTTTTTTTGTTTCTGCATTTTTATTTTATTTTATTTATTTTTAATTTTTTCCTACTTGCTTTGATTCTGTTTTATCTTCCTGTATTTTAATCATGTAAAGCACTTTGCATTGTCTTTGTACTGAATTGTGCTATACAAATAAATTTGCCTTGCCTTGCCTTGCCTTAGATAACTGAAAACTGAGAGGAATCATTAGTAGTTTGGAATATTCCTAAAAGTCCAACACATTCTGATGGTTTTATGAGTTTAGCGGCTGGCTAGCTGATAAGTCACCCGTCCTGCAAATAGGAAGCCTTGGTTTCTGTTCGTTTGAGCTGCCACTGTGGGTCCTTGGGTTAGACCCGACATGCCTGCTTTGGGGAGTGGCGGTTTAGTGGTTAGGGCATTGCGCTTTGAATCCTGAGGTTCTGAGTTCAAGCCCCACTCCCACAGACTGCCACTCTGACTCTCTGAGCGCCGGACAATAGCAGCCCACTGCTCCCCAAGGGGATGGGTTAAATGCAGAGAGGTAATTTCATTGCTCTGTACTTGTGACAATAAAACTCTGTTACATAATGGCGATAAAACGCTGAAAATAATGGAGACTTGAATGGATGTTTGGATTTAGGGAGGAGTAGATGCGAGATGGTGGGCGTGGCATTAAAGTGGGACCAAAGTGGCGTCTGCGTCCCCCCCACCTCCCTTTCTAAGTAACTGACTGTGATCTGTTAAACTCTCAGGAGCTGACTTGTCGAGAAGAGCTGCTAACTCTGCTGCTGTCGCTGCTTCCTCTGGTCTGGAAGATTCCTGTTCAAGAGGAAAAAGCCCCAGGTTTGTTGTTAACCTCTATTATTTATCCTGATTTCTGTTCATATTGAACATCCTGTTTGATCTTTTTGTAAAGCATAGTGTTCCGTGACCTGTTTTCATGGTTTAGTTAATGTTCTCCCTAAACTTGTTTGAACGTCACTTTTTTTTTTATCATCTAGCAATAATGCAGTGTTTGATTTGGTGCGTTCATGTGAAGGCAATTTAATGCTTCCATGTTGCTGTTAACTATAAATGTTTATATCCTCCTCACATGTTAGTTATAAACTTTTATTTTCTGTCAGTTTATTTGGCACGCTTACTGCAAAGAACCGAAAGTGTAAAAATGTGCAAAAGTTTTTTGAAGTTTTTTGATTTGTTTCAGAAAAAAATGAAAGGAAAAAGTATGAAAATATTTTTATCTTCTGGTAACTATTTCTGATTTTCATGATAATATTGGTTTTTAGAAATGTTCCTACATCCAGACTCCTAGGATTTCTTTGGATAAAAGATCCACATTATCAACACTGTATTAATTGCAGATAACAATAGAGATATACACTTGCTCAAACTCCTTAAGGTTTTATTGAATGGTTATGTGTAAAGATGTCTTAAGTGATAAAACAGTAAAAAACAGGAACTTTGTCCTAAAACAGATGAACATTTTTGGGAATGTTGTGTAAAGTTGTCCGTCTTTTTTTATCTGGCCTCCTTAACAGTTTATTTATCTGCCTTAAATGTAAATCGTTTTTTTATTATTATTATTATTATTATTATTATTATATTAATTCCCAATAATTTGCCAATTGTCTAACAAATCTGGAAATGCTCAAATAGAAAAAATAAAATATATATAAGTCCTATTTCTACCTTTTTTTTTTTTAAGTTAGTCACAGAGCAGGAGAACATTTCTGTTTGCAGAGGCTTATGACCTGAGAATGACTTTGGCATTTAGAAGAAGGCTGCTGATCTTCTCTAACATCAGGTCTTGACATTTCTTGTTTAATTAATATTTGCTTTCTGAAACGTTTAACAAGCTGCTTTCAGGGCTTTACTACGGTGGCCCTGAAGTGCAAACTGCAACTACAAATCTAAAAGCGCAACTACATTAAGAAAAACAAAACTACATAAAGCAAAGCGCAACTACATTAAGGAAGGTATGCATTTTTTTATTTTAGAATGCATACCTTGTATGCATTTTAAAAGAAAAAAAAATCCCAGAGTAGAATAACACTTTTTTATGATATATTTCGCTCCAGAATTAAAATATTAAACATGATTTGACCTGTTGTATAAAAAAAACCCCAGAAACGTCTTAATGTTTCTCAAACTATAAATGTTATGTTAATGTTGTGCTAAATGTTTGCTTGCCAATATTCAGTTTTTTTTTTAATTAGTAAATAAAAAAGATAAATGAAAGTAATGAGTTGCTTAAATATAGTAGTACTTCCCAATAAAAGTAATAATTCTGCTAATTGAAATAAAATAAAACAGAAACCATGAATTCTGAAAATATAACATGTTAACATGTTTTTATTAGTTAGCAGCTAATAAAAGAAATATTGAAATTTACAATCATTTAAAAAATGAAAAACTTTGCAACATTGCATTACATATTCAGTATGGTTAAATACTGCTTGCAGTCTTCCTGATTGCTAATATTTTTGTTGCTTTTAAAGTGTTTTTAGTTTAACAAATGCATTTAAATATAAAGAAATGCATACAAAAATACAAAAAAATCTAAGACAATACAGATAAACACAAAATGCAATTCTTAATTGTTTTTTCTTTAATCAAGGGGGAAGAGAAATTTGGAATGTGCATGTATGTGTATAAAAAAGAGAGTGCCCCACTGTTAGAACACAGCGTGGTTTATCACACTGGAGTTTACTCTCTCTAGCCACACACAGGCCTTGGGTGTGGCTAAATGGGATGTAATTAACCCCTCAATGTGGCTGAATTACAACAATTCTGCTAAGATCAGTGGGTCAAAATTACTTCACAGCACTGTTAAAGATTCATTGCAAATGATCCAAAATGCTTGACTGAACTCTTAGAAGCTGGGGCTGGACTAACCAGCTAAAAGGTTCAGGGAGAAATCATGTTTTTACTCATGGCTGGGTAGGTTTGGGGTTTTTATTCTCCCTTAATGATAAAAAACTTCATTTTACATTTACTTGTGTTGTCTTTGACAAATACCTGAATTTGTTTAAACCTCTGACACATTTTAAGAGTAACAAATGTAAAAAAACAGAAAAGATAAATTAGGAAGGTGGCAAACAGCTGCTCATAGGTGGGTTATAGGATTCTGCATGAACTATAACACATCCTGCTCTCTGACCGAAAATCCAAATATAATTCAAAGTAATGAATCACATATCTAATTATAATTATATATATATATATATATATATATATATATATATATATATATATATATATATATATATATATATATATATATATATATATATATATATATATATATATATATATATATAGTTTTAAGCCGAAATTAGAGTTTAATTTAGATAAGCAGTACTCTAAACGTTAAGAGATAACCCATACATATATACATGCATTCATTCTTGGATTTATTATTTTACTTGTGCTGTGTTAAAATTTAGGTTTTCAGAGAAAACCCCCCTAATTTTTTAGGTTTAGCTCTTTTCCAAACAGGCATTAATTCTCAAGGTTCCAATAATTGTCTATAATACATTATTTCTATAAACATTATAATTACACTATAATACTTTTTTTTGCCATTTCCAAGCTTGCTGCTTGTCTTCTATTGACAGAAGAAAATGAAGGAAGCTGATATTAGTTGCTTAATTCAAACTGTTTGATGAAAACACATTGCTGCTTCTTGTGTGCTAACTGGTGTTAATCAAAACAATGAACTTGTTCATCAACACTAAAAAGATTCGTAAACCACCAAATGAGTCTTTCTTATAAGCAAGAGAGCCAATTTTTCAATCAGCTAACTATAAGCTTGCAGCAACAGGTTAGAGAGGGGCAGAAAAGTTACCTAATTCTTTATTTGCTTAGAATGATCTTGATGTACTTCATACTGGTTACCGACCTATACCTACTCTCAACATGCAGTAGAGCATCTTGTCCTTTAGTGTTTACTTTTTTCATTATTTCATTCACCACATGTTTTTTTTTTTGTCTTAAATGTTTTTTTTTCATTTAAATCTTGATGCCAAAGCCTGTTGGATCTCTTTGTGAATTTACAGATTTCACCCTGCCATCCCTAATTGAAGTATTCCTTAGCCGGGAGGTTAAGGCTGTTCCACTCAGGACAGGCCAGAAAGCTGCCACAGATGAGCAGAGCTCTGGAAAGAGGTCCCGTGTTGGCAGCGGAACCTTGAAGTCACGGAGATCACGCAGGACGTTGCAGAGATATTCTGTGAAAGATGCTCGCAAGTCCCAAGTCTCCACTTCAGATTCAGACGCCAACTCTGATGACAGAACGGTTGGGGGCTCAAGTGGGGTGAGGAGCCGGAGACCACACGGGTCCACTGTCCAGGTGAGCTGTCAGTATCATCGCTCTGAGGCCTCGCACTTGACATCTACCGCCACCAACACTACAGAAACCATGAGTGCACCGTATCCCCACCCAAGAGCCCCTGGATCTCAGATGGTTGACAATGAAACCTTGACTGACCCGGCTGCAATATCCATTTTCAACCGCATGGAGAACTCGCCCTTTGATCTGTGTCACGTGTTGCTTTCTCTGTTAGAGAAAGTATGCAAGTTTGACATGAACATAAGTCACAACCCCGGTCTGGCCATCAGTGTCGTACCAACGCTCACAGAGATCTTGACGGAGTTCGGGGACTGCTGTGGTCCAGGGGGGGGACGGGGAGTTGGGGCTGAAGAACTTGCTGGAGGATGGACAGAGGAGCCGATTGCACTGGTTCAAAGAATGCTACTACGCACCATCTTGCACTTGATGTCTGTGGATATAAGTCAAAGTGACAAACTTCCAGACAGCCTGAGACGAAGTTTAACAGACTTGCTGCGAGCAACCCTCAAAATCCAAAGCTGTTTGGAGAGACAGAATAACCCTTTTGCCCCACGTCAAAAAAAGACTTTACAGGAGGTCCAGGATGATTTTTCCTTTTCCTGTTATCGCCACAGAGTTCTGCTGCTTCCTGAGCTTTTAGAAGGAGTACTACAAGTTCTTCTGAGTTGTCTCCAGGCTTCAACGTCCAACCCCTTTTTCTTTAGCCAGGCTCTTGAGCTCATTCATGAATTTGTCCAGCATCGTGGCCTTGACCTCTTTGAGGCCACAGTTCTCCGGTTGGAAGGACTCAGCAGGACAAGTTCTGACGTAGGCAGAGAGGCTTCAGAGCGGTTACGGGCTCTCATTGCAGGCGTCTTCAAAATAATCAGTGCTATCAAGAAAGCAAAGTCAGAGCAGCTTCACCAGTCAGTTTGCGCGCGTCGCCGGCACCGTCGCTGCGAGTATTCCCATTTCCTGCATCACCACAGAGACCTGTCAGGACTGCCTGTCTCTGCCTTCATGCAAACAGCCAGACGCAACCCCTTTGAGGAGGATGGGGAGAGCTCAGAAGGAACTGAGGGTGATACCGTGCGTTACCCGGAGAGATGCTGCTGCCTAGCTGCCTTCGCCCACCAGTGCTTGTGGCTCCTGCGGCGCCTCTCGCCCAGTGGGCCATCTGTGCTCCAGGTATTAGCTGGGATTCAAGCCGTGGGAATCTGCTGTTGTATGGACCCTCGCTCAGTAGTAGGACCTCTTTTACATGCTTTCCAAGCTCCAGGTCTTCGTAGTTACCAGTCCCATGTGCTGTGTGTCCTCTGTCGGCTGATTTTAGACCAGCTCGGTGGGGGTCAGCCTTCAGAGAAAGCTAAACTGGCCTCTTGTAATATCTGTACTCTGGACAGCAGCCAACTTCCAAGTCTGGAGGAGACATTGCAACAAGGAGAACCTTCAACTGTTTCTAGCAGTTTTTGTTACCGCTCCCAAGGCATCCTGCCTAGTGGAGGGGGGGCTGAGGACATGCTGTGGAAGTGGGATGCCCTAGAGGCCTACCAGGAGCTAGTATTTGGGGAGGACTGGCAGCTGAGCCAGCAGATAGCTGGCCATGTGTGCCATCTAACACTACGGGGCAATGCTATAGTGCAGTGGCAACTTTACACGCACATTTTCAACCCTGTTCTGCAAAGAGGGGTTGAGTTAGTTCACCATGCCCAGCAGCTGGGGGTTTCTACCGTCTGCACTCAGGTCTGCAGCTACCACACACAGTGCCTGCCTGTGGAGGTCCTACTCATCTACCTGCAAACATTACCAGCACTTCTCCGATCAAGGTGAGCCCCCGTACCTCGTTTCCTGCTCTTTTTTCCCACTCTACAATCTTTTATTTATACTTTTTGGGTTGTCCTGAATGTTAATCAACTGCAGATACAAAATATGTCGGCAAAAACATATTAATACCATAAACCCTTTTGGTTCCCCACTTATGATTTAAATGGAGCAGTTTATTGTCATGTTAGCGATTTTTGCTTATATTGCAAGTTTTGCCACAAACTTTCCAAGGATTATATAAACATGACAGATAGAAATTAACCAGCCACCTCACACTAGACCACATCCGCTATGTCATGAGATCTCTCTCCTCAGCCTCATGCTAATTATTACTAATCAATAATGCATCATGTTTTTGTTTCCTTAGTAAGAGATCTAAGACTATTGACTGATATGCAACTCTGTTACCTTGTCTTATGTCTGTATTCCCAAACCACAAAGCAATACTTTACAAAGACACATTTATCATATCAAGATCTGTTTATAAAGCAATGAAAATAAGAGCACAGGAGTTCTGTGTGCCCCCTTTATGTTGTGTCCAACTTGCTTTGTGATTTTGTTTGGGTTTTTTTGGGCAGTTATTTTTACATTACTATCTGGGGAAACAAAAGTTTAGCTGTTGCTATTTTGGTAGAAAAAAGGCAATGTTAGCTAAAATATTTAAACTTGGTCTAATATCTTATTTTAGCACTCATTGCAGACAGATTTACCAAAAAGTCAAAAGCCAAAAAAGAAATGTAGGTCATTTCATTCTGTGATTTTTTTTTTTTTTTAAATGATGCCATCTGCACCAAATCTTGCATTTTATAGCAGAAGTTGAAAGCTTGAAAGGATAACAGAGTTATTGTGCTATGATCTAATTTTATTCTGTCTTGTAGCCTCATTGATATGGGCAACAGCTAATGATTAAAAACACATCTCCAAAAAGAAGTGTTATTGTAAAGTGCTGGAGTCTAAATACGGTGGGTTCACTGAATAGGAATAAGATTCGAGATCTGAGCTGCTCACTCGGCTATCGGACTGAAAATAATCTGATTCCATTCACTAGCCGTTTTCTTTCCATATCTATAATGTTGAAAGGTTTTGCTTTGTTGATCAGAGAAGTAGATATTGCTCTACATTTACCTGAGTTGTGCAGAGTTTTTGTAAACCACTAGATTTGATGCGTTTAAGTTCCAAAGCTTTAATAAAACAGTTCAGGTTAAGCGTCCGACGCATGTACGCGCCCATCAAAGGTTCCAGTCCTGACCTGGTGACCTTTGCCACTTGGCTTTCCCCTCTCTCTTCTCCACTTTCCTGTCTGCCTAAATTTACATTCAAAAATTAACAAAAATAAAGGCTACTGGTGCCTTAAAATATTCTTTAAAAAGATATCTGAGCTGGACTGACGGACCAGGTTAACAGAATTCCCTCTATACTAGCATCCATTACTTTAAAAAAAAAAAAAAAAAACTGCCCTTTGAATATTCCGGTCATTCTGTGAATTATAGGGCTCCATCTGCTGGACCAGGTGGTTAAATTAGTCATATACATCATTATTCTTAATAACTTTATTTTAATTTATTAAAATAAAATAATTTTGATAAACAATTTTGAAAGCACAGATACGTTTGAAAATTAATAATAGCAGAAATTTAATTTATGTCTACATACCCTAAGTCTTATTTTTATAGCTGTTTGCATAACGCCAATCTTTTTTCTTAAAGATCTTACACATGACAACATGGGCAACTAATGATAATCCAACTTGATGCAATTTCATATTTCATATTTTTTTTCCCATACCATATTTTCATGCAAATCATTTATCTCCGTCTCATTCGTGTTGTTGAGTAGCAGAACACTGACAATTAAATTAAGTTAAGTTTGAGTTTAAATTAATGTAACTCATAAAAAACACAAATACCAAATATCCAATATTTTGCTCGGAAATCAGATGGTGTAAAGCAATTTTTCCCATCCCAGGAATATGCAAGTCCATTGCATGGGGTTCATGAAAATTTTTTATTCCTTAGGTAGTAACATAAAACAGCTGGCGATCTGTTTTGCTTTGTGAGAAGCTAATTGAAAAATAAACAGGCTTTTATCAACCAAAAAGAAAGTTTTTCTGATATCAGCTGTTTTTCACACTGAGCTATCAGAGCTCATCAAGGCAGCTCAGGTGTCTTGATGAAAACAGAGTAAAACAAATTAAGTCAGTAGTTGTTCTGTATTTTTTTCCCTATTCATTAGGTTTCAATATGATTATAAGGGAGCTTCTGTTTTTTTAAATACAGGTTTATAATATGATTTTATTTTGTGTTTATGTAGATTCCTTACCAACTTTCAAGCAACATATTAATGTTGTTTTTTTGTGATGGAAAACATAAAGTTATACAAATGAAATGCTCAAATCAAAAGATTAAGTAAAATAGTCTTTATTTCAGTTATTGTATGTTCCATTTTTGGATGATCACCAATATTTTTGATTGAGTGGGGTATTGATGGTAAGCCAAAATACCCAAAGGGGAACAGAAGTCAAAAAAAGGTTGGGAAACACTGGTATAAAACATGATGGCTTCCATAGCGGTTGTCGTTAGCAAAGTTAAAGCTCTTTGCTACTAAGCTGTTTGGATGGTGGCGTACTTATATGCAAGTGCTGCTAGTAAATCATTTAAGTCAAACACAGCTTGACATGGTCTAGATCCTCTCCATCTAGTGCAGCCATCCCTAAAGCCGGTCCTCGAGGGCCGCTGTTCTGCATGTTTTAGAGGTTTCTCTGCTTTAGCACAGCTGATTCTGATGATTGTAGTTCAGCAAAAGCTTGTTAATCTACTATCAATGTAAATCAGCTGTGCTGGAGCAGGGAAACCTCTAAAACCTGCAGGACAGCGGCCCTCGAGGACCGACTTTGGGGATGCCTGATCTAGCTTTTCTACCATAAAATGAATAAATCGTTTTAGGAGGAAACCGGTTTTGTTCACTGCAGTCTCTATTTAGATTTGGTCACAAACTGGTTAAAATGAAGATTATTTGGATTACTTTAATGTCATAATCCTGGGCAATGTTATGCATATTGAAATATACATTTATTTACCATGTGACTCAAAACTGGTTAGTGTGGGAGACATTGTGTTCTATTTTGCTATTCAAGTTGTTCTTTACTTACTGTAGCTTCATGTTTTATGTTTCAGAGTTGTCAGAGACCTTTTCATCAGTTGTAATGGCCTTAATCAGGTGACGGAGCTCGTCTACCTTGACCAGACTCGCTCTTTGGCTTTGAAAGTGTTTGAAACTCTGATAATAGGAACTGGACATCAGCAGGGTGATGGGCTTCTTCATGAACTAGAGAGTGCTGACGCCAAAGAAAGGGAGGCTATCCTAGGCCTGGCTGAGGAACTGGGGTCCCGGGGGGTCGGGGAAGGCCCACAGAGCCTCAGCAAGTTCTATGAAGGCCTAAAGGAGGCGTATCCACGTCAAAAAAGCCGTACTGGACAGAACCACGGAAGAAGTAGAACTGAGACCCACCTACACGTCATCAACCTCTTCCTTTGTGTGGCCTTCCTCTGTGTCAGCAAAGAGGCCGATTCTGATCGGGATTCTGCCAATGACTCTGAAGACACTTCAGGTTATGACAGTACAGCAAGTGAACCTCTTGGAGGACGCCTGCCTTATCTGTCTCCAGACAGTGTTGCTTTGCCCTCTAAAGAACAGCTGCGGCGTGCTGCAGACGTCTGGTCCGTGTGTCGCTTCATCTATATGGCCAGCCCTCTCTTCCAAAGGCAGTTCTTTAGACTTGGTGGATTGGATGTGTGCTTGCGCCTCATGGCAATGGTTATCCAAAAACTCTATTGTAAGACCAAAGATGGGAAAGCAAAGAAGAAGAGAGAGGGTAAAGGGAAAGGCAGCCCAGACTCTACAGCTCAGGTTGCTTCTCTAGGATCTGAAGATCCCTCCTGTGAGTCAGGAGATTTCCAGAGTGTGGCTCCGACTGAGGGGAAGACCAAAGATCCAGGGAAGAGGATGGATGACCAGTGGCAACTTCAAAGTATCCGTCTTCTTGAGGCCTTGCTGGCCATTTGTCTGCACAGCTCTAACTCGGCCATGCAGAGAATAGAACCGGAGCTTTCTTATCAGGTTTGTTTAATCAGTGTTATCTTCTCTGTAGATCAGTCACAAAAATAACACCATTCAATAATCTATTGCTCAATTTCCATAGCTTCAATCTGTTGAGGAGACCCTGTTCGAGGTGAGGGACCAACTGTCACGCTCAGGAGTGGTGAACTCTGACCTTGCCGTGCCCCTGTTCGACTCTCTGCTGAGAGTTGCCTTGGCTCAGGTGTCTTCATGCACCGATACATCCGAGGAGAAACCAGAGAGGGTAGGTTCTGCTGTAGGAGATGCAAGCACTGAATATTTTACATCCTTGAAGAGATGGATTAGGCTTTTTTGTTTTTTTTAACTGACTTCTGTTAGCCTCTCCATAGTTATCCTCTATAGCTTTTATTTTATTCTTTTAAAATGGCTTATTTTCAGACCTGCTCTTATTTTGTAAAGTCTCCCGATGCTGTTTTGCTTTGAAAAGTAAGTGCTAATGGCGAGGGAGGATATGTGGTACAAGCCCTATGTTGGGTTAGGTTGAACAGTTCTGCCAAAAATCTGTATTTTCTTCTAGGATATTGTAATTTTTATTTAGGCTCTCATTTGCACTAACCACAAGCACTCTAGGGGTAGGAAAAAGCCAAAGCAGAGGCAGAAAGTTAAAATAAGCATCTGCAGCAAGGTTTAGCAAACCGAAAGGGTACAATCTGTTATTTTATGTAGGAACACGAACTTTTATGATCACATTTACCCTCCTTGTCTAAGAAAAATTTTACATTTATTGTGAAATGTGAAAAGTATTCTTGTTGATAGAGAAGTTAAGAATAAATAAAAGGGAGAAAATCATCCTGCAAGGTGTTTAAGGCACTAAAGTAAAGCATTTACTCCATGTTGCTAAGCAGCCTTTATCTGGACAGTCGTGCAATAAGATGGCAAACGTAATTAAATTTCCCATGTATAGCAAGTCTACAGCCCTGAGCAAGCATGAAGAGGCAAACATTCTAACCATGTTCCTTCGTTTTAATTACTGCCACAAAAAAAATTCATTTTTATTCATAATGGATATCTGAAAATGTAAACTTTACCAGCACATATTTAATCATATTGAACTAGGATTAATTTCTTGGTTAACTCAAAGTCTTTGTAATACTTCAAAGAACTCTCTGTCATTGTAATTGTAGCTCCATGTACTTTAAAATATGTCTCTAGAAGATTTACATTTTCTTAAGACTTTTTTTTTTTTTTTTAAGAAATAGTGTTCTGTACCACAGACCTAACGGTAAACATGATATATGTGGTCTGCAGGGATGATAGATGCCCTTTTCCTGACCCCAAAAGCCTCTAAGTCCAATTACTTTGGAGTATTGGACTTAAAGGACTACAAATGTACACATTTTTTACTTTATTTTCCTTGTAACAAAAGAAAAGAAATAGATTTATATTGTAACACCTGTTTACAGATGTTCACCGTTTTATTTTTCTCTATGTTCTTTATACTTTTGTTCAGATTCATTGTTTTTTAAGAGCCTAGTTCTTTCTCCTTAGGCCCAGCAGAGTGTGATGTTCACTTACTCATTACCTAAGTTTGCTACAAAGCTTCAATATTAGTCCTTCATAGCAAAAGCATCATATTTTTTTAGATGATATTTAGATTATATATTTTTTTGTAAAATGTATAGATTTTTACAAATTGCTGGTGTCAGAATAATTATTTTTTCTTGTTGTATTCTATTTTTTTTATTTTTTTGTGTGGTGAGTTTGCCTACGTGAGGATACTACGGCCAACTGTTCACGACAAGGAACTAGGCTGGGTAAATGCTGTGCAAGTCAGCTGATATTTGTCTTATGACTAAAACCTTGTATTTTTTCCCCTGCCTTCTTCCACTCCATGAGTGGAAAGGCCTTTACTTGTCATGCTGAAAATGCTTTTGGTCAGGGAGACTCTTTTTATTGATCAAAGGAATTTGGTGAGCTCTGTCTTATTATCTCACCACCATGTAAGGCGGGTGGGAGTGGGGAAGGCGGATCCTGGTTTAGTTTAATTTAACTTTTTTTTGTTTTTTCTTCCTCCAGAAGCTCCAGGTGTTTGCTGAGGGGGCGGCTCCAGCAGGAGATCTGTCCGAGGAGGTGGATGAGGTGCAGAGCTGCAGCGTCAGGCTCCCGGGGGAGGAGGAGGGCTACGACGCCGATAGCGAAAGCAACCCAGAGACCATGAAGCAGCAGGAAGAGGGTAGGTCCACACATAATTGCACACTAAACCGTACAGCTGCTCTTAGCTACTGCAAACGTGGACAGTTTGCTCCAGCTATAAAACTTTTTACTTCAGTTTCGCTTTTGTAATGGGGTTATTTTTGTAATGCTGATAATCCCTTTAACATCATCCGCTCTTGTTGTACGTGTTGTTTTTGTTGCTGATAAACGTCAGCAGACTTATCTAGCCTGGCTGAGGGGTCATAAGTTGGTCTCAACCTCTGACCCCATTGATAACAGGCCTTGGGAAACTTTATTTCTCACTCTGATCAACTCAAAGCTCAGAGTTTCTGTCCCATTTGCTCCTGACCCGTTTTTCTTAAAGTCAGAGATAAAGCGACATCCTCCTGTGGTGACTGTTGGAGGATATTTAAGAAGAAGAAGTTGATATTTTTGTTGCGCATGGATGACAAAGCAGAAAGCAGCCCTGAGCTCATTGCATTAGTGCTCTTCTCTGCACTCCACTCCTGCAGGTTAACGACTTGGCCTGATTACACTGTTTTTGCTTTAATCCCCTCAGAATGGACCCATTGTGTTAGGTTTTACAACTGGCTGGCAGCTAGAGTCTTCGGCCTCATAAGCTGCATCTTGTGATTTGAAGTTCCAATAAGATGGAGGGTCGAGCTTCACGGAAATCGATTGCATCAACTTAAATAGTTTTTTTTTTAATTTGTGGTATCCTAAACAGAAGCCCAACAGTTCAGACTAATTAATCATTGGATTTAAAATTACTATCAATCTAAATCTCTTTTTAGTTTTAAAACAGTTTTCCTGTGATTCAGTCAGACTAATCGAAGCATCATTTTCAAACTTTTGCACTTCTTCATACAAAATATTTCTGGTAAAAGTTGTCTTTGTAGCTTTAATATGACCCTGAGCTTAAACAGATCTCTCCTTTCTGTTGCATTCGTTATAATTTGATTATTTAATAGTTTAGAAGAACTGTTTTATTATATTTTTAAAGGAAGGAATCTTTGAGGTTGCTCGCTTTAATGAACCCACAGACCAAACATAATCAGCAGCACAACTTGGTCTGTTCTGTGTTTGGGCTCCAACTGCAGACTTTGAACTCTTAAATAATTTTCACACATTTGAGGCCTGCTCTCTAGTAAAACCATAACTAAACTCTGAGATTTTTCAGTTTAAAATCCGCTACTTAAACCTTAATGAGAAGCCTCCATTTCCTAACGCAATATTCCAAACTTATTAAAGCGTTTTTAACTTTACGTGCCGAGTAAAGTATTCTCACCCAGCCGGTGGTATCTGTTGCTGCACCCAACTTCCTCTTCGATTTATCTCTCATCAACTGTAACTGAAAACTGCTCAACTTTTTTCTGGTCGTTTGATTCTTTTCCTTTCAGGCAGAGATTCTCCTCAGGATTTCGTTTTTTTTCTTTTTTTTTTTTCGATTTTTATCTTCCAGAATTCCGTAGTTTCCAGAGTTTCGTAGTCCCTCTGGTTAGACCTGCTATCAGTATTCAAAATCTAGATAAGTCATTTTTTTCTTAAAATAAGTGCCTTTTTTTCTTGAACTGAGTAAATTAACTGAGACACTTTGGGATTGGAACAAGCCAATTTACATTTAAAATAAGGAAAAAGCTATTTTATTGTTATTTCAAGTGTATATATTATCTAATCAGCTTATTTTAAGAACAAAAATCCTCTTTCCTTTGGCAAATTATCATACCGGTATTTATCTACTCAAATTAAGGGTAAATACATTTAATTAAAGACATTTTGGCTTATACCTAGATCGTTTTTGCAGTGAACAACCACAGTTTACACCTAATTCACCCTGAGTGATGAGATCAGAGTTAATTTGAATGCAGGAATCCGACTTTTACAGGTTTAGCTGTTTAATTATGTAGATTTGCATTGAACAGCTATTGTTTTTTTGTTTTGAATGATCTTAATCTTTCGAGACTTCTCTAAATCTAGGCTGAAGTATCGTATTCTTCTTTCTAAAGGCCTCATCCAGCTGCTTAAACTCCTAAACATGTTCCCTCTGGATTTTAACACCCTGCTGCGTTGTAGATTAAACATTTGACGTTTAAACGGTCCTAACCTTCAAGATGCTGAGTAAAAATGTTCTAATAGTGTTTACATTTTTTTTTTTAGGTTTTACAGAACATTTTAAAAGGTTTATTCTTCTCTGTTGTAAAGTTAGATTAAATCATCATGATGAGATATATTAGAAAGGCAGAGAGTCTTCCTACCAGATGACTTTGATAGTTATTTAATTGCTTCAGATTAGTCAGCCACAGTGTTCATTTTGTTTAGTGGTGGACGAAGAACTCAACATTAGTACTGAAAGTATTAAGTAGTAGTGAAAGTATTGATACTCAATCAAAACTTACTCCACCACAAGTAAAAGTTACTTGGTCAAACATCTACTCAAGTTAAAGTACTGAAGTACCTACTTTTTAAAATACTTAAGTATTCAAAAATATAAATTAAATTTTCTTATATCAGAACATTTCTGTATAATTTTAGAGTAATTTTAAAGAACCTTGTAACTTTCAGAGACCACCTGATGTATTTATACGTAGAACCACCTCCTACAGGTTCTACACCATCTGTAAAGAACATAAGCATAAAGCATAAAAATGTCACAAAAAGAAGGAAATCTATTTTGATTGTTATTTCTTATTAAAAATCAAACCAAAAAGAAAACAGGAAAGTCTTGATTCTCCTCACACTTTCATTATTGAATAGAGGTTTAAAGTCGAATCTATATTACCTCAATGAAATTACGAATCTGATTTGAGACTCAGCCTACTTAAAGGAATAGTACACCCAAAACATGACAACCAAGTTGTTAAAGCGCGCAGGCGCGCGCTTTAACAACTTGGCCACATGGCAACAAATAACGCCTTAATGAAATTTATAAACTACAAATAATATCTACCCTGAGTTTCTCATTCATTGTCATTCATTTGTGGCATTTTATGCAAATTTCTAAAACAGTGGCGTCCATACTGTATTTAGTCCTAAGGGCTGCCATGTTGAAATTGCGTTTCAAGAAAGAAAACGACTGCAACAGCGGATCAAAAAGCTAAGCCAAGCCAAAAGGAGTAACGAATAACAATATTTGACTGAAAAAATTACTCAAGTAAAGTAATGATACTCAAAAGCAGTACTTAAAGGTACACTATGCAACCGGTGTTGATTTTCCAGAGAGGCTCCCCCCAGAGGGCGAAAGTAAAAGTGCACTGTCGTAAATATGCACAGCTGTTCTCCTGGTTTCTCCGTCAAGCCAGGCGCGGTTGTTTTGAGCTTAGCAGACAGGCTAACGCAACGAATGACTAATGCTGCGTTCACACCGCAGCTGGCGCGACAGAAGCAGCGAGTTTACATGCAAAGTCAATGGTTGACGTGCGTCAAGGCGCAGCAAAAGGTCCCGCAGCGCGTTTTGAGCAGCAGGCGCAGCGCGTCTGAGCAGCTGAAGCAGCGCGTCAGGTGCGTTTAATCATCTGACGCAGGGAGAGAGACACAGCGCTGATGATCAGAGGCTATGAACACTCCTCTTAAACAGTTTATTGACGCCTAAATTAACTTCAAATGCAGAAATTTGCCGGCAGAATATGCAGTTTGGATTATTTAGATGAAAAACACCTACCAGCTGCCGCGGTGAACCGCGAGGAGGCGACCCGGCCAGAGGCTGCTGATGAAGGGATTCCTACTGTCGGCGCACCGCTGGTATGTGGGGGTCTGGGCGGCTCTGACAGAAAAAATATTGAAGGCAGGATAATAATCTGAATGAACTGACTGCACTGATTACGTTTTCAGGTGTATTTTCTCACTTAAACACATATTAAAACTACTTTATTCCCACTGATCACAGCAAATATAGCTGCAAGGCAGAGAAAGGATAGTGAAGCTCCGCCCAACGTGCGTCAGACACACTTTTGCACCGCGCAGCCAGAGCAGCAAAGCTGCTTCAGCCGCAGGTCAGAACTAACTGGTACAAGCAGCAAAAATGAAGCAGCAGACGCGATTTTGCTGCGTGAATGTAGCATAACTGCAGAAAGATCGCCACTGTGCTAGCAACGAGCATGCTTTTAACTGGGGGCGTGTAGCGTAAAGCAAGACTGACTCTCGCAAGACTTCTGAGCCTGTGTGTGCGGGTTGGTGCTCCTGCAATTGCAAGTGCAGTATTTCCCCCACAGACCACCAGGGCGGCCGAGAATACCTTTGTTCAACCTGAAATGACTCATTTAAAGGAATAGTACACCCAAAACATGATTAGCCTTCATTTTCTACTCACCTCCATGCTGAACAACACTCTGGAGTACTTTTTTGATATCTCAAATGCATCTGGAGATCTGGGAGACTTCTTGCTGTCTGCTGACATTCAAATAATGGAGGTCTATGGCGCCCGAGACAGAAAGGTCCACAAAAGTCCACAAAAACTTGTCAATATTCCTCCATACTGCTCGTCCAATGTAATCCAAGTGTCCTGAGTGGGTAGCATCCAGAATTTACTCGAAACGAAGTCATTTAGAACGTTTTAGAGCCTAAACAGTAGTGTATAGGATTTCCTAATAGCGCCCCCATGCGCGCTCACGATTCTACGGAAGCCGGCAGACCAAACCAGCGCATTCAGCTCGGCAAAGAACTCATGCTCTTCCTCAACACTGAAGTCCTCAGACATTTTTCTTTCGTTGTTTCTTTCTTTGCACAGGTAAACAGCACATTTCTTCTTCTACGCTTGCATTATCGGCAGACCAGACGCTGAATGCGCACTTCCTTCCGGTTTGGTCTGCCGGCTTCCGTAGAATCGTGAGCGCGCATGGGGGCGCTATTAGGAAATCCTATACACTACTGTTTATGCTCTAAAAACATTCTAAATTACTTCGTTTCGAGTAAATTCTGGATGCTACCCACTCAGGACACTTGGATTACATTGGACGAGCAGTATGGAGGAATATTGACACGTTTTTGTGGACTTTTATGGACCTTTCTGTCTCGGGCGCCATGGACCTCCATTATTTGAATGTCAGCAGACAGCAAGAAGCCTCCCAGATCTCCAGATGCATTTGAGATATCAAAAAAGTACTCCAGAGTGTTGTTCAGCATGGAGGTGAGTAGAAAATGAAGGCTAATCATGTTTTGGGTGTACTATTCCTTTAATCATCCAAAACGTTATGGAACACATTAATTAACTGAAAAATGTTGCATAGTGTGCCTTTAAGTACAGTAATAAAGTAAATGTACTTGTTACTTTCCACCACTGATTTTGTTAACTTTTTTTGTCTGGAAGTTTGTTAGCTAGGTGGTCCTGCACTGCACCCCTTGATAGATGAAATAGGCAACAGAACAACACAGAAACAAGTTTCAGAGCCAATTCTGAAGCTGGTCTGGTAGAAAAAAATCATAACATCAAGTACTATATGTCTGGAATGTGTTCACATCTGTATTTAAGACTGTCTGCACACTGCTGAATCAGTCAGAACTTTTATTTAAGTTCCTGGTGTGAACAAAGTGATGGTTTAGTCTTCAGTGTGTGATGATAATAAGGCAGAGACTTCTGTGGAATATCCTGAGAGGGTATATCCAGTATTTAAACATCGAAACAAATGCTACTGTCTAGGGGTGTACGGTTCACAAAATCCACGGTTCGGTTCAAGGTTTCGTGGTCACGGTTTTCGGTTTGGTTCGGTATATGTTGATTGTTAGCCTGACATGTTGGTCGTGTTGCTGTTAGCATAAACAAAACGCGTTGCACAATGCTTGCACACTGTTGCACTTTTATCCACAACTTTCTTTCCGCCGTCATCATAAGTCACTCTAAATGCAAAGCGGTCCCATACAGCAGACCTATAAAGTGCTGCTGGCGCGTCTTCCAACTCCTGTTTTTTCCCACTCGCCATACCCACACAATTCTCCACAACAACTGATTTTTTTCTGCTACACCCAGCTACACTGCTTCGCTTGTTCTTCTTCTTGTTTACTACTGGTGGTTGGCTTTGGTCGCAGTACCGCCACCTTCTGCTCTGGAGTGTACACGCTTCACCTATGAGAAAAAGGAGCAGCGCATGAACCGAACCGAGACAGTTGAACCGAACGGTTCAGACGGTTTTCATAAACCGTTCCATCCCTACTACTGTCTTTAGTAAATGAGACCCCCCATCATCATGTCTCCAGTTTTGTGCTCGATACAACCATAGGTTTATTTGAGATGTGTTGCAGAGAGCTCCTATACCAACTTCCCAGGCCCACAGCATTACAGATCCTCCTCCTTAACATAGAACACCCCTTTCTTTTCATCTTTTGTTTCATAACAGATGTGCTCAGCCAAAGTTACATTTTAACCCTTTATAGGACAAGTTGCCATTTTCGATCACAGGACAAACCTGTCCCTCAGTGAGGTCTAGAAGGACAAGATCTACGTGTATCCAGAAGATCCTGCTACATGGCTGTACATCTTATTTTGGCATTTGACCAATTAGATGAGCCCTTGAGTGATATATTATCTACTGTAAATTAAGTTAAAAAGAAAGGTAACAAGTCAAGAAAAAAAAGGTAAATTCTTGCCATCAAAATATCCACATTTTTTAATGTTACAAAGGTAATAAGGTCTTGTCCTGGATTCCAATAACACTATTGGCTAGAAATTTGAATTTTCAAAGTACTGTATTGCTTTTCCACTTTTCCCTATAAAGGGTTAAGTAGAAAAGCTATAATGTAGATAAATGTAGTATCAGTGCAGCATCATATGATAAAAAGCAGCCATAATTGCATGCACCAGTAAACAAACCAGTATAACCAATGTCTCCTGGGTTTTTCTTAGATAGAATAAAAAACCTGCAGGTGACAGATGTATTGCTGTGTCTTTTTGTTTTTTTCTTGTCTACCATCTGCTTGTTTCTTGTTCTATTGCTCCAGCAGAGTAATCAGTGTGAGCCAGTTATTGCATGACTCATTTGAAATGTCTTTATGCTTATAAAATATGATTGGAAATGAAAATTTGTGATTGAAATGCTAAACAACAGTTTTACATTAATGTCTGTCTGGTGTTGTTTAATAGTCTGCTGGATAGGTGTATGTAAACGTTAGGTTTAGACTCAATAATCTATAATAAACTAACTTTATCACCACATCATCATGAAGAAAGACAGATATTTTTAATAAAAGCGGCTGCAATGATCAGGGTTATAAAGACAACATGCATTTTTAAGACCCTTTAAATAAAGCATTAATTTAGGCTTTTTCTATTCTTTCTTGGAGAACTCCTAAACCATTGTGTAAAAAAAGAAAAGAGGACAGTATTTATTTGTTTTTGCAGTAGCAGTGTAGATATGCACAGGGGAAGGAGCACCTTCATTAATAACAACAGGTCCGTGTAAGAGGCTGCCGGGCTGCACTCCTGTAAATCATGAGGGAACTCCCATGCTGCTCTGAGGCTGAGCGCAGACCCCGGGCTAAATCATTTCCATGAGATTCATCCAGCTTCAGAGGCTGGGAAGTGAAGGAGGAAAGGAAATGCTTGGAGGTCTAAAGCTGTTCATGTCAATGTGTTAGTGAGCGTGATGCTAGTCTGTGGGGCCAATTAATAGCTCTTTGTCTTTTGGATTGTGTTATTTGAATGTGTGATCTTCCCCTGCTGACTGTGGATATTCTCTCAGGAGGAAAGCTGGAGCCTGCTGGTTTACGTGAGTTTGCAGCGACAGCGGAGGATGGGCCGGAGCGCGGCATGCTGCTGTTCCCTGAGATTTGCACGATGGAGCTGCAGCTTCTTGCCTCTGGCTCCCCGGACTTGGAGGTTCTCGGTCATGTGTTTCACAGCCTACTGGGCGCCGTTCACGCCAACCGCCACAATGCCGCCTTACTCTATGAGCAGGTCAGACTGAATGCCCGTTCCTCTCTCTGTTAATGTTAACTGCCTCGCAAATCTGGCCTAACTCTTCCCTCTGGTTCTTCACAGGGAGGAGTCAAAACCATCCTTTGCAGCTTTCACAACATCCTCAGTCAAACAGACCCCTCCTTTAAAGGTTTCTCATTTATTTTCTTCTTATCTGACAGAACATTTTTCAAGCTTAGCATGTCTTCTTTGAGTTTATTTTTTTTCCGACATGACGTTAAAACTTGGCCTTCAGGGTTCAAGCATAATATTTTCACTTGCGTAAATCTGTAACCTGTTACGTTCTTGGAGTTGAATTGATTTAACATTGTGACTTTTTCTAAATCTGTAGTTTATGTAGGATTTATTTTAGTGTCAATTTGCTCTTGTTTATCCTTATTTGGAAAAGTATTCATGCTCCATCAATGTTTCACATTTTGTCAGGTCATAACCACAGAGTTTAAGTTTTCATTTTCTGGGATCTTTTGTATCTGATCATGTAAAAGTAGCACATAGAGGTGAAGTGGAAAGTAACAGATGTCTATTTTAAAATGTTTATCAGAAAGTGCCAGATCCAATTTTTTTATTTTTTTCCTTGCATACCCATAAAATATTATAAAAAACTGTTGCCTTCAGGAGTCATTTGACTTGTAGATTATCTCCAGCTGTGTGTGATTTAACCTGAACATCAGCATGGTGGACATGGAAAGCACTTTATTGTCTTTTTAAGCAGGGTTTGTTTTCTTTTCTCTACCTGGACAATCAGCTGCTCTTCATCTACCTTCAAAATAACACCAAGCATTATTATCTAAGAAATATCTAAACATGTAACTTCTCTCATAATTTGGTCATGAGACATTGCTAAAAGGAATGGATGCCTATACACAGTACATGACTTAGTAAGTTAAATCTAATTTAGTAATGAGAGTCATACTGTAATTGTAACCACAAAGTACAGCCATAAGACATAAGAACAATTGGATCCATACAACTCACAGCAGTTATGATTCTTTCCATTAATGTCCTAAAACACACCACAGATTTTACTCTATCTTGATTAAATACTCAAGAATGAAGCATTAAGTATGGAAAAGCTTTAGTGAAATAAGAAGTTCCTCCATATGATCCAGAATTTGGTAGAAGCAACTTTTAAAAACATAAAAACAATTATGTCCAGATGATTTTCTGTCTTCTTTTATTAACATAACCGATTTAAGAAATCATTTTCAACTATTTATATTTCGATGCTTAAAGGAGCAAAGTCAGAAGTTCCACCGGTAACACAGGAAGGGAACAAAAACTGGATCAGAAATGAAGTCCTTTTAAATGTAGAGGTAATTCTTAATGAGGCTAATCAACACATGGTGGATTAGATCAACACATTAGGTTAGAAAATAATGTTCAAACCTTTAGAAATCTTCCACAGCTCTGTTTAATCTATCATCTGAGAATAGAACGAGTGATGAGCGTTTGCACTGTAGATGTACCAGGACATTGCTGTCTCCGCTGAGAGGGTCCGTTAACAGTAAAACTAAACGTAAAAACCATTTTAAAAAAGCAACAAAAGTCTTAAGGTAGACTTATCTTTCAGCAGTTTAGATTGAAGCATAAGTGGGTGTTAGAATGGCCTAGTCAAAGTCTAGATTGTAGATCAAGACTTTTTTTTGCGAGAAACGACCCGTTTAGATGCTTTTCATCCAACCTGGCTAAGCTTCAGATGTTTAGCAGGAATTGAATTTGGAAAAAAGGATGAAATGTTGACATTTACCAAAAGCTCTTTAACTTTAAGTTAAAGAGCTTTAACTTTAAGTTAATCTACAAAATAATGATAAAAGGGGATAAATATATGTCGCACCTTCACTGCAAAAAATCTAAATCTAGATAAGTCAATTTTATCTTAAAATAAGTGCATTTGTTCTTGAATTAAGGAGGTAAAAGAGACATTTTGCCAATGGAACAACACAATTTACACTTAAAATAAGAAAACACAATTCCATTTGCCTTATTTCAAGTGCATATTATCTAATTATCTTATTTTAAGACTAAAACTACTCATTCCATTGGCCAACTATCTCATTTACCTACTCAAATTAAGGGTGATTACACTTAATTTAAGACATTTTTACTTATTTCTAGATCTTTTTTTTTTTTTAGTTTACATGGCACTATTGGCTTGTTTTTCTGACAGTAGGCTGACAGGAAAGGGGGTATGAGAGAGGGCGAGAGACATGCTGCAAAGGACCATAGGCAGGATTCGAACCCTGGGTCGGCCATGTCGAGATAAGGCCTCCGTACATTCGCAAAAACTACTGTTCCACCTGCACGCCCTTTTTAAATCTACTTTAGGATGCCCATCCATCTCCTTATGTGGTTATTGCCTGACAAAGTAACAGTTGAAGGTGCAAATACTTTTTGTAAGAACTGATTGTGTTCTTATGTACAGTAGAGTGCATAAAAACTGTTTATATATTGTTTTCCTTTATCTCTGGTGTTTAGATTGCCAGACCGTCTTGGTTGAGCTGCTGGTTGCCATGGTGAGCCAGCGCATTACGGCAGAGGAGCTGGCACTATTGATCCGCCTCTTCCTGGAGAAAACCCCACCCACAGTAAATACTAAAAAAAAAAAAAATACATCAGTCACTCAGCAGTGTACTGTTTGCTTACGCGCAGCTTGTTTTCACAGTCTGCAAGCTCACTTTATTACCAGAAACTGGATGTTACGTGTAAGACATGCTTCCTGTCACACTCTCTTCTCACTTCATGGTTCTTTGAAATTCATCAACACGCGCTGCTCCCTCAAGCCCTCTTCACATCAGAGTTAACAGCAGAGTGTGCGGCAGACATGTGACATTGCAACTCATTAGCACGAGTCTGTTTAGTTGGAAGCCTGCAGAAGAGTGCCGTTCAAGGCCTCCATTTAAGTGAAACGTTTCCAAAGCAGAGTTTATTTTTATCACCGAGACAGCACTCTCATTTCTTCTGTTTTTAGTATTAAGCTGAAATTATTGAAGGGTTATAAAGAAGTCAGTCTCACACATTATTAAAGATCAGGCCTATAATCTGATACACATCAGTCTGAAAATTGAATTCATTAAATAATAAAGCTCTGATCTAATTACTAATGAAGTACCTTAAATAAGAAAAACAAACCAAACGACTACATTAACCCTAATCTATTAAATACTATTGAACAGTTTTATGGGTAGAGAATTAAATATTCAGAATATCATCAGATAATAAGAAAAACCTCATACCATATTTTCACGACCATAAGGCGCACCGTACTAAAAGGCGCAGTCTCAGTTATGTGTGCCATTACTGTATTTAACACACATAAGACGCACCGGATTATAGGGCGTGAGTTTTATATATACATATCCTCTACTACGTTTAAATACCTCTACTGCGTATTTAAAAATAGAGTGGGAGCAAAACTGAGTATGATTGTGCTTTATTCATGTATTTATTACAAAGTATTAATCAAACCCATCAAAGTCATCATCCTCTGTTTCTGAATTAAACAGCTGCGCTAAATCAGACATGCCAATTTCCGCTTCTTCGCTGTCAGAGTCACTTTCCGTGCTGTGCGGCTCCTCGGAAATGATGCCGGCTTTTGCGAAAGCTCGAACAACAGAGCCAGCAGACACGTTAGCCCAAGCATCTACAATCCATCTGCAAACGGTGGCGTAACTTGCCCGGCGCTGCCTTCCACTTTTCGTGAAACTGTGGTCTTCGTCTGTCATCCATCGCTCCCACGCCGCTCGCAGCCTTACTTTGAACGGCCGGTTCACACCGATGTCGAGCGGTTGAAGTTCCTTTGTCAGACCTCCCGGAATAACGGCGAGCACAGCGTTCATTTTCACATCAGCTGTGAGATGGGCAGGCATGGAGTCACAGATTAACAGCGATGGTGATTCGTGGAAAAAACCACCTGGTCTCCTTACATACACCTCCCTCAGCCATGCTTTCATCATCTCCTCATCCATCCAGCCCTTTTGATTTGCCTTAATAACAACTCCAGCTGGAAAAGTCTCTTTAGGCAAAGTCTTTCGCTTAAAAATCACCATAGGCGGCAGTTTCTGTTCATTTGCGTGGCAGCAAAGCACAACAGTAAACGACGCCTTTTCATACCCTGTTGTGTATATCGCTACCATGCTAGTCCCCTTCTTCTCCACGCCCACACTTCCCCCTTTAACGTTCTCATGGTGGTCTCAACAACGTCCGCAGTTACATTTTGAGGGGAAAAAAGACGTTTATATGCGCCTTATAGTCGCGAAAATACGGTAAATAAGATGTAATAAAAGTGTTACAATTTTTTCAATAAATAAATGAAGGTTTCAGACTCTAAGGGAACACAGGTTTGACTTTTAATACCTGATTTAAAGAAAGACGCTGAAAAAGAATATCTTAAACTATTGAATTTAAGTTATAAATCAGCTGTAAGGACCATAGCTGCCTCTGATAGAGCCAGAAAGAGCACCTTACTTAGTCACTAATTCTAATAAAGCTGATTTGTCTGCTAATGCAGATCCCTCCACCTCCATCGGCTGCTGCTGGACCATTCATTAAAGGTGTCAAAGTTTTTTTTACCAAGGTAGAAGAAACAGTTTTGTAGAAGTTAGAGGGTCAACTTAAGCATTTTACTCAAGTAAAAGTGTAAAAGTACCATTTTTTTTACTGAAAGTATAAAAGTAGAAATAATTCAGGAAAAAATGTTAAGAACAGAATCTTGAACTACCCTGTTAAAGGAACAATTTTCTACAATTCTGGATGAGAACTTCCTTAGACTTAATTTTCTTAGTGTTATAACTAAAGTTAAAAATGTCAACTTTAAATATTCATCATCTTGAAGAACTACTTATTTTGGTATGTTGGTGCAACACCACAAAGAAATTTTATTTATGGTTTGTATTTTATTTAAATACCAACAGACCATAGCTCAAATGAGCTTAAATGAAACAAAAGTCACAAGTATATTTTTAAAATGTCGAGTTTAAAGTACAGATAACTGCAAAAAAAAAAAAAAAAAAAAATGTGAGGGGAGAACTTAAACAGTTGTCATAAAAATAATTACTCCAGTAAAGTATAGATGTTCAAAATTTCTACTTAAGGTACCAAAGTATTTGTACTTTGTTACTTGACACCTCTGCCAATCATTGGTTCTGCAGTAGGAGTTGTATGGCTGCCTCAAACTGCTCTGAAACAGAAAGTAGTATCTGTTCCAGAAAAGTGAAGGAAAGCATCCATTTTTCTATTTGTGTTCGGGAAGTTACGTAGGACCCAAGCTCCATGGTTTATGTGCATTAATGAACACCAAATAGACTGATAAAGTCTAGAATACAGTTCAAAGTAAATAATTATTGCAACCAAATCTGGCAGGGTTTACCTTTTTGGCTCCAGTTCAGACGTTGAAGGTTTTTCTTGTTGGGTTCAATGGTCCTTTGATACTAAGAACTCTATGGGAGAGGAGCCATCAAGAGGGGCAGAATATCCAATCAGAGGCCGATCATGAGTTAACTTAAGAGCCTCACTTTTTTGAGAAAAATAAAACATGAATTAATTTATCTTATAAGAGGCACTACTTTGGGAGAGGATAGCAACTTCAGCAATTTAGCATTCTCAGTATAACTAACCTTTCAAATGTGTCATCACTGTATTGAGTAGAAATACAAGCACTGAGTGAAAAGTACTGGTGATCAAAAGGGACTTTTCCAGAGATAAAGACATTTCAAGGTTGATGTTTTGAGTCTAGGTGCTTGTTTGATATAAAAACATATCAAATATATTTTTGCTAGATCTCAGAGACTCGTCATTGCATTTTAAAAAGGCCCGTGAGTAGCAAAGGTGAAAGGTCAAATCTGGTGACTTTGTGTGACCTTACCCTAACATTTTGTTTCCTCTTTTGTAGGCTGTATTACTGAATGGTATCTTACAAATTGTTGAAGCCAACATGGACATGGAGCCTCTCCACTTCCTGACTTTTCCAATACTCCATGGGGTTTCAACACCCGCCGGCTCATCCCCTGGCTCCAGGCAGGTCAGTGCTGCCGGAGGCAAAGGCGTCAATCTGCTGTGGAAGGGTAAACTTTCTCCTGGTCGCAGGGAAGGGGAACCAGACTACCATCCGGGCCACCTTTGGTCTTCTCCATGGCACATGGCGCCTCTCCACCTTCCTCTAGTGGGGCAGAACTGCTGGCCCCACATGGCCCCCGGCTTCAGTGCCTCAATGTGGCTACGGGTGCCTGAGCTCGCAGAGAAGAGTGCGGACAAAGGTCTGTCGCATTCCGATACATTTTTGCCTTATCGTTTTGTAGATGGAAGCTTTATAAGATCTGCTTTATTTTCTAGAAGAAGGCATCCATCCTGCATCAGAGTCCCTTCCCGTTTTGTCTCAGACTGGAACAAAATCAACAGAAGAAAGCCTCGTTCATATTCTCTCCATGGGCTCCAAGGCACTGATGCTCCAAGTGTGGGCAGACCTCTCTAAATGCTCCCTGACATTCAGGTGTGGTTCAGCCTATGCCACTACTCTAAGGCTTAATGAGTGCAATAGGCTGCTACGTCTAAGATATACCCTACATAAACATTCAAGCTCTATAAATCTTCACTCTTACAGGATTTGTATTGACCCAAATGACGAGATAAAGGCAGGACTGTTGGCACAGGCAGAGTCAGGAGAGGGACTGTTCAAACGAGGGCAATGGCAGCACCTGGGCCTCACTTACAGCCAGCAGCCAGAGGGCAAGAAGAACATCCACAGCCGTGTCGTCGTGTGGGTGTGTGGCATCTGGTGAGAGACGTTGTCTTAAAAATGTTAACTGGAATGCTGGTTTTAGTTGTTAAACATTGAAGTTTGTTTAAAATTCTTTTCTTTTAGGAAATGTGAGGTTTTTCTGGACTACACTTTGCCTCGTAAGTCCAGTTTATCGTCTGACAGTAACAAAACCTTCTGCATGTTGGGCCATTGCACCGTATCATCTGAGGAACTGGTGAAGCCGACAGGACGGTGGTCCATGGGCACTGTGCTTCTCTTTAATGGTAAGACTTCTGGGATATTTATAGAGCCTTGCCTTTTAGGTTTTCTTCCAGTGTTTAGCTTCATCCATCTATTAATCAACTCTGATCACCTGAAGAAAAGCATCCCTACAGCATGCTACAGTCACCACAATGTTTTACCAGAAAGGCACTTTGTGTGTTGGTTAAAACCCTTTTCCTTATTCTTCATAATGGATTTTGTTTAAAAGTTGGATAGCGTACAATTCAACTTTAGTGTCATTACACTGTCACAAGTACAAAGCGACAAAATTCACTCTCTATTTTCAACCCATGCCTTTGGGAAGCAGTGGGCTCCCATTGTGCAGCACTCGGGGAGCAGTGTGGGGGTTAAGGGTCTTGCTCATGGACCCAGAGTTGCAGCCTGTGGGAGTGGGGCTTGATCTCAGAACCTCTGGGATCCGAGCGCAATGCCCTAACCGTTAGACCACCACTCCCCCACAATTACTCAAAGCTAAATTTAAACACATATTTACACTTTTATTTAGCTAAGTTAGATGGAATGGGGCTAAATGTAAAAAGCATGCCACTAAAAAGATATTTATTACTAAAGAAAGTTGAAAATCTTATATTTTTTCCCTTTCGCAATTATAAACCCCTTTGTGTTGGATTGTTTGAAAAAATCCTAGTGAACTAGTACCTAGTAAACAGGTTTGAATATTTTTCCAAAGCCCTGTATTTAAATGAAAATACATTAAAGATGTTTGGCCTCATTGAATTTCATTGCTTTATGCTTCAGTCTGTCCTCACTGCTGCTCTCTAGTGGTAGAATCAAGGAACTGTATCCTGTATCAGTGGCAGGGTCTGCATCGTGTCTCAGTTCCTCTCTTGCTGTCACCATTCCCCCCGAGAAAAGAAATCTCAACACTCATGTTTTTTTTTTTTATCACAGCTCAGCATCACCAAGGTTTTTAGCATTCAGTAGGGCAAATGTTGTCTTCGAGAGAAAGTCAGCAAGATGTCAAGATTTTCAAAAAAACATCAAGGTGCACCATAGGGCGCCCCACATTGCAAGATTATTGATGTTCTACTTTTTAGATGAATAACTCATGGTGTTTTTGCTGGATTGGATCAAAAATCTTGCTTTTTTTATTTTTATAAACAAAAAGAGAAAAAAACAGACATTTGTGCTTTTCTTTCCTATCAGGGTCCAGAATCGGATCGGAGGAGGCTTTCTTCCTCTACTCCAGTGGACCAGACCTCACGTCAATCATGCCTTGTAAATACGGCAAGTCGAGTGGATCAATATCCAAGTTCGTCTCCCAAGAAGGCCTTAGGTGTGAACATGTCAGAGAGATCCTGATGAAGAACAAGGACATCGACACAACAGCGTTGGTTGTAAGTCTCTTCATCGTTTATACGCACAGAACTAGTGAGTTATTAACTTTAGTGCAGATAGATGTTGTATGTTGGGTGATTTCTGTTTATTCATGTAACTATAAAGCCTCTTTTTTACTAGTAATGGTTTAATGCTTCCTGTTTTCTGAGATGAATAATAAGCAGAAGGAAGCTGTTTTTTTAAACCACATAAAAAGCTATTTTAGTTAAGCTGCAGCTATTAAAAGAGGAACAAACTACTTAGTAGGTGTGCTGTTTAAAACGGCAGGTCCTGCAGCAATCAAAAAAAAAAAAAAAAGATAAAATATTTTAAGTAACCACATTTTGTAAAAGAAAAAGAAATGTGATGGTGTTTATTTATTTATTTTGTGTCTCAACAGGAAAGCTTGGCTATAGTCTATACCCCCAGCAGCCCAAGAGTCTACACAATATATGAGCCTGTGATCAGACTGAAAGGTCAGGCCAAGACGGTGGTCACCCAGCGGCCCTTCAGCTCCAAAGAGGTGCAAAGCATCTCCCTGGACGCAAACGCCTTTAGATCTCTGCTTCCTACTGAAACCCACGGCCTTCAGAGTGTCCTCCACAAGATCGGAGGAACGGGGAACTTTGTCTTCCTCTTTGCACAGGTATCATTTATAGACCTATAGAAATAAATGTATTTTATATAAATAAAGTATTTTATATAAATGCATTTTAATATAGAATAAAGTGTCTAATTATTGGCCACATGTTATTGTTGTGCTTGCAAATTTGTGCTTGTATAATAAAACAAAAGGGTAAATCGTTTAAAACAGCTGTTGTTGTATAAGCGTTGCAGTGCAATCGGTTATTTTTACAGGACCGTTTGCTCCTTGCACTAGGCGTAGCTCCAGTGTTCTGTCTTTTAAGGTAGACTTTCTTCTTTTCTCCCCCCCTCCCTGTCTCTGGGCTTTGCCATGTCCAGACGGTGGAGCTGAGTGACTGCGAGAAGACCCAGGCTCTGGCCCTGCGAGTGCTGCTGTCTCTCTGCAAGCACAACCAACACCGCATCCATGAGATGGACTGTTACCATGGTTACTCCATGATCCATCAGGTTCTCATCAAATCCAAATGCATCGTGGGATATCATATGCTGAAAGTGAGTCACACGTTGAACTCCTTGTTTGCCGTTTGCTCCATTTCTGTATTTCCACCGTGTCTGATCCGGCCCGACAGATCGGTTCCTCTCTGGGCCCGGTGCCGGTGACCCCGCTGTTATTTGACCCTCCGGCTGAGTGTGTAATAGAGCTGTGCTGAAACCGATTCTGTCTGACTTGATGAAACACTGAGACGTCCACAGCACCTCGGATTGCCTTTCTCTCCATCCTTTTGTAGTGAGCGGAGAGCCGCGTTGATCGGTCATGCTACTCGCTCATAATTATTTCAATATGAAGGGGAACATGCTGTGCTACTATTACAATTTGTTCTCATTGTTTCGTCTCCATTCAATCTGTAAATTAAATATATCTTTTGTATCTTCTCAGAGAACATATTTAATGGAACTCCTCACCTCTGCTATCCCTTTAAATTAGTAGCTATTAGACTTTAAGCTTCTAACATTTATTACTGAAAAAGAAATCCTTAAGGGCTGAAGATTTATGACCTCTGCAGGGAGGCTGGTGATAGATCAGAGTTTTATCAATACTGACACGGCTGCTCAGTGGGTAAACGTCATCCATTTAAATAGAGTCATAAACTTTTCAATAATTTCATTGCTAATGTATTGATTTGTCTTCCTTTTTTCAGATCTGGATCGATCTGTTTTGGTGTTTAGCCCGATTAGTTTGAACAGCACTCAGGCACTGACGCGTCTTGTGTTTGTAGACTCTTCTGGACGGGTGTTGCAGTGGATCGGTTCTCCTCCTTGGGGACGATGGTCAGTTTCGATTTGACACTGAGTCTGCGGCTGTGGTTCAGGATACGAGGCTCCTCTCACATATTCTGCTGGATTGGAAGATTTGGGCCAAGGCTGAGGTAAACACACACAGAAAGACTGGTGTTGTGTTTCATAAGCACAGCTGTTCTTAAAGTTTAAAAACCGACCTTTTTTAATATTTAGGATCTAAAAAGACACAACTTCTTAAGATGGTTAGCTCCAGTAAGTTCCAGTAGCAAGTAGTTCCTGATACAACTTTTAGACCGTTTCTCGATTCACAAGAACGTGAGTACGGACTCGTGTTCTAGCTAAGTATGTTCTTGAAAAGAACACAGGAAATTACGGACTATGGGTCAATTAGAACAGAAGCGTACTCATGACTTCACCGCATGCTCAGCTGGTCTGGAGCTGCATTTCACCTCCTGTTATTAATAGTCTCTAGATAATAATAAATTTTTACTTTTTTCATTTATTGGGGGAATCATAATCTAGAAATTTCTAAAAATCTAGAAATAACTAAAAATTTCTTAAATTAAGTGCAGGGGTCTTCAATGTTTTCCAGGCCAAGGACCCCAAAACTGATGGTGAGAAGGAGCAGGGACCCCTTATTTATATATATTGTATGAAATGGTGTTACAGTGAACCCTCGCTATAACGTGGTTCACTTTTCACGGTCTCGCTGCTTCACGGATTCGCATCATGCATTGTTAAACTTTATTGTCAAACATATTAATGGTGGCATGTCGGTTTATAAGGATCTTTTGGCCCAGAAGAAAAAAGAGCGACAACAACTACTGATAACTATGTTCTTCTCTCCAAAAAACACACCTGCACCGCAGGCTTTAGAAGAAAAAAACGCCACAGAGCAGAGTCAGGATGCAGCGGCTCCGTCAGAACAGCAGTGAAATACTGTACTGTACACGTCAGTCACTATTTGTCCTACTGTACTTTGTATTTTTTTTCATAATAATTTTTTATTTTCTCCCGTTCCAATCCGTCACGGCGGGGCGGTGCTGAGCCCCGCAATATTAACTCTTCAGTTCGTATTGATGATTAAAATTATTACTTATTTATTTATAACTATATTATTTTACAGTACAGTACAGTAGTTAACAACGTTTATACCGTACTTTTATTTGTTAAACAAATGCTTGGGCCTGGAAAAAGTTTTTGTTTCTTGATTTCAATTTTGTATGGAGTATTTCATTGTATAATAACTGTAAAAAAAAAAAGGTTTCTACTTCACGGATTTCACCTATCGCGTGTTCTTTTTGGAACGTAACCCCCGCAATAAACGAGGGTTCACTGTATATCAAACTGGTCCTATAGTTACTCTATTACAGATGGAGACATGTAACGAAAGTGCTACTTTTAAACTTAAACTGCCGGAAGAAAAAGTGTCAGAAAAAAGCAGGCAAACATTGATATGCATAGAACCAGCATCTGTCCCCAAAGGAAACATTGACTTTCCTCTCCTGCAGGATTTCTGATGACCTCACCTTGAGCTGACCTCGTAAACCAGCAGCGCGTGTCGAGCCAATTCATCCTGCTTGTCACAGTATAAATATGTGACTACAAGCTATGTTAAATGTTTTACAAATGCAACATTCAGTTTAATTTCAATTCAGTTTGTTTATATTGTGCATATTCACAACACATGTCACCTCAAGGCACTTTACAGAGACAATTCAACCAGATCATACAGTCAGAGTGGTTCATTGTCTTTTATTTATCTTTGAAAAACCAGCTAATTGCATCGATTCATTGATTCGAAGGCAATCCCTTACACCAAGCATGCTTGTAATGACAGTAGACAGGAAAACTCCCTTTAAACAGGAAGAAACCTTCAGCATAACCAGGCTCAGAGTGAGTTTCTGATGGATGTAATAAGATGTCTCAAAACTTTAAAAAGTGGAGGCTAATCTCCTGGGTCTGACTTCCTGGTGATGCTTGAAGTTTGGGCTTGGTGCAGATAAACTGTTGCTAGATAGATCACAGTGGGATTATGTATATGAATAATCTGAAATCCCTGTTTTCTCAGTTTGGCGTTTGGGAAGCACTACTTGCTGCTTTAGAGATCCTCATCAGGGTGCATCACCCATATCAGGTCTACAACATCCGCCAGTTCCTGAACGCTGAAATCGTGCATCGTTTCCTGCTCACCTGCCAGGTGTTACAGGTAGCCCAGCCTTTTATATGCTGTATTGTTTCCCCACTTCCTCTCATTCACAGTCACTAAGAATAAGTTTCTATTAAGGAGCACCGGGACGACCATCTGACAGCCATCCCACAGGACGCGTGTTTGTCCTTCATCAAAATCATTCAGGAGGTACTGGGCTCTCCTCCAGACATGGATCTACTGAAGCTCATCTGTAACTTCCTGCTGGCCGTTCACCCGCCCACCAACACCTATGTTTGCCACACCCCATCCAGCTTCTACTTCTCTTTGCACATTGGTGAGGAAGCACACCAGCTGTCTGCATCATCTTTATATTGAAGCCTCATTGATTGGATGCATTCAGCTCTCTTTGATGTCACTGTTTTTCAGATGGGAAGCTCTACCAGGAAAAGGTGCAGTCCATTATGTACTTAAGACGCTCCAACAGCGGAGGGAAGTCTGCCAGCAGCTCGGTCATGTCCCTCTCCCCGACGGTTTTCACCGATGGTCCCCATGAAGGTAAATGTAGCTGATTAAAGAAACTCGATCTGTTTGTTCCTGAGGCGAATATTAACCAAGCTGAAGACAGGAAGTGCATGAGGGATCATTGGGACCATAAAGAATGTAACCTAAAAAAAAAAAAACAGTTTGTTCGGCAAAAAAAGAGATTTAAACCTGGTGAGAGAAGGTTTGTTGAGAGAAAAAAAAAAGGAAAAAATGATTTAAACCTGAAAAATAAATTTGTTCAAAAGGAAAAAAATAACTTTAGGTTACATTTTTTTTCCTAATTGCAAAGTTTTTCTCAATATTGAAATAATTTTTTGTCAATTTTACAATTTTTTTTTCAAACTTGCAGATTGTTTTGTTTGCATTCAAAGTTATTGCTCTTTTTTATTGTGTGTGTGTTTTTTCTTGATGAGTAAAACGCTAAATTCAATTCAATTCAGTTTATTTCTATAGCGCCAAATTCACAACACATGGCATCTCAAGGCACTTTACAGTTCAACCAGATCATCCAGTCAAATTAATTCAAAGTTTTCAATCTAAGGAAAACCAGTTGATTGCATTGACTCATTGACTCAAATACAATCCGTCACACTAAGCATGCTTGTAGCGACAGTGGTAGGAAAAAAACTCCCTTTTAACAAGAAGAAACCTCCAGCAGAACCAGGCTAAAGGTAGGAATATGACTATCCATCAAGCTGCCATTTTAATTTATGACATTATATATAGAAACTAAAACAGAAACAGAAAAGGGCTCCACATGAAACCTTAATGAACAATTAATGCAACTTACCCTGCATGGAAAACAGGTTCAAGCAAGGAAGAAGCTCTTATTTGCACAGAAAGCCAAGGTCCTATGAGAACAGTGGAAGTTGATACTTCTTTAGACTTAAGTTCAAATGCAAAATGTACATTTCTGGTAATGGAAGTCATGTTATTGTATTTAGTAATCAGGGAGGAAGAAGAGGGTGAAAAATAATATTTTACTTTCATCAAATGATGAAAAAGGAATGCCAGTCTTTAGAGCTTCGGTGTGATCAGCTCAGCGATTGATGAAATAAATAACCTGCAGATTTCATATTTTGTTGCTTAATGCCTTCGCTGACATGTACACACAGAGAGCATATACTCTTTTAAACATCTTGAATCTTTCAAAAAACCTCTGCAGCACCATCTGTTTCTGCTGATGAAAATGAAAACATGGAGGATAATATTTTCATTGCTATCGCTGAAACTGATGGTGAAGGTGTTTAAAATCTCCCCCATTCAAATACAAAGTATGCAGACTGAGAAAACATCTTAATGCAGATTTGATACCTGGAAACATCCTGTAGACAAAATGGACAGTTTGTTCAAAGATTTGATAGAGAATATGAGACACTGCCTGCTTGTTGGTGAGGATTGGCGTTTATTAACTAGCGTCATCATTTTAGGCCATCTCCACGCTCCTTCTCCTGAACACGGCGGCGATGATCAGTCCTTACGGCCCCCCAGCTTTGGTCTTTCTCCTTACTCCTCACCTCTGGCGACTCCTCGACTCGGCCACGGCAGCTCCAGTGAAGCGACCGAAGGAGACAACGGCTCCTTCACCTCTCAGCAAGCGCTCGGCAGCACAGAGACGCTCAAGAAGATCGGAGGGGACGAGCAGCTCCTGAGCAGCTGCGAATCGGCCAAGACGATCTGTGACTCCAAGGAGATGGAGGAGGGTTCCGCTCCCCGCACCCCGTCCATCAGCGTGGAGGAGGAGCGGGACGAAGCAGCAGAGGTTGACAGCTTGGCAGAGGGCAGCGTGGGGGTGGTAGAGTCTGAGGAGTGGGCTGGCGAGGAGGCGCCGCGCCGCCCTGACAGTCTTAAGGGAATCCAGTCCTTCCAGAGGAGCCACAGCAACCTGACCAGTCTGGGTCTGGCCTTCCCATTCCCTAATGGTTCTCTGGCAGTCGCCCGCTGGCCCAGCGCAGCAGACCGAGCATCCATGCCTGAAGACTGGGAGAGCTACACCTACTCTCCCGGCTCTGACAGAACTCACAGCAAGACTGAGCCTAACGACAGGTAGCTACTGCTTACCACTAAAAACAGCCCATAATCCTCCAATCTTCACTTCATACTGAAAAAGGTTTGTTTGTCTCAGGTCCAGCACAGAGGATTGCTTGGTGCTGATCTGCTGTGGACTCTATGACCTTCTGAGGGGCGTCCTGCTGCTGCTGCCTGACCTCATGCTGGAGGAGGTAATGGACAAACTCATCCAACCAGAGGCTCTCATCGTCCTGGTCAATCATCCCTCACCTCTCGTCCAGCAAGGAGTCATGAAGGTGGGTTTCTAGCCTGCTGGAACATCACTGTCTTTAGCAATGTGCTCATTCTAGCAATTGTTGCTGTAGAACAGGAGCACACAAGTGGGTTTATTTTTGCTGTGCAGCATGTTTTTGGAGTATTTATTTTTTCTCTTCATTGCTTTCAGCTACTAGACGCCTATTTCAGCAGAGCGCTCAAAGAACAGAAGGAGAAGTTCCTGAAGAACCATGGCTTCTCCCTGCTGGCCAACCAGCTGTACATCCACCAGGGGAGCCAGGGGCTTCTGGAATGCTTCCTGGAGATGCTGTTTGGACGACCCATGGGTTTAGAGGAAGAGTGAGTCCGGGCATTACTTCCAGAAGCATCTGAAGTTTTTTTCTTTTTAACTTTTGTTTATATTATCTTCCATATTGCAGCCTTCATTTTTGACCTAGTAGTTAGAGCTGTGAGTTGATCTATGAGAAGGGTGCAAGTACCCAGTTTGATCCCCATAGGCTGCAGTCTGGGTCCCTCAGGCGCCACACAATGGGAGCCCACTGCTCCTCAAGGGGATGGGTTAAATGCAGAGAGTGAATTTCCCCATTGTGCTAAAATACAGGGAATTACACACATTTACACATTTATTTAATGTAGGGCTGCAACAACGAATCGATAAAATCGATAAAAATCGACTTTTAAAAGCGTTGGCAACGAATTTCATCATCGATTAGTTGTGTCGCGCGATTATTGCGTCATCCGCCGCGCCGTCATCACTGCCTCTTGACTGAAAGAGGAAGAAAAAAAAAAAGGCAGAGCGAGTCAGCGCCGCAGGTGCAGTGTTGCCAACTCAGCGACTTTTCAGACCCCTCCAGCGACTATTTTTCAAAAAAGCGTTCTAGCGACAAATCTGGCGACTTTTTTCGGTGTCACTGGCGGCTTTTGGAGACTCTTACGTGAAAGCATGTATCGTTCCTACTCTGCCGTGGGGCGCCTCCCCCACCCCAACCGCGTTTTCCCGCAGGAGTCCCTCTCAGCGCTGCAGTCAGCCTCAGCGTCCAGACTGCAAATGAAGCGCGCATGCACCGGGATTGACGGCGCAAATTGATCACAATAATTAAAATAGCCTGCGCTTTGTAAAGCGAAAAAAGTCGTAACATGCAACTTTTTTCAAAAGAAATGAACATGGCACGGAAGCACCATGTTTGTTTGGTTTTAAAGTGGGGAAACGTAACGTTAGTTTCTCAGGTAGCTCATCTGATGCTTTCCTTACCGTGTTAGTAGGTTACAGACAGTGATAAGGTTGGCTACTTATTTTACTTTTAATTTGAATTAGCTTAAGCAGCGTTTATATTTTCTTTATAAATAAATTAACTTGCAAATTATGAGGGCAAGGCTTTTAAAGTTTAAATCTTCTGGCAAAGTTAAAGTAAAGAAGATCCTGCAATTTATGGAAGTAAAGCAGAATAAAATCCAGGAAGATCAGTAATATGTCAATTAATTATCTGCCACATTCCCATGTAAATATCTGTCTTTGGAGGATGTGTTTTTTAGCACCCCTAGTTCTCTCATTTTTATTCCAAATACAATTTATAATTTGAATCACAGGGCTATTTTTATCTCTATGGTTCAGTATTTTCTCAAGTAGCAACTTTAACTGCTATACTTTCCTGTCTTAAAAGGCAGAACTCTTCTAGTCTAAAAAAACTAATTTGTTGAAATGGGGGGGCCTATTGTTTGAACCCCTTAGGGGCTTTTAAAAACAAAAATGTCTTTTTTTGCGCTTTATGAAACAAAGTACCCTATATTTTGTGGATGTACAGCTACATTTCTCATGTGAGTTTGCGTAGTTTTAACACAAACATTTATTTTTCATATTGCACCAGTACAGTTAACAAGCAACCTGTACTTGTGTGCTTGTTTGTTCTGTCTAAAATGTTTATTTTGGAATAAAGAGGTTAATATAAAAAATATTTTTTGTCCGATTCATCGATTAATCGAAAAAATAATCGTCCGATTCATCGATTTTTAAAATAATCGTTAGTTGCAGCCCTAATTTAATGACTAATATCTGATGCATACATGGAATGCAATGTCATGTTTTTTTTTTTTTATCGTTTCTTAGATATAGTTAAAAATGATGTGTAAACCTATTTTGCTAATAAAAAAAAAAAAAAATGTGGAGGCTATAGATTCTTAAATTCCACACAAAATACAGATTATTAATCTGGTGCTCAGATATAGACCAACATCTTTAGGTTAAGAGTCCCCAGAGAGTAAAACTCAACCATATGCTTTTTGTTTTACCTTTTGCTTATATGATCCTTCCTCTTGCAGAATTACTGGAGTTTGTTCAAATTGATTCCCTTTTTGTCACAAACAGCTTTTACACATAATAAAACAATGACAACTAAAGTTAACTTGTTTAAAGGGTTAGTTTTCTTGTTTTATGCATCAACTATTTCTTAGATTCCTAAACTGCAGATCTGTTTTTGGCTAATTTGCTTTTTTTTTTGCTTTTTGACATTTTCCTTTTAATTCAACCACAGTCTGACTGTAGTTTAAACACCTGAAAAATATTTTAAAACAATTAAAGTTACATCAGACCTAACCCTGTTTCCACACTGCAAAAATGATCTCAAAATGAGTAAAAATACCCTTAATTTGAGCAGGTAAATAAGATGCTTTGCCAATGGAAGTAGTATTTTTACTCTTAAAATAAGGTATCTAGATAAAATGCACTTGAAATAAGACAATGCAATTGTTTTTTTTCTTATTTTAAGTGTAAATTGTCTTGTTCCATTGGCAAAGTGTCTCACTTAAATCCTTAATTCAAGAAAACATGTACTTATTTTAAGAAGAAATTACTTATTTAGATTTCATTTTTTTGCAGTGCAGAAGTAGATACGGACTCTACACATCTCTAAGTTTTTCTGTCGATTCTGAAATCACTGCTCAAGTGCAGCCGACAAATAACTGATCTTACTATTGATTTTGTTGCTTCCCATCTGAAACATTGTGGCTCTGTTACATTTTGAGGAAAACTTACATTAAATGCAACGCCAGCATCCAGATTAAGATTATGTTTTAGGAACATCAGATATTTGTCCACCTAGATGTGATCTGAAAGAACAGACTTTGTGATCTCTCAGGAAAAAAAATCAGAGATGGGTTAAATTCCATTTAACCACTGGCAGGAAAACATGGTACCTCCATCACCCTGCTTGACAGTAGGCAGGAGTTTCCATCCATTTCTTGATTTTAAAATGAAATAAAGATGCTTGTTATATAATCATTCCACCCTGCATATATATAAAGGAACACATTAGGAAAATCAATTGAAGCAGAAAAACAATTTCCACATCATCCGTCAGTGTTTAGCTGCTTCTCATTGTAACTTTATGTTTGTAAATGTCTCTTGTTTCTGTCTCTACAGTCTTGACCTGGAGGAAATGGAAAATATCTCACCTTTCAGAAGGCGCTGCATCATCCCAGTGTTGGGTCTTATTGAAAACTCGCTGTATGAGAACTCCTTGGTGCACAACATCCTTTGTATGCTGCTGCAGCTCGTCAATGCCTGCCCCAAGCTGGCAGACATCCTGCTGGATCACGGGCTGCTCTACGTGCTCTTTAACACCCTATCGACCCTTAACGGCATGGAGAATGGGTAAGATGGGCAAAAACAGTGGAGGAATTGTAACAAGAAGAGAAAATCTCACTGCTGTTCGTCTGTTATCCTTATATCGGAAGCTGAGTTTGTGTGCTTCTTATTTTCTTATTCTTCTCTCTGCAGTATTCCCCTGAATGATTACAAGCTCCTGGTGTGTGACATCCAGCAGATGTTAGTCGCTGTGACTATCCACTCCTGCAGCTCTTCTGGGTCTCAGTACTTCCGCATCATAGAAGACCTCATTACGCTGCTGGGTTTCATGCAAACCAGCAAGATGAGACGCACGCAGGGTGAGGCCTGGATTTCTAAAATTCAGTACACATCCAGAAAATAAACGAGGCTTCTCATGCGCTGCATCTGGTCGTAGAGGATGAAACCGAGCGCTTGGGTTTCTGCTGCTGAAAGAAAAAAATAAAATTACTTCAGAGTAATATGAAAAAAATCTACATTACATCTCACATCTTGTCTTGCTGCTACATCATTTTCTGATCAATTGACTCTCTGAAAAGACCTCCCTGTCATGTGGTGTATTCACATCTTTTTACTTCTTGGTAAAATTTTGAACTTAGATCATTTTCTTTCTTCTTCTGTAGCCATATAAAGACTGAGGTCTGACTGGTGATATTCGAAAAGAGATGGGGAATCAGGATTTTACTCTCCTGAGATAATTGCCAATGAGTATCTGGCATTTTATGCATTATAATGAATAGTGGGAAATGAAATTATTTCGGTTTTAGGATTATGTTCCTTACCAGACAAATTAAAAACTACTCAATCTCATTATTTATTGATCAAAAGGAGAGAAAATTGTGAAAATGGTCTTCAGTGAATAGATATGAGTACCGTATTTTCTGGACTATAAGCTATAAGGGGAGCTCTACATATAGGCCCTGGAGTAGGGATAAAGAAGAAGAATGCTAGCTCCTGTTAGCTTGTTGGCTCGCAGCAGTAAGAGCTTCTACTGAAAGATGGGACTTGTCACTACCTGATCTGTCCCTGAAGCACGATCCGTTCTGCGCATGCGCCATCAGCTCATTTGCGCATGCGCATCCAGATATATATCCGGGTCGCCTTTGATTTTATCTTGTTAAAAATACCTGAATTACATTTTTTCCTACCCCAAAAATAGTAAGCGTGCCAAAATATAATGTGTCGTCTCTTGCCAATCTGCACCGGAAATGGGATCCTACGCTACTTCCGTTGGCTAACTTTTTCAGCTTTGGATTTAAACATAAATCGAGTCTTTTTTTAATTTTATGTTTTCATTTCCTTTTAATCTTATGGTATATAGTGAGTGATCTGAAGAAACAAACAACTAAAATGCAGATAAACATGGTTTAATCATATTTTGACGGACTGCTCTGAGCATATCTGATGATGGCGTCAGAGAAGCAGTTTAGCAAAGAAAATGTAAGAAGCATCAAATTTGTCTCACAAAAGTCATAAAGCATTTTTTTTAGATGTATATTAGCATTCCTTAGTGATTTAAGGATAGAAATAAGTAATTTTAGTACCATAATGACATTATTTATGAACACCCAAATTTATATCTGTTCGCTCATGCGCAGGACGTGCTTCCGGGACGTATCGGGTAGTGACAGGGCTTCATCCGCTTTTTATTTCAGCTCTGCAGGACTTGAGTCCTGTCTTTGCATTGGTTCGAAAACTTTAATGAGGCAAATAAATGTCAGAATGTGTAAATTCAGGAGATTTGTTCTCTTTCATGCCTGCTGATGGCATGATCTTGTGCCAAATGAAAATTAGACCCTTATTCTTTCATTTCCAACTTTGACTTCCCCCTCTAAGGAAAAATCAACAGTAAAGCTGCATCTTCTTATAAGCCGCCTGGTTTAAAGCATGTGGGAAAAAGTAGCAGCTTATAGACCAGAAAATACGGTAGTTGTAAAAACTCTCCCGACCTTTAATCACTGTGTCGTGTGGTTCTGGAAGGATTTTAGCTGCTTTTATGATTTTGCTTTTTAATTTGGCAGCATTGTTGAAGCTGCTCTGTTAGGATTAGATTACCAGATTTCTGCAGGACAGCTTCAGTCCCACTAACGGAAACAATACCTCATGTCTCTCACTGTCAATTCAAGCTTTATTCTTTTTTCTGTTGTTCCTACACCTGTGAACACGTTTTCTCTCTAGAGTGACAGTTTTAAACTCTTTTCCACCTTGAATTAGAAGCAGTAAGGTACTGATCTGTTTCTGCTACAAGTTATTAATTCATGAATCATGGTAGAGCTGTATCTAGCTGTGCTCCTCCACACAGAGCTGTTGAAAATCTGCATTTTTTTTTTTGCAATTTACTGGGTTTTCCCGTAGATTTAGTTGATTGTTTCAGTTTTTGGTGTCAGTCGGGAAGATAACAGAAAGCAAAGCTTTTAAAAGGGCATGCCCAATCTGTGTGTTCAGAAATGGCTGTGGCCCTGCAGTTCAGAGTCCTCCAGTCGGCCATCGAGTTCATAAAGACGACTGCCAACCAGGAGCCTGCGAAGCTGAGCAGTGCCGTCAACACACCCACCTCTCCGCATCACGCCAAATATCAGAAGCGAAGGAGCATTGCAGGTAAATGCTTTAGATTTATTTTCTTTTTTGCTGTGATCTGGTTCTGTCTGAAGTGTCGGTTTATTAAACCTCGTCTCATCCTGATCTAAAGGTTCCATTGCCATGAAAGACTCCATTATCCCCCGCATCCCCAGACAGCACTACTGCTCCTTTGGCCAAATCCCAATGTTCTCTCCCTTCAGCTTCCTGTCCCAGGACTCCCCCCTCCCCTCCCCCACTGGTACCCCGTCGTACATGCTCCACTGTGATGCAGGTAGCTGGGACCTTAGGTCCACAGCGGAGATCATCCTCCTCTTATTGGGGGGATATCTTCCATGTTTGCCGTGAACTTCGATCCTTCCCTCGCTTTGGGATTTCACTTTGCCCAGCATTCTCACGTGCTGCTGGTGCTTTCAAATCTGCACGCTACAATGCTTACCTGAGTCAGTGTCAAGCATTTCAGCAAACATCCTTCCCTCTTAAATATCTTCTCTTTGAAAGACAATTACTTTAGATTAAAATTCTTTTACAGCTTCAAATAAAAGATAACTTTTCAGAAATTCTCTCATGTTCCACTCGCTAACTTCCATGTATTTCCTCAGTGTTTAATGTTATAGACCAAGAAAAAGTAGTGGTTCAGTACAAATGTTAATTACTCTCAATTCTAAAAAGTGTGGCATGCATTTTTATTGCTCTCTCCTGATTTAGCAGCCGCCAGAGGCAACTTCAGATGCTACTACAGCTCTAATTCTTAGTTTAAATGTGGATATTTTTTCCACTTCAATATAATTGATCACTATATGCTGGTCTATCACATTAAAGAAAACATAGAAGTCTGTGGCGAGGTTCTTTCTTTAGACGTGAAAGTATCCAAACTGAGCCCCTCATGTTGCGTCTGCAGGCCGGCGTCGGTTCTCTCTGGCCCAGACTGACTCCCTCCTGATGCGGATGCGCTCCGTAGCCAGCGATGAGCTCCACCAGATGATGCAGAGGAGGATGAGCCAGGAGAACCCGATCCGAGCAAGTGAGACGGAGTTTGTCCAACGCCTGCAGAGGCTTGTGGTTCTCGCTGTCAACAGGCTGATCTACAACGGTAAACAAAGTCAGATTATCTGATGTGGCTCCTTTATTCATCCCCTTCTCTCATCTAATCCTAGTTCCTGTAATTTCAGATGTGAGTGAGGACTTGTTCGACCTGCTAAACATCCCAGACTCCCCAGACCATCACATCTTCACGCCAGAGCCAGGCGATCAAGCCCACGACGACAGCAGCTCGTCCTCCATCCCTCACTCTCCGATCCCTTTTATTCTTCCCCATGCGAGCAAGAAGAGTTTTCAGAAGGACATCCTGAAGCTGATGACGGATGGGATCAAAATCAGTCTGGTAAGACCTCTTCTTTCTTCTTCTTTTTGTTTGTTGCTGTATCTTCTGACCAGGTGTTTGTGCTTCATGTGGCCACAGGGCAGCACTGGTCGGGGTGGAGCGCCAAATCACCAGTGGCGGAGAATCCTCTGGTCCTGCAGGGACACATTCAGGGTGCAAATCGGCCGTCTGCTAGTGCACACGCTCAGCCCATCACTTCCACTACAGGACCGAAAAGAGGCGCTTGACTTTGTTTTTGATCACAAGCATATCGATATCCTGAAGGAGAGCCTCAGCCCCGGACTAGAGGTGAATGAGAAACCCTGGTTTCTTCTAGAAGGTTACTTACAGACCCTTATATTTAGCTTTATTTTCTGTTTCACTCAGCACGGACCAAAACTGTCACTATACCTGTACGAGATGTTGCACGATCACAAAGACGAGCTCACTAAAGAAGAGCAAAGTGCAGTGGGCGTCTTCATGACCTCGCTTAAGCTCTGCGGCCATCGCTGCATCCCGCCCAACGCTCCACACAAACACGATCTGCTCAAAGCTATAAAGGAGGTAACTTCTGTTGTTTTGCAGGAGAGGCCCCGGAGCTTTCAGGGCGAAAATATATGTTTATTAGGAACTGTGCGTATTAAAGGCATTCCGCTTTATTAATGCAGGAAAAACTCAAGTATGAAGCGGAAGAGAAAACGAGTAAAGCTGCGTGGGAAAAGAAAATGGCTCACGCTCAGAAGAAGTAAGGTGGACGTTTTTTTTTCTATATGCTAAAAAAAAAACTTGAATTATTTTTAATTCTCTCTTACTCCTCTTCAGTCTAATCCAGAGGCTTGATGGGAAATCCAAGGATATTTCCAAGATTGCGGCTGATATTACTCAGAATGTGTCTCTGCGGCAAGGCATGGAGAGGAAAAAGGTCATCCAGCACATCAGGGGTCTGTACAAGACGGAGCTGAGCGCCAGCCGCCACTGGCAGGAGCTGGTTCAGCAACTCACACACGATCGGTAGGCGTCAGTTAATCTATACTTTAATTCAACTTAAAAGCATTTGCTATAGAGACTGAGACTTTATGATGATTAATACCTTCTGTTATTTGCATCGTGCAAAAATAAGGAAAATGATGCAGTCCTAAAAATTTTATTTAGGAAAAATTAGTTGCATTTAAGGATTTTCTGTTTCCCTACATTTAAAAAAATGAGACAAAAAAAATAAATCGCTCAATTAAGTTTATTTCCTACCCGTCTTGCTATCAAGTTGTAGCTCCTGTGGTTTATTTTTATAAAAATATTATAGTTCTGGTTGGAGTCCACGGCTCGATGGTGTTTGCATTCCTCTCTTAGCATGCTTTGGTTCTCTCCATGTAATCCGTTGCCCTCGGACACAGCTCTCATAGATGCAGGGTTCCCGCGGGTCCTTAAAAAGTCTTAAAAGGCATTGAATTCTTCAAAATAAAACTATGGCCTTAATTGGTATTAAAATGTCTTAAATCAGTCTTTCATAGGTCTTAATTTTTAAAAAATCATAAAAAGGATAATTTTTGTTACGATTTATTTTTGCAATCTAAATAAAACATTAACAGCTCGCCATTATTGGTTCCGTCCCGATAGCGGAACCAATAAAAGCGTTGTTGCAGCCGGGACATTTGGGAGATGCGCCATTAACTTTTTGTCTGGAAAATATGACCAAAATATAACCAAAATTGTCTCCAGCCAAGAGTTTTCTCCATGGCTAAAACCAGGGAACATACATGAGGCTCAGTGGATTTCGTACAAGAAGTCATTCAAGCTCAGAACGATGGAAATTAAGGCAGTGGAGTCACACATGAGAAGCACGAAACACAAAGCGTCAAAATCGAGTTACCAAGAAACAGTCGGTATTTCTCGGTTTTGTTCCACCCTTGTCTCTGCAACGCCTCCACTTATCACCAAATCAAACATACTAAGAAAACCATACAAAGAAAAATAGCTGCAAAAAAGACTTAGCACTGGTTATGTTGTGGCTTTAAAACTGCTTGTTTTGTTTCCTTCTAAAACAAAGTTTGTGAATTCAGTTAAATAATTGTTCAAATATATCTGTCATTTGTGTGTTTTTAGCTTTCTTCCTGTATGTGAAGCTTTTAAATTTAAAGCTTCAAAATTTAAAACATTAGTGTAGTGGTTTATGTTAAAATAAACCTTTGGGTTAAGTTGTCACAAGCAGGTTTTTCTTGTGTTTCTTGTGAATTTGGTCTTAAATTTTTATTTCAAGTGACATTAAAAAGTCTTAAAAAGTCTTGAATTTAACTTGCCTTATGCTGTAGGAACCCTGAGATGTGATGGTATAGATAAAAATAAATTTTTTTGAAAATAAGAGAAACTCTTTTTACAAAAGTTTGATTTTTTTAAATAAATAATGAAGCTCTTTTCAGTTGAAAACCTTGGGATCTTTATTTATATTTTCAGAATTTTTGAACTTTTATATTTTTTTCATTATGTGAAATGTATAGAAACTGAGTGGGGAGTTCAGGCTTGCTAAGGAGCTAAATCTGCTTTTACCTTCTGTTTCAGGGCTGTTTGGTACGACCAGACGTCCTACCCAACATCATGGCAGCTCGATCCCACTGAAGGCCCAAACCGAGAGAGGCGGCGGCTGCAGAGGTGCTACCTCACCATCCCAAACAAATACCTGCTCAAAGACAGACGGAAACCTGAAGGTAAATAAGCGGCCTTATAAAAGCTCTTTTCTCAAAGCTTCCCCCTTGTCTTTTTGTTCCTAAACGTTTGTTTCTCCGTGATGCTTTCAGACGCAGTGAAGCCGCCTCTGTCCTTCCTATTTGAGGATAAGACTCACTCCTTCTTCTCCTCCACTGTGAAAGACAAAGCCACCAGCGAGTCCATCAGGTACAGCTCACTGATTTTCTCTGCCACAGTGTAAATATAATAATGGTATCAGAGTGTTAGAGTAATGGTTCTGCATGGATGGACCTACTGTAAGCGAACGGTGTTTCCTCCCCTTAGGTTCACCAGACGGTGCACCAGTGTCGCCCCCTCCAGAGAGACGGCAGGAGAGTTGCTGCTGGGTACGACCCCAACCATCACTCACAGCTTCCAGACACGAAAAATAAACCGCCTTCTTCTCATCGCATTAAAATTTTAATCCCATTTCCTCACAGGAAAGTCAGGGATGTACTTTGTGGAGGACAACGCCGCTGATGCTCGCGACAGCCAGGTAAGCGGCTGAGTGGTGCCTGCTGTGGGTTTTTGGTTAACCGCCTCGCTGATTATTTACCGTCTTTGTGTTTGACTAGATTCTTCAGGGAGAGACGGAGGCGCCATCTTTCTCCTGGACGTACGAGGAAATCAAGGAGGTGCACAAGAGATGGTGGCAGCTGAGAGACAACGCACTGGAGATATTTCTGACGAACGGCAGGACGTTGCTGTTAGCCTTCGACAACACCAAGGTGAGGGGGAAAATTAAGTTACCGGTGACTTGAAAAGGGATCTATAGGTGTGAGACTTAAAAGTAGTGTTAAAATAATGTTTTCTGCTTCGTCCCTTAATGATAAAACAGCAAAGAGATTTTGAATTTTAAAGGTATAATTGAAAAAATGGCAACGCTTTTAGCTAACTAAGACACACACTGCAAAAAATTTCAATCTAAATAAGTAATTTTCCCCTAAAATAAGTGCATTTTTTCTTGAACTGAGGTGGTAATTGAGACCCTTTGCCAATGGAACAAGACAATTAACATAAGAAAAAATATTGCATTGTCTTATTTCAAATGCATATTATCTAATTATCTTATTTTAAGAGTAAAAATACTCGTTCCATTGTCAAATAATCTTATTTACCTGCTCAAATTAAGGGTAAATACACTTAATTTAAGACATTTTTAGTTATTTCTGAATTGTTTTTGCAGTACATGATGCTTCCCTCTAATGGCCGGCATAAATGGTGTTATTTTGGAGAGATTTTTGTTGGTCTAAAATATGCAGAAATATTACAGACAAAGCTTTGAACCCATGATTAGCAGCAGTGCTACAAAGTGCATCAGCGTACAGCCCACAATCTTCTAATTCTTAACTTGATTTAAAGGTTTTCACTGCTTAAGGAATTTATTAAACTTTGAATCTATTAAACTAATGCACAGATCTTATCTGAATTATTCTACAATAAATACACATGCTAATACATTTTGTCATCTGTAGAATATTTATTGCATTAGTGTTAAAGGGATGTAAAAGTGATTTTTAATCATTTCATATTCGTCACAAATTTGTCACAAATTGGTTATCGAATCATCATCTTTTTTATTATTCAATCAATCAATCAATCAATCTCTTTATTTAGACACAATTATGGTCCATAAACAGACAAAAACAAGAACAATAATAAAAAAAAGAGAAAAATATTTAAAAATATAAATATATAATAATCAATCAGGGACATATAAACTAAAGCGCCAATGATTCCATTAAAGGTTTTTATAGTTAAACCCAATTTTGATCAGTCTAATTTAAACTCTCTTAAAGTCTCTGTTTTTGTGTTTAAGGTTTCTGTCAAAGTTCAATTTGTCTAAAGTGTTTAAATTTTAGTCAATCTACGCTCCTTAGTGTTGTATGATGTCTGATGGGCCCCTATATAAGGGGAGTGGCAACCTAGTGGTTGGGGCATACAGTAGGGCTTAGAATCCAGAGTTTCTGAGTTTTAGCCCCACTCCCACAGACTGCAACTTTGGGTTTCTGAGCAAGACCCTTAACCCCCGATTGCTCCCCGGGCGCTGATTTCTTCACCTTGATAGCACTCATTCTTTAAGATCACTTGTGTTCAAACCGGTGGATCATAACAAATGACTCTGTGGTCTGTGTTTCCCGGCTTTAGTTCCGAGACGACGTCTACCACAACATCCTGACCTCTGACCTCCCCAACCTGTTGGAGCATGGGAACATCTCAGCACTCACCCAGCTGTGGGGCTCCGGTCAGATCACAAACTTTGAGTACCTCACCCATCTCAACAAGCACGCCGGCCGCTCCTTCAACGACCTCATGCAGTACCCGGTGTTCCCCTTCATCCTGAGCGACTACAGCAGCGAGACCATCGACCTGCAGGACACAAACATCTACAGGTCGGTACTTGGTACTGACTCTTAAAAAGCCATTTTATATGTGTGTTGATGATAATCGTGTATATTTCATTGTATTAACTCCATATACTGCCCCCCCCTGCAAAGTCATAAAATATTTCATCATTAGGATGACATGTTTCAAGTTTATTTTTGTTTTGATTTGATTAACTTGTCTGTTATTATGGACTTTATGTATCACTTGCTTTAATGAACATTTAGACTCATTTTTATCCAACAATGCTAAATATTTATGGAGTACAAAACATACCTTTATTTTTTATTTATCTACGGGATGTTTGCAAAGGGTTAAAATATATCAATACAATGAAAAGGTTCATTCTCTGAAAACACACATCACTTTGGCTAAAAAAAGAATCAGTTTGAAATATAGGTATACTGATTGATAGCCTCGTGAGACCATCCTGATCTCACGAGCTTTCAAGGTTTCACTCGCTAATCAGTCTGGAGACTCTCCGTTAAAGAAAATTTGGAACAGTTCACCAAAGAACGTCCAATCAGCGTTGGCTTTGAGGCAGTTTGAGGTGTGACGCAACGAGAAGCGCGACAGTTCAGTGTAAAGAACATGGCGGCTTCAGCCGATGAAACTAGCGTTAGCGTGGCTATCGAGCAAGTTTTATCGGAATTACAGAGTATTTCTTCACTGAAAGAAGAGCAAAACACTGCTCTGGAGGCTTTTCTCAGAGGAAAAGATGTTTTTGCTCTTCTCCCGACTGGTTTCGGCAAGAGTTTGATCTATCAATTGGCTCCTCTTCGTCGTCGCTCTGTTAGTACGTCATATGCTTCGTTGATCTGATTGGTTTATTTGGCCCGTCTATCACCAACATAGGCCAAGCAGCTAACCAGTATTTTCGCCCCTTCCCAAAATTACTTCAACGGAAGGTTTCCTGATGGATATGCGGAGCAAATCCATCTGGCGGAGTCAGGTTAACTGATTGATGCATGTTTTAGCATTTTCTCCTTTGACTAATTGCATAACATTTTAATTTTAATAATTTTAAAACCTAAAATCTTAAATGGAACAGGGGTTACATTGAAAGGGAAAAGTTTTTTGTTCTTTTTAAACAAAGGTCATGTAATGTTTTTGGCTTTAAACTAGTTTTAGAAGCTGGTCTGAAATCTGGTCTTCTGAAAGGACTTTCAGCAAGGTGTCAGACTGCTGTAATAATTCATAATAATTAATGTCTAGTGTTGCCATCCATGTGTGCTGCCATCGGCTATACGACGACATGAATCAGACATACTTTTAAATACTTATTTTGTAGCTTTGAATATTAAAAAGGTTTAAATCAGGTGATATTACTCAAAGAGAGAACAAAAGTCAAAACTGTTTCACTTTGCAGGAATTTAAGCAAACCCATTGCAGTTCAATCGAAAGAAAAAGAGGACCGCTACGTCGATAATTACAAGGTAAGGCTTTCAGCACGTTCCAACTTGTATTTTTCATCGAGTTCGCTGAACGATTTCGGAAAAAAAACACATCTGCTTGGTTGTGTTTAATGCGCAGTATCTGGAGGAGGAGTACAAAAAGGGAATCCGTGAGGACGACCCCATGCCTCCGGTGCAGCCTTACCACTACGGCTCGCACTATTCCAACAGTGGCACGGTTCTGCACTTCCTGGTCCGAATGCCCCCGTTCACCAAGATGTTTCTCGCCTACCAGGGTCAGTTATGTGGTTATTTTCTCCTAACTTTAATGGGAAAAAAAAAAAGAAAAGGAAAGTTAATTTTATAGTTTATGATTCATGAACAAAGATACACCACCTTTGATTTTCAGTATTTCTATAAATGTCTCTGCTTCTGAACTTGCTGGATTTTCTTGGTTTTATTTAGAATAGAGCAGAATATTGTTCCTTACTTTCTCTTTGCGTTTTGTCTGATCAGCCCCTTTCCTGTATTTAGTTTTTTCAATCATCCATCTCGTCTATCTGATCTTCTGAGGCATCTTTTCATGCCGCTGCTAATGTATTCAGCAAGCAGTGTGTTTAAGGTTATGAAAGGAGGTGTTTTCTAAAGCAGTGGGCTGAATGTGAAATTCAATTTTCTTTGACCTCAATTAGACCAGAGCTTTGATATCCCGGACCGGACGTTTCACTCGATGAACACCACGTGGCGCCTGTCCTCCTACGAGTCCATGACTGACGTGAAGGAGCTAATCCCAGAGTTTTTCTACCTCCCAGAATTCCTGGTCAACAGAGAAGGTGATGATTTTCTCTTTTATTGTTACATAATGACTGTTTGTTCATGAATAGGTTTTCTTTTAACTACATACGGTTTTTGATTGCACAGGTTTTGATTTCGGGGTTCGTCAGAACGGTGATCGGGTGAACCATGTGAATTTACCACCATGGGCGCGCAATGACCCTCGTCTGTTCATCCTGATTCACCGCCAAGCCCTGGAGTCTGAGCACGTCTCCCAAACACTCTGTCAGTGGATCGACCTGGTGTTCGGACTCAAGCAGAAAGGCAAAGCGGCAGTCCAGGCCATCAACGTCTTCCACCCAGCTGTGAGTAAGAGGGGACCATCAAGTCTGCTTGAAAAGCCTTTTACTGTTTTCCTTACGCGATCTTTGTGTGTTGCTTCCCCAGACTTATTTTGGCATGGATGTATCCGCTGTAGAAGACCCAGTTCAGCGTCGTGCTCTGGAGACGATGATCAAAACATACGGCCAGACACCCAGGCAGCTCTTCAATGCCACTCACATCAGCAGGACCGCCCCGAAACTCTTGATGGAGGGTGAGCTCCCAGCAGCCATGGGGCTCCTGGTGCAGCTCGCTTTCAGAGAAACACGGGAACAGCCAAAGGAAATCGTCTGCCCGGTAATCCTCTCTATCATTTAAAAGTATAAATCCTTGTGCTTTTGTTAGAGAACATTAATGTCGCGGCACACCTCTGGGCCACCTTAGTAAAGTTAGACAATTATTACACACCTCAAAACTAATGGAAGAGGAGCTAAAAGAAGCCCAAAGGTTGTTAGATATCTCATTTTTAAAAGCTATGCAGGGTCAGATTAAACTAACCTGTACACAGAGTATCTGTATGGAACGGAGCGGCCAGAGCCCGATCTCAAAGACAGGACGAACAGAGTCCGCTGAAACAGAAGTAATCAGATAACTATGGGCGAAAAGCAAAAACCTGCAATTTAAAAAAAGAAAAGCTCTTACAGCGGCCAGTTTAAGGGCATAATAAAGGGTAAATATTAGAACATCATGCTATTGCAGCTGCAGTCTTGTTATGGTTACAGAAAAGCACTACTGCATTTTGGCCCCTCCTCCTGTGATTGGACCAGACTGTTTTAGACCAGAGAGTATTAACCCTTTACCAGGCTCCTTCATGCGCCAGGCTAAGAAGAAGAACATGGAGGAGGATGTACAGCAGATGTGTTTCTAATCTATGAAACGATTTGATGCTCATCTTCTAATTTTCTCCTCCGCCTCCTCAGAGCCCACTGCCCTGGATCAAAGGCCTAAAGTGGGGTGAGTACGTAGGCTCTCCGTCTGCCCCTGACCCGGTGGTATGCTTCAGTCAGCCGCACGGGGAAAGGTTCGGATCCCTGCTGGCCCTGCCGACTCGAGCAATCTGTGGTCTTTCCCGCAACTTCTGCCTCATGATGATCTACAGCAAAGAGCAGGGTAAGAAAGACATTCTCGTATAATAACCTGTGAAGACACATTTTAGCGTCGTCCAGACTCGACAGGCTTTACTCCCTCTGCTCTCCAGGTGTGAGGAGCATGCACAGCACAGACATCCAGTGGTCGGCTATCTTGAGCTGGGGATACGCGGACAACATATTAAGGCTTAAGAGCAAGCAGAGTGAACCGCCCATCAACTTCATCCAGTGTTCACAACTTCACCAGGTACATAAAGGTTTAAAATGATCGAGTTCAGACTTTGAAGACTCGCCAACGCTGCGGTGTTATTTACCCCATTTACTCTACTCTTGAAAAACGGTGCCGAGACCGGTCCGAGCTCAGTAACTGAGATAACTTATCGTGTGTAAATGCAAAGCAAACTGAACTGAACCGAGCTAGATACACAACCGAACCGAGCTAACTGCAGACCAGTTCCAGAGGTGGGCTCGGCTCGGTTTTTCCCTGGCTCGGTTCTCTGATAACAAGAGCGCATGAGCAGAACGCGTCATCTCCGTCTGGCTGCACATTCCGATTCACACTCCATTCCAGTAGTTGGCGGTAATGCCCCTACGGAAGTCGCTTGCCAACCAACACAAAACAGAAAAAAAGAAGAAAAACTATAAACAACAATCGAAATCTTCTCCACGCAACATTTTAAATAATGGCATTTTAAACAATAACACCGAAGTACAGCAATAATAATCAACCATAACTTTCTGAATGTGACGGGCGCCACCATTTTGATTTGATTTTGCCAGATTCCCTCCTTCTTTGTCTTCTTCTTCGTGTGTTTTATGGCGGTTGGCAAACAACATTTGGTGCATTACCTCCACCAACTGCTTGATTTCCTCCTTCAATACTGGCAGTAATACCGTAGATCGTCACTAGGAGGCGAGGAGTTGAAGAACCGAGATAGCGTAAAGTGTAAACGGTCTTCAGAACCGAGCTCGGCCTGGATCAGTTTTTAAAGGGTAGTATAAATGGGGTAATTGTTTTTTTTGTTCGCATCTTAGGAACTCTCCTGTTTCTCATTAGGATAGTAAGCAGTTGACATTCAAAATTTGACAAAAATAAAGACTTATTTGGGCTGCAGGGCCCTTTAAAATAAGAAAATATAGCCATAATATCAAAGTTACAATAAATGTCTCAACATTTTTGAATTTAGAAAAATAAGCGAAATATTTTTGTGTCTCGTTTTATAAAGTCTCATATCAATTGGGTACAATAAGAGTAAAATATTATCTGTGAAATTTTAAGCTTTATTTCTTTTATCAATTCTTTGACCCAGCATTCAGCATCTCAGAAAGTTATAATATTACAAAAGCTTTAATAATAATAAATGTGAGATTCCTGGCTGTATGGTGGTTCTTGATGTGCTGATTCCAGTCTCAGTCTGCTCTAGGATTGTTGTCCGGATTTTGTTTGACAGTCCTCTCAGGGTTGCGGATTTTCCTGTAACCGATGCCACTTTTCTGCCCCACTTGTCTTTCTATTCAACGTTCTGTAAAGATCCTTGGTTACAGCATTTTGTTAACAACCAGATTCTCTAGTAATGACCTGTTGAGCTACTGTACCTTCTTTATGGAAGATATCATGACTGTCTTCTGGATTTCTGTCCAGTTAGCAGTCTTCCCCATGATTGCATAGTTTTCTGACCTGGAATGACAGACCATGAGTTTCCAATATTTAACTTTTATCATAATATCAAAATTTTTTAAAAGAAATTATGGGTTTTTATTTTCTGTAATCCATCTTACAGGCCTTTCCATCATACTGAAAGCTCATCAGCAGTGTAACCTTGTTAAGAACCCCAGGTGTAAAAACGGCTTCGACTGCTTTTACACAAATCAATATTTACTATTGATTAGCAAGGAGAGTATAAATCATTTTTATACTCACAAGTTATTTTTTTTTATTGACTATAGTTAAAAACGTAAATAATCTTGTTTAAAATCAATAAACACCATCAGATTGTTTTTTTCTCTTTGCTTCTGGTGAACTTTATACATTTATTATGTACGTATTTATTATTTTAATTAAAGGTATAATAGAGAATTTTCTTGAATTTTTGAAAACTCCCACCCTCTCCCTTTTAAGAAAATGTACATGCACAACCCTGTACCCACTCCTGAGAGCGTGCACGAGCCTATTTCTCCTCGTGCACACTCTGTTTAAAAGTTGCTGTTTGCATCACTCATACAAGCTTACTTTCCAAAAGAAGATTTTCATTTTTTCTGCTATGTCAGACTCACCATCGGGAAGTGAAAATGGAACAAGCATGTAGGACGGCCTTAGTTAAACACATCACCAGAATGATTGACAATTAGGAGGACCACTTATTTTGATGATCCACCTAGAAACCTTTTATGTGCAGTACTAATAATAGTTTTTTCTCTGCAGTGATACATTATTTTTCTTTTTGTTACGTATGGAAGTGATTAAACTGTGTTTTCTGATGGTGCAATACTACTTTTTACAAAATAAAATAGAAGCTTTTTTGTAATTGCACATCAGGTATAAAATTAAATTGCATTGCTTCAGGGTTGGTGTATAACACGGAAGAGGATTAGGGCCACTGAAAAAAAAAAAAGTTAACAGATTTTTTTATTTTATTTCAGTTTAGTATGGGAAAAAAGTCAGAATTCTGACTTTTTCAAAATTCTGACTGAATTCTGACAATACAAAATGTCAGAATTCTTAGATTAAAGTCAGAATGTTGAGAAAAAAGTTTGAATTCCGAGATTAAAGTCTGAATTCTGAGATTAAAGTCTGAATTCTGAGATTAAAGTCTAAATTTTGAGAAAAAAAGTCTACATTTTGAGAAAAAAAGTCTGAATTCTGAGAAAAAAAGTCTGAATTCTGAGAAAAAAAGAATTCTGAGATTAAAGTCTGGATTCTGAGATTAAAGTCTGGATTCTGAGAAAAAAAATCTGAATTCTGAGAAGAAAAAAAAGTCTGAATTCTGGGAAAAAAAGTCTGAATTCTGAGAAAAAAAGTCTGAATTCTGAGGAAAAAAGTCTGGATTCTGAGATTAAAGTCTAAATTTTGAGAAAAAAAGTCTACATTTTGAGAAAAAAAGTCTGAATTCTGAGAAAAAAACTCTGAATTCTGAGAAAAAAAAATTCTGAATTCTAAGATTAAAGTCTGAATTCTGAGATTACAGTCTGGATTCTGAGATTAAAGTCTAAAATTTGAGAAAAAAAGTCTGAATTCTGAGAAACAAAAGTCTGAATTCTGAGAAAAAAAAGTCTGAATTCTGAGAAAAAAGTTTGAATTCTGAGAAAAAAGTCTGAATTCTGAGAAAAAAAATTCTGAATTCTGAGATTAAAGTCTAAATTTTGAGAAAAAAAGTACATTTTGAGAAAAAAAGTCTGTATTCTGAGAAAAAAAAGTCTGAATTCTGAGAAAAAAAAAGTCTGAATTCTGAGATTAAAGTCTGAATTCTGAGATTAAAGTCTGGATTCTGAGATTAAAGTCTGGATTCTGAGAAAAAAAAATCGGAATTCTGAGAAAAAAAGTCTGAATTCTGAGAAAAAAAAGTCTGAATTCTGAGAAAAAAGTCTGAATTCTGAGATTAAAGTCTGGATTCTGAGGAAAAAAAATCTGAATTCTGAGGAAAAAAAATCTGAATTCTGAGAAAAAAAGTCTGGATTCTGAGAAAAAAGTCTGGATTCTGAGAAAAAATTCTGAGAACAAAGTCTGAATTCTCAGAAAAAAAGACAGAATTCTGACTTTTTTTTTTCATATTAAACTGAAATAAAATTTAAAAATCAGTTAACTTTTTTTTTCCCCTAGTGGCCATAACCCTCTTTAGTAGTATAATAAGCATAAAAATCTGAAAAAATATATTTTTTAAAGCTCAATATTAAAATGAGACATATAAAAAGGGGTATTATAAATATAAGGAATGCATATTTTCCTAATTTAAACATAAAAGCTAAATGCAACTGTGGCTCTTTATGCATTTATCAATGAGTTGAACTAAAAGTACAGTTAGAGCTGGTTCACAGTAGTAGTTAGTAATTAGTAGTATTTATTAGTATTTATTAAAACATAAATCTTGGGGTTTGGTTTGTAACAAACCAAAGCCAGTGTAGCGTCTACCTTCCTCTGAGTCTGATTTTACGCTGCGGACGAGCCAACACCCTCGGAGGTTTCTCACTTCCTGTCCAAATGTCGTCCTTCTCCTCCAGGTGACCAGCTGTGCCTGGGTGCCCGATGGCTGCCAGCTATTTACGGGTAGCAAGTGTGGAGTCATCACCGCCTACAGCAACCGCTTCACCAGCACCACAGTAGGTTTCCATGGCGATGCTCCCCACTAACCTTCCTCCTCCGCGCGAACGCCCATTACAGCTGCCCACTCACCCGTCCCCCCCTCCTCCCCCTCTCTCTTTAGACAGCCATGCTGAAACGCTCAGCTTCATTAGTCACATCACAGCTGTCCTTGAAACACATTTCCACCGAGTTTAGAAGTGGTATTAGAGGATCTGGAGTCCCGTCATCAGAGGGGCCTTCAGACATGCATCAGCGCCTGATACTATGTGGAGATTTCCTGCTTCTTTGTGTCTGAAGGGCTTTTGAGCAGAAGCTCACATGCAGAGCCTTGTTGAATTCTGATTAATGGAGTTCTTTTTTAGAGCAGAGCTAAAGCTCCACATGAGTGCCTGATCCTGAGCTGAGTTACAGATGAAATGTGACCTGCTATCATGCTTTTGTTATTGTTTTTTTCCCCCAGCCTTCAGAGATAGAGGTGGAGTCTCAGGTTCATCTATATGGGCACACAGGGGAAGTCACCAGCCTGTTTGTCTGCAAACCCTACAGCATCCTCATTAGTGTCAGCGACGACGGCACCTGCATCCTTTGGGACCTCAACAGGTCAGCACGGCATTAAAGGTCAAAGTTAAAACCAAAGGATTTCAGTTCATTTGTTGTCTGAATTGTTTGTTTGTTTATTTCAGACTCTGTTATGTGCAAAGCCTCACGGGTCACAAAAGCCCAGTGACGGCTGTATCTGCAAGCGAGACCACGGGTGACATCGCTACAGTTTGTAACTCTGGTGAGGCCTGATTGCTCAGCAGGTTCTTTGCATTGCTTCCTTCCTGCAGGTAACAGATGTATCTCAATTCATTCTTTTGCTTGCAGAGGGTGGAGGAAGCGACCTCCGCTTGTGGACGGTGAACGGAGACCTGATCGGTCACGTCCACTGCAGGGAGACCATATGCTCTGTCGCCTTCTCCAACCAGCCAGAGGGCGTCTCCGTTAACGTCATCGCTGGTGGTCTGGAGAACGGCGTTGTCAGGTAATAAAAGATTTTTTTTTTCATTTCAACTGCAGCTTTCAGAATTATGTGGACCCATCCATCCATACACCCTGGACAGGTCGCCAGTCTGTCGCCACACAAAAATACACAACCATGCACACACATACTCACAACTAAGGACAATTTTGAGATGCCAAATAATCTAACAGTCATGTTTTTAAACTGTGGAACACTGTGCAATCGCCAGGAGAATCACATGCAGAACATGCGTGGGGAAAACATGCAGAAAGACCACTGGCCAGGATTAGAACCCAGAACCTTCTTGCTGCAAGGCAACAGTGCTAGCCACTGTTTCCACCGTGCAGCCTTATGAGGACCCATTGGTTAAAAAATATTTTTTATTGCTGTAGTTTGATCAAATAACCCAACGTTTTACTTAAAGGAATAGTACACCCAAAACATGATTAGCCTTAATTTTCTACTCACCCCCATGCTGAACAACACTCTGGAGTACTTTTTTGATATCTCAAATGCATCTGGAGATCTGAGAGGCTTCTTGCTGTCTGCTGACATTCAAATAATGGAGGTCTATGGTGCCCGAGACAGAAAGGTCCATAAAAGTCCACAAAAAACGTGTCAATATTCCTCCATACTGCTCGTCCAATGTATTCCAAGTGTCCTGAGTGGGTAGCGTCCTTAATTTACTCGAAACTAAGTTATTTAGAATGTTTTTAGAGCATAAACAGTAGTGTATAGGATTTCCTAAAAGCGCGCGCCTGCGCGTTCACGACGCTACGGAAGCAAGCGGACCAAACCAGCGCATTCAGCTCGGCAAAGAACTCATGCTCTTCCTCAACACTGAAGTCCTCAGACATTTTTCTTTCGTTGTTTCTTTCTTTGCACAGGTAAACAGCACATTTCTTCTACGCTTGCATTATCGGCAGAGCAGACGCTGAATGTGCACTTTCATCTGGTTTGGTCTGCCGGCTTCCGTAGCGTCGTGAACTCGCAGGCGCGCGCTTTTAGGAAATCCTATACACTACTGTTTATGCTCTAAAAACATTCTAAATGACTTCGTTTCGAGTAAATTCTGGATGCTACCTACTCAGGACACTTGGAATACATTGGACGAGCAGTATGGAGGAATATTGACACGTTTTTTATGGACTTTTATGGACCTTTCTGCCTCGGGCGCCATAGACCTCCATTATTTGAATGTCAGCAGACAGCAAGAAGCCTCCCAGATCTCCAGATGCATTTGAGATATCAAAAAAGTACTCCAGAGTGTTGTTCAGCATGGGGGTGAGTAGAAAATGAAGGCTAATCATGTTTTGGGTGTACTATTCCTTTAAGTACATTTATTCAGGTCTGGGGTGTAGGAGAGCAGCAGATGTTGTGTCTGATAAAACATTTTTCTGTTCATTTTTCTAAGTGTTTTAAATAAATTTCCTGTTGTAAGAGTCATTCACCCATTTTTTAGTTTTATGGCAGGAGGAAAAAGATTTTTATTTGGAATATATAAACTAACTTTTTAATGAGAAACTAGTCCACAGCATCAGTGGTCCTCCGCCATGCTTTCCCATACATTCTACATTTTGTTTCAGTTGAAACCTTCCTAACGAAGCTGCTGAACCCCGGTATGACACTCCTTTAGTATTATGGGAGCTCTTTAAGACTCTCTAGAAAGTCACAACATGGAATGAGGGGGGTTGGAGCCGTCCATTGATAGATGTCGGCAGCAGCAGCAGGAATTCATATGAGCAAATTAAACAGAGGCAGCAAATGCTCTTTTAGAGCTGATGCATTCATCAGCAGGACTGCAGACATAACATGTTGAAGATGGAGCTATAATCCATGTGGCATCGACAGGTCAAATTCATATGAAAGGATAAAGTAATTTTGCAATGGGGGGGTATTGAACTGAAAGAGGCTTTAAAGCTGTAGATTGTAGATTTATTTACATTTTAAAAGCCTAAACAGTCTTAATTAAATTGGCAGTTGTATTTTCTAAAATTTTCATTGTTAGATCATTCAACTTTGATGAAAGATGAATTTATTTAAAGGGCTTTGAAACGGTTTAATTGTTCTTTTCTTTGTTTTTAGGTTGTGGAGCACATGGGATTTAAAACCAGTCAGAGAGATCACCTTCCCGAAGTCATTTAAACCCATCATCAGGTAAGTTCTGTCGCATGATCTTCATAAATCTCTATTCAAGGTGTTATCTGCAGCCACTTTCTCCATAAATACGTTGGTAAACCTGCTGATAACCGTCTCTCCTGATGAACTCAGCCTGACGTACTCGTGCGACGGCCACCACCTCTACACGGCAAACAGCGAGGGCACGGTGATGGCGTGGTGTCGACGGGACCAGCAGCGCATGAAGCTGCCAATGTTCTACTCCTTCCTGAGCAGCTACGCCGCCGGCTGACATCGCATCTGACTTCCTACGGTCCTCTCCTCAGCTCCTCTTCTTCCTCCTCCTCCCTCTGCTCCTGTCTGCTGCACTGATGGGGAGGAAAAGAAGCCTCAGCATGGCCTCCTGCTCTGAACCTGCCCTGACTTTTAATAATGTCATCCCCAGCTGAGCAAACTACCACACCCAGCATTAAGAAGCGATAATGAAAACAGTGTTATATGTATATAGATATCTATATTTATAAGGTGAAGTATGGGAGGAGTGGATGAATTTTTGGCTGCAAAAGACACTTTTTCTTTCTGAGCGTTTCTAACATCCGTCCTAAACTCCTTGACTCCTTCTGTTTTGTTTTTTTTTTAGCTGAATCTATTGCAGTTTTTCCCTGGTAAGCTGCTAATGTCTGAGCAAAGCCAGAACCAAAAAAAAACAAGTGTAAGGTAGACTCCCGTCTCCCACCTCGGCGGCGCTCGGCTCTCTCACGGCGCCACGGCTGACAGATTCCTGCCAGAGCTCAGCAAGCAGCGTGTCGTGCTGACGCTGCAGCTCCTGTCACTGCGAGACGCCCCGCTCTGCACGGAGGGGGGGCTGTCGGCCCCGCTCTAGTCTGAGCACCGGTGTCACGGCCCTGCCTCGCTCCGTCTCCCGGCTCTGAAGAGGAACTGCAGGGGAGATGAGATGGGATGAATTGCACCTTGTGCTGCCTGTTGTTCTGTCCTACTTCTGCATGCCAGGATGACGCTGACCTTAACTTTCTGAATGCGGATGTGACATTTACAGTCATGAGCTCCTCGCCAAACTCAAACCTGGGCTGCATATGTCTTCTTGCATTTACCAAGGCATATATTTATGTATTTATTTCAAGCTGTGGCTCCTGTGTCTCTACTCGCCTTGTCTCATGGGTTTTCGCTGGATTTAACCGCTAAAAAAAATCTTCATTCTTTTAAAGCGTGCTCTGAAAACTGAGACGCAGCATTAAATGCCTCTGGCTGTAGGAGGGTCTGATTTAATGATGCATGTTTTTGGCCAGCATTCGATTATAATGCTATACCTGTGCTGAAAATAGAGTGTTTTTAGAGTTTTTACAACAAAATACACAATTTATTTAACTTTTATTTAAAACAGAAAAGCAAAGATTATTTCAAAAGGAAGATTTAGACAGAGACCAACCAGTTAACTTGAGGTAACACAGTTTTTTCTTCTCGCTTTTGCTTGCTTTATTTATTCAATGTATCAAAACTAAATGCATTAACAAAAATAAAACAAAACGAATGTACTTTGGTGCACTTTTTCAGTAGATGAATAGAAATCAAGATATATTGATGCATAATTCCAGTAATCCTTCTGTTATCTGTTTGCTTCAAAAAAAATTGCCTCCGACAAAAAGTGTTTTTTTTTTTTTTTTAGATTTTAAGTTTAGTCCTTAACCAAAATGTGAAGAATTTAAATCTTTATAAACAGGTTAGATCTTAAAGGAAACAAGCAAACAATCATTGCTATGAAGAAAAAACCTGATAAATCCCTCAAACAGTTTAAGTTTCATGATATTAGGAAATATATTCTTTACTTTTTTATATGAATATTATTAAAATGCAGAATAGACCACCTGATGGATCAAACTATTGTTTTCATCTGGTATATATTCTAAATGTTTTCAGTTATTTTCTTTATAGAGGAATGCAGATGTACAAAAATAAAAAGTACTGGGGCTATCTGCTATTTAACGAGTACCTTCTGCGGTTTTAAAACAGAATGGTTAAGAGGCGCTCTGCTGCTTTCCAAACCGCTAGATTTTCTCTTTTTTAAGCAAAAGCGACGCGTATCATTGATTCAGTTAACTAACCAGCAGTATGCAGCACCAGGTAGGGGAGGGGCTCTGTGGTGCTTTCCTTGACATCTCATTTAAATGTATTTAAACCATAGGAAACGTAAGAAGCAATTTGTTGCATTAATATTTTGTGTTTGTTTTTTTTTTTTACCGTATCCTAGTTATAATTGGCCCATGCCTCGTTAGGACCTTTGAGTATTAATAGGAGATTTAGATGAATGAGGATTCTCAGGCCTGTATACACTACACAGCCCTTTAACCCCTAAACCCACCTGAGGGTCCACACATCTCTCTACATTCCCATCCAGCTCGCTGCACTTACAGTCTGGCTGATATTAAGCCAAATATTCATCTGAAGCACTTTTTTTTTTTGTTCTATAACAGACTAATCTGTGTTCTTAACATGAGCAGGGGCTGTGATTCAATGCTGCACATATATATGAGGAAGCAATATCTAACACAAAGGAAATAGCTTTTATTTTCTGAAGGAAAAAAACAGTAGCCTCTGTGTTAAATGCAGCAGGAAGGAAAAACGTCTCACAGGTTGTCTTAGAGAAAGGGAAGTCGTCTTCTTTTATCATCATTCCTTTGTCCTACTTTACCTGACAGACTCTTGGGGAAAGCGTCACGGCACTGAGTTTGTTTACTGTCTCCAACGCTCATGTACATACAGGCATGCGTGGTGTTTATCCTCTTAAAACCCGCCTCGATCTTCGCCTTTGCATCCCAATGTTTTATTTGTTTTGTAAAGTGAGAAAGTGGTGGGGGGTAAGGTTTTATTTTTCTGTCAATAACTTAAGCTATGCATAATTTAAGATCTTTTGTCTTGTTTTGTGTTGTGTTTTTGTGCAGACTGTTATCCAGGTCTGATGGCTCCCAAAAAGTCTTGTGGTTTTCTTTTTTTGTTGTACATAAGTGTGTTTGAATGGGAGGAAAGAACAAGTGACATATTATATATATATATAAAACAATACCTGAAAAGTGAGACTACAGCTGTTTTGTGTGCATTTTCTTTGGAGAATGATGCATTTAGGGACTTCTAAAATGAAGAGGAATGAAATGCTAATAGTTTTACTGACACTAGGAAAGGACATATTTAAACACCAGAATGAATTCTGCCTTTATGACAGAAGCCTAATCTGTCACTTTAGAAAATTTTAAAAATCCAACCTTTTATTTAGTATTTCGTTTCGATTAATTTAAATAGAATCCCCAAAAAATCCTTAGAGTATATGTAACTGAAGCTTTTTTGTACCTATTTTTTTTATTGTGTTCTTTGATTAGAGATTAAATTACATTAGAATTGGCATCAATATTACTATGAAATGATACAACACATTAAGGGTATATAGCAAAGAAAAAAACCTGAAATTCATTAATGGAGAACGGCAGCAAAGAGTGGTGTCTCCATGGATCATTGAACAGCCTCTACAGGTCAACGTATAGTTTTGGGAGTAATGCTGAGAAAAAAATGTGCATCTTTACTGGGATTTACCTGTTAACTTGGATGAGAGCACGATGCACCGCTGAGCTTTTTAGCAACAAATGCTCTGGATTTGTCGAACATTACAGCCAAAATTTACTAGAATAAAAAGGCCCCACATAGGATTAATGGCAGGTTACCCACCATTGCCTTTTGGACAGCATGATCAGCAGGTAAAACGTTCCATATAGGCATCTGAGAAAGCGCATCAGAAAATTGAACTTAAAGGTATAATGGAGGATTTTTACAATTTTTTTAAAGACCCACCCTCTCCACTTTAAAAAAAAATGTACATGCTCAACCATGCATCCTATCCCGAAAGGGAACGCCTATTATATGCGTGCGAGAGCGTGCACGAGGAGAAATGGGCTTGTGCACACTCTATTTAAAAGTTGTTGTTTGCATCGATCATACAAGCTTTCTTTCCCAAATAAAATTTGCACCTTTTCCACCATGTCGGACTCACCACCGGTAAGTGAAAATGGGGACGTGCACATAGGATGGCCTTCCGTAAACGTATCACCAGAATGATTGACAGTTAGGAGGACCACTTAATTTGATGATCCACCCGGAAAAAGAACATCCTCCACTATAGCTTTAAATAGCTTTTAGTGAAGCACGGTTTTTGCAGCAGATGACTGGTCTGAGCATTTCAAAAGCATTAGATGTAAATCAATATTGAAACAGAACATATCCAGTGAGTGGATGTGGATTAAACATGTGGACCCTTGAGGCAGCAGTCAGCCACATCAGATTCTCACTTTGAGGTTATTATTAACAAAGATCCAATAGAAAAAAAGCAAATGTTTACAATATTTTTGCTCCAGTGAGCCTCGATAGTGGCTTCAACATTCCGAATGTCAGAATTTGGTGTAGATAACATGAAAGAATCCATCCCAACTGATGCCTGGAGTTAAAGTATGGTGGAGGATCAGTGATGCTGTGGGCCCTGGGAACCTTGAACTGAAAACTGGCTGGAATGTGCACTGCAAAAAAAAAATAAAAAAAAAAATCTTCAAACAGATGCATTTTTTCTTGAATTGAGCAGGGAAATTAAACCCTTTGCCAATGGAATAAGACAATTTACATTTAAAATAAGAAAAAAAGCAGCTGCTATGTCCTATTTCAAGCGCATAATATCTAATTATTTTATTTTAAGGAAATAAATACTAATTCCGTTGGCAAATTATCTTATTTACCTATTAAAATTGATGGAAAAGGCACTTATTTTAAGGTATTTTCACTAGTTTTTAGATCATTTTTGCAGTGTGGTTTCTAAATAATAGGGAAAGATCAAAAACAATAAGCAAAATCATCACATAGTGGCTCATCAGACACAAAATCCTTCCTCTTTGTGGCCATCAAATCATTTAGAGGAAAGAATAAAACTGAATAATTAATATTTCTGCTATCCAAATGTTAATTTAGGGCTTTTTACGCATCTCTGAGCAAATGCATGATTAAAACTCTATTTATTAATCCATGTGTTGGAAAGAAGCTTTCATTAAAACTGGGTGAGGCCCATCAAGTGCTGCGGGGAGGACCCGGTGATGTCAAAGCTGATGTAGAAATGAAACGGGGAAGCCTGCAGATCTCTGACGCCTTCTCAAGCTGTAAATCAGGGAGGGGGGGGGAAGAAAAAAACCAAACCCGTCAGCTTCTAATTGGAGAAAACAGGCGGTGCGTTTAGGGCCGGTTTGTCCACTGGAAACGCATCGTTAGCGCTGCGTCTCCTGCTCCACGGCTCACTGTGCAATCACGCATCTCTCTGTCCGTCACACCGAGGTTTCCCCCCTCTGCTGCATGCGTGACATCTCTCCAGGTCCGGCCGTGCCGCGCGCAGACACCTGACCGCCCGCATCGCGCGTCGGAGCCCCGCTGAGGCGACACTACAGCAGGACGCACGGATTTTCCTCTTTCACATCTCAGGCGAGGTTGGGATTTCCTCTTGTCCTTTCATTTTTTTTTCCATTCTCACACATCCTCCTCTCTCTGTGTCTTGGGTGGAGTCAACCAGGAATTTTCCAAATCGGGGGAAAAAAGCATCGGCGCGTCTTTAGGTAGGAAGCCTGCATAAATGTGAATTTCTGAATCTTTCTGAATCTGATTCGTGGCGTGGGATTTTCAGGTGTAAGCAGGGCCGCAGCTCTGTTTTCTCCTCTTATAAATAAGGAGAGGTCCTGATTTGACAGATCTGGATCTACAGTCACCATCAGGTTGTCTTGATTTAACGACATTGCTCCATCTGAGGCTGAAATCTTGCAGGATGAAGCCTCAGGATCGAAGACAAACCTGCAGGCCTGGTAGCTTCCTGTCAGGGTGTGTGGTTGCAACTACAAATTGGCTGCAAATAATAATAAAATATACTGCATATTAGATATGAAATCCTCCACCTCCCTCTGCAAAAACATCTGATTGATCATCTCTGAATTATATTTGATTGGATTCGATGGGAATGAACAGAGAGAGGGAGATAATGCATCAGGCTGCACCCCACAGCAGTGAGACACTTCATGCACATTCTTATGAAACACATCTATGGTCAGCTGCCTCCTCCTCTCCCTGCTGTTGCTGCCAAACTGGGCCAATTCAGTACTGAGGAGGGGTCACCACTTCCAAAAGTATTCAAACCCTTACATTTTTTTAAACCATTTTTATGCTTTCAAAGCATGCATCATTGGAAAGAAAATGTGTGTTTTTCCAAGTTCTAATAATAATCATATAAAGGCATGCATTTTTATACTACTGCATCTGCCTGATTTGCATAACAGTTCATATATCAGTTTAAAATGTATATATTTGGTTTTACCTTTTTAACACAACCATGAGCTTTGCTTCATAGCTCTACTTTGTGTAGATTTGTTGTCCTGCTGGAAGGTGAACAGCCACCCGCCTCAGATCTCCAGCTTCTGCATGGAGCTCCATCCATCTTCACATCAACTCCAACCAGATTCACTTTTCCTGATGAGGATAATCAACTCACCGCATAATGCCATAGCCAACATGTTTCACTGTGGGGATGGTGTGTGCAGGCACATATGCAGATTGTTTGCCATGCATAGTGTTTTGCACGTACAACAAAACTTCTAATTTAGTCTGAACTGACCAAAGCACTTTTTTTCACATGTTTTCCATGTTCACAAGAGGACTTCTTTCTTTCTTTAAACAATGCCTTCGTGCAATACCTATATAAATAAATACCTTTTTATATAGATACTTTTAATACCCTGTGCAAAAACTATATATATAAGCACCTTTTTATATAAATACCCATTTAATACCCTGTGCAATAATACTGTTAAATAAAAGACTTCAGCTGTTATACACATTACATTTCAGTGTTAATGTAACACTTTAAGAGTTAAATTTAATACCAATCCGAGTGCAATTGGTCCCACTCTGAATTAGTGTTAAATTAACTCTCTGCATAGTGTATATCTTACTCCAGTTGTTGTTGTAATAACTCTAAAAGAGTCAATGCACTTTGACACTACATTTTTGAGAATTGAGCCAATGTGAAAAGTGAAATTCTCCACTCTGAGATCAATAAAGTCTATCTTATCTCATTTTATCTTTCTTTTTGCCGCTCTTTCATGAAGTTCACACTCATAGAGTCTGACTAATATGAGGTCTGTATGTTGAAGCTCCTCAGGCGTTAGCATAGGTATTTAATCCAGAGAAATGTGAGTTTAAAAGATTAAAAGGAAAATGATCAACACAGAGACGGGATTTTGTGACGTCAGCGTGTGCCGGGTGGAGAGAAGAATGCTGGCTTGGAAAGCCATCACCTTCTCCCACCGATCCCTTCATGGCAAAACCTTTTATTAACAGTTTACAACATCAAACAGGCAGGCCTAAAACAGAAGACCCAATAATCATTATCTGGGAGGATGCAGGTAACAAGATAGTGTGAATTGACCAACTGGCTGGATGGAAGTCACACATCCGTGTGATTCTGCCTCATGACCTACAGGAGGTCATAAAAGTTTATGACCCTTCTGGTTGAAACATAGGATAGTTATCACTCTAACATTTCCCTCCTCTGATACATAAAAACATCAGCATATAGCACTTCTAAAAAGATTTTCACTACATACATCATGAATGCATTGCAGATAGGGAATTCAGTAATCAAAGTTTAATATGCAAAACACAACAATATTAAAAGGAAAATTCAAGCACAAAGGTAAAAAAGAATGTAAAAACTTTAAAAATAATCTGTCCCTTGAGTAGGCAAAAACTCTCCAATAGAGAAAAAATTCCTACCCAGCCCCTCCCGAGGAGGCGACCATTATCCCTGTAAAAGATTACATAACTTCATCATCATCATTATCTTCATCAGCATCTCGGCGGAGTTGAGCATAATTGATAGCTGAATATTGGATTAGAGTGGTTCCTATCATTTTCTGAAACATTGATTGCAGGCATGGTATTAAGCAACAAATAAAAAGGAAAAATATGATTAACAATCCTATAAATGGTAAAGCTATCTTCATCAGTACCTGCCACCATGATCCCATGGTGAACCAAACTGTCCTTGGTGCTGGAACTGCACCGTATGGATGACTTTCTGTGGATCCATCAAAAATCATCCTGCTCTTCCTTTGTTTCAGACGGTCAGTTTGAGTCCCTAGAGACACCACTCCAACGGTCACCACCAGGCAGATGAATGTCATTAGTTTTTCCATCTTCATCAGCTCTTAGTTATGGGGTTCCTGTGAAGATAATTGGGCTTCTTGCTGTGGAAAGTTTTTAATCAGTTTACAATGACTCTGGTGGATCCAAGTGTCTCTCTCCTGGATTTTCACAGCGGTGGGGGTTGTTAGTTGCCCTATGTAGGGTCCTTCCCACCTCGGAGCTTTCCAAGTTTTTCTTTTGATGATTTTAATCAGCACTCGGTCTCCAGGCTTCAGGCCTTCCTGTGGGGAAACAAAAGGAGCACTAGGCAGATTACATGTTTTCCGAACAGTTTTGTCGCTGAAAAGCTTCAGCATCCACTTAGTTAACGGGTCAATGTCATCTTGTTCGTTTTCTGCCCATGGCTTTCCTGTTTCTGCCATGAATTTTCTCAATCTATTTTTAACATCCTCGAACCATTTAACTGGGTTCTGTCTGGCTGGAGGTAAACCTCGACAGGCAGTCTGCATCTCTGCATCTGTCCATGGCCCACACACAAGAACAGTGGGTCCACAATCCAGTGGGTCACCATCTTGGGGTCCCGTGCGTTGACCACAATGAGGGTTGGCCACCTCCAACACCGGAAAAGCACATGCTCCCTCCCCAGGATCTTGGTCCTGTTCTTGTTTTTTTAATTCAGCCAATCTTGGATGAATAGGGGCAGATGGGCCCCTTCCACAAGCCTCCACTTGATAATCATCCCTGTAACACTTCGAATCAAGCTTCACATCCCTCCCTGATCCTCCCAACTCATGCTCACAAGGGTCAGAGTCACTGAGTTCCATACCATCCACAGAGGACGACACGGACAGGGGGCCTGCTCCTGCTCCTCCAATATCACCACACGATGGTGGGGCTACTGGAGGAGGAACAGTGGCATGGCTGTGTTCATATTCACCGTGATGGGGTTTATCTCCACCTTCCTGCGCAGCTGATGCCACTGCTTGAACCCCATCACCCCCTTGAATTTGATTAGGGTCAGGATATTGAGGAAGCATACGGGATACAACAGTTTCTTCATCAGCTTTAACTTTTACAGCAGCAATTGTAGCTGTCTTTCTATCCTTCTTCTGTTGTATTTGGCTTTCCCTATTTTTTGCTTGCATAATCCACTTATTTAACTCTTCTAATTCTTTTCTGTATTTAGCTTGTTTTCTTTTTGATTTATACACCAACTTCATCTCCACCTTCTGCTGAATCTTTGTCAGCGGCTCAACTCTCAACTTTCCATCCCAGCCCTCCTTCTCAATCCACTTTCTGGCAAACTCTGGGTCACCACCACAACATGCCACCATCCATCTAACATCATCTGGCATTTCCTTCTTACTACTGCCTTGTCCCATTTTTAAAGAATTTAGTCCAGTACACAGCGGTTCGATTGTTTCCTCACACACTTTCACACAGTCACACACACCTAAGGCCTAATATTTTTTATTTTTTAACCAACATAGAGTCCCAGACTCGAATGCACAGAATACCCAGGTCCCAGACTTGTAAACAAAACTTGGTTTCGTCAAATATTCTTGCAACTACAACCAGTTATAGCTTGAACACAGAGGGTCCCAGACCCAAACGCACAGAATACCCAGGTCCCAGACTTGTAAACAAAACTTGGTTTCGTCAAATATTCTTGCAACTACAACCAGTTATAGCTTTCACACAAAGGGTCCCAGACCCAAACGCATAGAATACCGATCCCAGATCTCTCACAACAAACCCTGTTTGTCAAATATTCTAGCGACTACAACTAGTTATAGCTTTCACACAGAGGGTCCCAGACCCAAAACGCATAGAATACCGATCCCAGATCTCCCACAACAAACCCTGTTTGTCAAATATTCTAGCGACTACAACTAGTTATAGCTTTCACATGGTCCCAGACCAGCTTTTAATAAAAAACCTTAGGCGTACCGTTTCTGTGCAGATCAGTCCTCAGCTTGAGTCGTCACCAGGATGTCCAGGGCAGGGCTGGACCAACCTATTGGCTCCGTCCGGCAAAGGGTGGACGGCTGTTGACAGTTTCTTGGCCTTGGTCCCGCATGGTCCTGGACAATTGGATCTTGACTCCGGGTTTCGGCACCAAAAATGTTGGGTTTTTAATCCAGAGAAATGTGAGTTTAAAAGATTAAAAGGAAAATGATCAACACAGAGACGGGATTTTGTGACGTCAGCGTGTGCCGGGTGGAGAGAAGAATGCTGGCTTGGAAAGCCATCACCTTCTCCCACCGATCCCTTCATGGCAAAACCTTTTATTAACAGTTTACAACATCAAACAGGCGGGCCTAAAACAGAAGACCCAATAATCATTGTCTGGGAGGATGCAGGTAACAAGATAGTGTGAATTGACCAACTGGCTGGATGGAAGTCACATATCCGTGTGATTCTGCCTCATGACCTACAGGAGGTCATAAAAGTTTATGACCCTTCTGGTTGAAACATAGGATAGTTATCACTCTAACAGGTATCTCTGCAGCTTATCTGCTCAATGCTCTCCTTAGGGAGTACAGCCATGTTTTTTTGCAGCCGTGCTGTTTATTTATTTTTTGTCGCTATGGATGAACAATGTTCTAGAAGAGCTTTAATGTTTGGGGTATTGTTCTATAACTAAAGCCAGCTTTACACTTCCCCAGAGCTTCACCTCTTACCTGTCTGCTGTATCCCTTGGTGTCCATGATGCTGCTTGTTCACTAATGAACTGTATTTATTAATAGTGACTTCAGATAACATTTCTCTTGGAGAATGGGAATAAACGTGGCTAAAAAAAGGAGGATGCCACTTTTTTAGGGTGTGGTATTCACAATTTTTACTTCTGAAAAATGTTGAAACCAGGAATCCTTTCCATATCAGAAATATGCCATTGGTGGACAAACAGTTCAGGTGCACTGAGGCACGTTTTTAAGATGAAGTTGAGCAAACTGTGGATATTTTCCCTCCAGTTTGAAAGAGGTTTGTGAACATTGTAAACTGAATTATTTTGTTGTTTCTTTTTTGGTAATAAATTAAACAAAGGATTACATTTTCCCCAATACTTGGAAAAAAGATGTCATCCAAAAATACATTTCCACCCCCCAAAGAAATAATTTTTTCCTCTCTACACAAACTAGTTGATAAATACTTACTGCTGGAAATGTGGGAAAGTTTTCCCCAGTATTTTGCTCACCTCTTTTCTACCTCCATTGTTTGTCTCAGGCACACCATGAAGGATTCCATCGCTAACAACAGCACAGCCAGCATCTCCCAAGCCAGGAAAGCAGTGGAGCAGCTGAAGATGGAGGCCTGCATGGACAGGATAAAGGTACAAAGATTATGTTTCTCTTCTTAGTTCAACTAGATGCTTCAGATGCATGAAAATCCTGAAAGACGCTGACAATAAAAAAAAAAACTTACTAAGAATATTAGAGTAATTATAATTTAGTTCAGTTTAATTAGGTTGTGGTTGTTCATGTAGCGCCAATTCACAACAAATTGCACATCAAGGCTCATTATAAGACAAATGGGTCCATTTCATGTCAAGTTATTTATTTAAAACTTAATCTTTCCATATTCTGTTCATATCGTTAAATTGCATTCATAATGGAGTACAGGTGATAAATCATATTGTGCCAATTTATTAAAGGTTATCCAGGAAAAACATGTTTTCACAGTAATTGATTTTGCAGAAATCTCACATCCTAAGCAAGCAAGAGGCAGAAGTCAAGAGGGATAAAATAAAACTCCATTGGAGTGTAGCCCACTATGAGCCGCCATTAGCAATAACAAATGGGCGAGTACTGCTCATAATTAAAAAAAGACACACACAAGTTCAGTTACTTTAACAGGAAAAGGATAAACATTCAATCAATGAAGTCAAATATCTTGGTCATGTGTTGACAGACTGTCTGTCTGATGATGAGGACATTTACCATCAGGTCCGCATGATATACGCTCAGGCAAATATCCTTGTCCGGAAGTTTTGATTCTGTCCTGACGAACTGAAACTGAACTTGTTCAGATCATATTGCACATCACTGTATACGGCACATTTGTGGTGCAACTTTAAAAAAGCCAGTCTTCATAAGTTGAAGGTGGCTTATAATGATGCACTAAGACTTTTGTTAAATAAGCCCAGATGGACGAGTGCCAGTGAATTGTTTGTATCTGTTAGTGTCAGGACTTTTATGGCTGTTTTGAGAAAGCTTATGTATAAATTTATTTGTCGTCTAAATGAGTCTGATAATAGAATTATTTTACTGATGTCAAATATAGTGCAGTTAAATATTCATCTGTTCTTTGGAGACATTGGTATAATTGCCTCCTGAAGGGGTAGGCACCTTCTCTGTTGTACTTTTATTCTTTTTCTTTTTTATTCTTAGTGTATCTGTTTCTTTTAATGTATATTGGACCTTGAGTCTGTAATAAAATCAATCAATTAATCAATCAATCAATCGTTGAGCTTATTATAAAAAGAAAGATGCTGTCTGTGACTTTGTCCAGGAAAGATCTGCAGCCATATAGAGAATCAATGTGGTCTTTATGAAATGAAAAAACAAAAGAAATGTGTGAAAATTTACAGAAGCAATTATTTCGTTAAGAGAAATCATCGAAGCAGGGACTTCCACCTTAAAGGAATAGTACACCCAAAACATGATTAGCCTTCATTTTCTACTCACCCCCATGCTGAACAACACTCTGGAGTACTTTTTTGATATCTCAAATGCATCTGGAGATCTGGGAGGCTTCTTGCTGTCTGCTGACATTCAAATAATGGAGGTCTATGGTGCCCGAGACAGAAAGGTCCATAAAAGTCCACAAAAAACGTGTCAATATTCCTCCATACTGCTCATCCAATGTATTCCAAGTGTCCTGAGTGGGTAGCATCCAGAATTTACTCGAAACTAAGTCATTTAGAATGTTTTTAGAGCATAAACAGTAGTGTATAGGATTTCCTGAAAGCGCGCACCTGCGCGTTCACAACGCTACGGAAGCTGGCAGACCAAACCAGATGAAAGTGCGCATTCAGCGTCTGCTTTGCCGATAATGCATGCGTAGAAGAAGAAATATGCTGTTTACCTGTGCAAAGAAAGAAACAACGAAAGAAAAATGTCTGAGGACTTCAGTGTTGAGGAAGAGCATGAGTTCTTTGCCGAGCTGAATGCGCACTTTCATCTGGTTTGGTCTGCCACGGTTTCCGTAGACTCGTGAACGCGTTTTTAGGAAATCCTCTACACTACTGTTTATGCTCTAAAAACATTCTAAATGACTTAGTTTCGAGTAAATTCTGGATGCTACCCACTCAGGACACTTGGAATACATTGGACGAGCAGTATGGAGGAATATTGACACGTTTTTTGTGGACTTTTATGGACCCTTCTGTCTCGGTCACCATAGACCTCCATTATTTGAATGTCAGCAGACAGCAAGAAGCCTCCCAGATCTCCAGATGCATTTGAGATATCAAAAAAGTACTCCAGAGTGTTGTTCAGCATGGGGGTGAGTAGAAAATGAAGGCTAATCATGTTTTGGGTGTACTATTCCTTTAAGTTAATTCTCGTATTCACAGAATCTTAAAAAAAAAATTCCTGGATCCAGATGGTGATCCAGATCGTCACAAGAAATGTTATCATTAGTTTCCAAGTAACAATACACACCTTCTCTGAACGTTTTAAGCAAAACCAGCCATAGCTTGTTTTTTTTATTTTGAAATCATACAAACAGACAAATCAAAATGGCAGAGGTACCAACAGCTGTACGTGTGAGACGGGCCACACATAAAGAGACAAAGATAAAGAAAGCAAGAAAGATTAAGTTTAAAAGGTTAAGGCAACAATAATCATAAATAATCCATCAGGAGAATATCAGACGATAGCGAAGGGAGGAAGAGGAGTCACCATGTCTCCTGACGGTCGAACCCAAAAGCAGCAGAACTACAGAGAAATCTCAGAGACGTCCGTCTAATACCTGATTACTGCAGCTAATATTTGTGTGCACTGAACAGTAATCAGATATTTGCCCTCTCCACCTCTTGGTCTGTTTTATTTGATTTTATTAATTGGGTAAAAAAAATCATTTATTTGCCACTTAATTCAGCCATTTGTGCTATTAAGTGCTAATTTCATAGAGATGCATCCTTATGCTCTAAGATATTCTTCATAGCAGATTTAGACTTAGACAGATTTTATTTGTCATTTTGTTTACACAAGTGTAAAACAAAAATACATTTCGTTTGGAAACAGCTCACTGGACAATTTCATCTTTTAAAAGTGCAGCCTTGAAAAATAGTAAAAATGACTGTAAATTTACAGTTCTAACTATTTTTTTTTACCTTCTGCTCTGTGCTGTTTGCTATTCTTATATATCATGAAAGCACAGAGGAAAAATTATTTTCTCCTTTTTTAGACTTTAAATTATTAACTTGAACCGGTCCAATACTGGGAGAGGATGCATTGAAAAACGGCTGCAGTGTTAGTGTTACTAATTCAAGTCCA